GGAAGCACGTCGATCTGACGATGGTAACACTCTTTTTAAGAATACGTTTGATTACAATACTGTCTACCGTCTATCATAGCTACTACTTCGTAAGACAACAATATCGTAACGCAGTGACGATAATATTAATATGCTAATACACACGGTTCAACGAACATTAACCACGCGTGGCGCCCCAGTCACGATTGAAGAACCGGTGACCAAAACCTTGTTTCTGAACGTTTTCAAAGGCGGTACATAGATGGCATAGTGACTGCAAGACTTGCACATGAGATTGTTCTTTTGCGATGAAGCTCTATCACTATACAGACGAGGAAGGGTATCTTGGCATCCAACGAGATGGATTCATCCGTCCATCTCATGGCGGGAGACGAGGCAGAGGGGTGTATCTGACAGATTTGGATCCAAGTGATCGGGAAATGGTTGCGAAAAATAACTATGGAGGAGGCGCTGCTAAATACAGAAGCAAAGCGGACCACTTTGTTGCAGTAAATCTCCCAACCAGCGATCTCGCCTTGGAAAAGTTTGAGGAACATAAATGGGTGTACAAGGCAGCGATCGACGGTTCTTCTGTTGATTGGTCAGAGGGTGGCCATGTATCAAATTTTGCGGCTGTTGCTATCATTGGTGCTGCTGGGGCCGCTGTTGCTGGGGCTGCCATGTTATACAACCACTATCAGCAACGTCGCGAGGCGGAGGCTCCCGCACTGGCAATCAGGCAAACCATAGCGGAAAGCAATCAAAGGGAAAGGACACTTGCCATGCTAGGAGGAGCACAGAAAGATCTCAAAGTCGACGATCGTTACATCCTAGAGCATTGTGAGCCTTCTGAGTGTATCTTGTCCTCCAGAGATGTAGAAAATGACATTGAAAAGTACCTGATGGGATATCGCCGCAGACAAATACCCGGATACTTTATCTTTGCATTCTTATTTCGCCTTTTCTGTATCACCGAAGGTCTCTCCTCCTCTCTTGGATCAGACAAGCTTAAGCAAATCATCAAAGAAAGTGATTGCGATGTGTTCGTTAAAAAGGAAAACGAAGAAAAAGGATTCTGGAATGGACTGTGCTCCTGGGTATGTGGGCCTGATCCTACTTATCCAGTTGACTACTCTGAAGTTGATTACTCGATTCAGATTGAAAGAAAATGCTTTGGTATTTTCGCTGTTGCAACATTTGTACTTCCTCTTGCCCATTCCCCAGGAATGGTGAGAAAGCACTATTGGATTCAGTATCCATTCGATACAACTTGGTACGCAGTTTTGCTGTTTCATTGCAGTAAGGAGGTATAGTAGGCGAGTTTTCGAATCAATCAATATTTTAATGGTACGAAATTTTATTTTCCGTAGTTATTAATACACAACTCCACTATAGATTGTAACTATGATTCCTGCGCCACAGACTCTTTCTCAAAGAACGATTGTGTGTATAATTGATGATTGGGACAAAAGTGATAGTCGTGGACATACCCATCAAACTCGGTCTCGGCCTTTTTGCGATGAATCGCAACGACGACCATTCCCTTTTGGGGAGCAATGTGCACACCGGCATGTGGAAAGTGCAAGGCTCCTAATTGTTTATTGATGGGATCTTCGCAAAAGACAAAGGCCGTGGCGACTTTGCTGTAAGAGTCGACTCCTTCTTCTTGAGGCGGATCCACTTGAAAGTGAGTCGTTGGGACCAACATTGGGCCTTCTCCAGGCAGTTTGCAGTCCCTTACACCAGTTTCCTTCTCCAGTTCCAAATCACCAGCCGTACACAAGAGTGCTGGAACGGACATGCCGCCCGTTGGGTCCTTGTGCACTTGAAAGAGCCGATCGTCGTGCTCCGATAAAGTCGATACGTCCAATTCTGGCCAGTGCAAGTATTCCCCTAGAAGCGAAGTGAGCTTGTCCGTCAAATGCATCAAGGACGAACTGTACTTCTGTGGTGCCGCTCGGAATTTGTCCATGGTGGCGAAACTAACACTGCCATCTTGTGAGGTTTCTTCAAAATGCTGGAGTGCCAAGCATTCGTCGTGTGCCACAAAACCAGGAATGGAGGCAATGTAAGAAGTGGGCCGTTCATGCAAGACGCGAAGCTTGTAGTGGGTTTCCCCACGTCTACGACCATCTTGGTTCCTGGATGTGTACGCCCAAGATACGTTCTTCCCTTCGTCAGTCACTGTATAATTGACATCGCCACAAGCCAAGGGTGCCATGCTTTCGGCCATTTGGGCTCGAAGCTTGTACTGAAAGTCGACTTCTTCTTGTTGTTTTTCCAACTTGGCATCGGTCTTTTCTTTCATGCAAGCGGAAATGGCATCAATCACTTCAATAATGTCCAAGTCGCTACCTTGTTCACTACTGTTGACTTGTTCTTCGCACTCTTCGTACAATGTTCGTGCGACTTTGACGGATCGTTGATAGCTGCCAGTATGATCTAAGATGAAACCCTTTTTGACGCGAACCTCTGCATCACAATGGATGTAAGAAAACAAGTAATGTGAGCCTTCGGCATTCCCACAAGCACGCTACAAACAGCAGGAATTCTACAATCTCAGCATACCTTGTTCATGTTCGGTGCTAACGGTAAATCGTGCCTTCCAACATGGATCCCGAAGGCATTTCCCCGAGTTCTTTCCTGGCATTTCTCGAACTTCAAAGGTATGACCCACATAGGAATTGATGGAGGCTGCTGCTCCATAAGCCACTCCATCTGCATTTTCGGACTGTGAAACGAATTCTTCCTGCTTTGGATTTGCAGTGTTCACCCAAAAGACATCGACACGTCGTCCTGATTTATTGATAACTTCCACACTCCGTTGACTCACAGTTTCCAACCGACGGGTTTGACCCAAAATGTGTGCGTTGGAAGATGGAGTAAAGGCAATCGAAAGAAGAAGAAAGATGACTGCTAATGAGGCATGGTTGAAATGACGCGATGAATGAGCCTTTCTTCGTAACATAATGAATAGAAACGCAATGAAGTGAATTCACAGAATGATAAGCTTAAGATTGATGAAGTCAGTAGACTGTTGTGAAATGTGGCAACTATGTATTTGTGCCTATCTTCTTCTTCGTGTCTTGTTTTACTGTCACAACCCGAATTTGTTTGTTGTCGCGTGTCCGTCATTGCACTTTGGAGTTCGGGTCCTGTCCGTATTGAGATGCGGGGCGAAGGACGGGCTTTACTTGTCAAAAGACGACTTGCACGATTGAAGAAATCAAACTTCTACCAAACTTTATCGCGAAACGTTTCTATTTCCGTTTCAGTTTCTTTCGAAAAAGTCCATCGAGCACAAATGGTACACATACACAACCCTCACAAATTATCGTAGACCGATAACCGTAAACGCATCAGGAAAGTCTTCAACTGCCACTCACTACTACATCATCATGAGCTTCTACACCACTACGACACCACAAGCCTTCCACGGAGCTTCTACTACCAAAAGAGGATCCGACTCTTTGAATGAGGAGTCGTATCAGCAACAAGAAGAACGAAGCAACAAGAGAATCAAGATTTCATCATCTCCCCAACCTGCATTCTATGGTTCTGGAGCCTTCCAATCTCAACCATTCCAAGCACCCATCCAGTTCACCAGTCCTTCTGGATCCACCTATTTCACCTATGGCGGACAAGCGCAAGGCAAAAAGCAACGAAGAGCTTAAAAGGTGGAAGCTCTGGTGGTGGGAAATTTGAATTGAAAAATTGATTTCAAATTATCGAACGTGGCAAAGACCCGCTTCGAAACTATATATATCTTGAATGAATGAGGTGTAAAATAATGCAGTATCATTGAAAATAGCAACTTTCTTTCTTCTTTACACACTACAACTCAATCGTTCTGTTGATTTGGTGTAAAACTGTACGTCGTGTGGTACGGCGTACGTGTGTCTGATACAAGCCGAACCTTCCGACTCAATAAGGTGATCGATTGGAGGGCGCTGCGCTTCAACTTCGAATCTTTGATGACGACCGACCGCAATCATGCAATCACACCCATGACAATGATCTAACACAGCACCAAACACAAAGCCTCACTTCTTCCTATCAGTAAAACATCCATCAAATTCCTCAAGATGCGCTTTCCTCTCATTGCCTTGTCCACGGCACTCCTTGCCACGCCAGCTCATTCCTTCACCTTGCCCAGCTGCACGCCAATAACATCAACAACAAGTACTACTCTGAACATGGCATCGGCACTCGACGAATTGGCCAAACTCACTACTCTCTCCATTGACAGTAGTGATTTGGACGAGGTTGCCAAGTTCGCCAAATTGGGATGCATCACGGATGCCACCACCAATCCTTTGCTAGTGACTCAAGCCGCTTCCAACGGAGACGAACGATATTCCAAAATGCTGAAGGATGCCATTATGTATACCAAGGAAGCTCTCGGAGGAGGAGATTCGTCCTTGCCAGAACCTGAAGCTGAATTGAATTTGGCCATGGACAAGCTGGCCGTCAATTTGGGAGCTCAGTTGTTAAAGCTCATTCCCGGAAAGGTTTCCACCGAAGTGGACATTCGATTAAGTTATGACACCAACAGCAGTGTGGACCGGGCTCGACGCATTATTTCCATGTACGAAGAGATGGGGATTGATAAAGATCGTGTCTTGATCAAGTTGGCTGGAACCTGGGAGGGAATTCAAGCCGCCAAGATTTTGGAAGAAGAGGGAGTTCATTGCAACATTACTCTTGTGTTTAGCTTTTTGCAAGCAGCAGCGTCTGCTCAAGCTGGGGCATACTTGATTTCGCCTTTTCCAGGTCGTATCTTGGACTGGTTCAAGAGCCAAAATGGCAAAGAGGGCTACCCTCCTCAAGCTGATCCAGGAGTCTTGGACGTTCAACGTATGTACTCGTACTTTCGAAAGTACGGATACAAGACTATTTGCATGCCTGCGTCCTGGAGACCTTCTCGAGGTGCCGCTGTGGAAGGCAGTGCCGTAGATGAAATTCTCGCCTTGGCTGGAGTGGATGAAATGACCATTCCCCCACCTCTACTGCTGGCTCTTAGTGAAATGGATGCCAGTGCTGTTTCGGAACAATGCAATGCGAAAACCAGTGCCGCCATGTGCCGAGAACCAGACTTTGTCCTTGATGAACAAACATACAAGCAATATTGGGAAACTGATCCTTGCGGCATCGAAAAGTTGAACCAAGGAATTGATGCATTCAAGCAAACAACGGAAGATCTGAAACAAGTTCTGATTCAAGAGTTTAATTGATAAAATTATGAGAATGCTAAATGTTAACATATAACCTAAAGATGCAGAGCGATGGAATGAATTGTCTCCCTCTCCTTGCATGATGGAGATGTATGTGTGGAATGGGCGGTCGCTTCATCAGGCCGATTTAACGACTTAGCGCTGATGTTGCCCCAATATGGCTTATGTATTTTAAATGGCTGAGTTAACACTGGATACAGTCCTAGTGGGAATTGCTGAAGCCGTAGACTTCCAACGAAGAGATCAAGGAGGGGTTAAAGTTATCTTGCCAGGCTGCTTCCCATGGTGTGTAGTCATGAGATCCACGCGGCATAGAGGGCAACAAGGATTCGTCAACATCCACCCTTCCATGCAATCTCTGTGAAAGATATGATTGCATTTACGTTTCTTGGAGATACAGATGAGCTGTCGTGGACTGTATCCTTCCAGACAAATTAGGCAACGAGCCGCATCTTTGCTCTTCAGCGGCGGAGGATGCCAAACGTGCGTGTCTGTTGTCATGCTGCTTTCTGACGACGACGATGACGGTGATGAGGAAACAATCTGGCATTGAAAGCTAGTTCGGAATAGTATCCTCTTGTCTTGGATTGGATCCTGCTGCTGGCCTTCTCGTTCTGCTATGATGGAAGATATCAGGTCACGTTCCCTGGCGTATTCATTTAGTCGAAAGCTGAGAAACCTTAGATTCTCAGTGACGGCTGTTCGTCCTCGTGGCACCTTCTTAGGCCGCCCTGTTGTCCCGACGCCGTGACATGCCATTGCAAGCTCCATTTTCGAGCCGTAAGCCCATAGACCTGATATCAATGATTTGGATATATTCAGTCCGAAAGATCAGGATCGCGGTTGAGAAATTAGGTGTCACTTGGCTTCGCTTTGGTGAGACTTTTGTGTCCTGATTTTCTGAAATCTGCACTCAATCGAACTTTTGTTCCCGTGTTGTTTTCTTCTCTATTTTATTTTAAATACGCGAGTCCTTTTATTGCAGAAACAGCTGGCTCGTAATAGCGTTTGGTTATCAGCAGAATAGATTTGGTCGGACTGGTCATTCATGATAAAAAAACTAGCCGTTTTCATACACGCGCCTGCCGAACTTCGTCAAAGAGCAAACATCAAGCAAACGGCAAACTTCCGTTTCATCTCGTCGCCGAGGAGGAGAGCAAGGAGATACCCCATACCTCTATCTCACGTATTCACAGTCACTGAAGACCAAAGCATAACCAGCGACATAACCAGGCAATTCAATTCAACCATGATAACTTACTTCAGTCCCACCTCTCCAATGGTTGACGAAAACATGAAATCTCGTCGCCGAGGTTCTCTGTCTTCCATTTCTTCCAAGAGATCCTACGAGCCTCCAGCAGCAATGATACCACATGACGCCTTAAATGGCAGCATAAATGTAACGAATCGACGATCCAAGGCGAGAGGTCTCAGCCATAGCAGCAGTCGTACGAACGCAAACAACCACCAACGAAAAGGAATATCCAGCATTGGCGGCTCTGGCAGAAAGAACAATTTCATTTCACTTCACAAGCAGTCCAATTCTTCCTTCCTATCCCCTGACCAAACCACAACAAGAAACAATAATACCATATTTTCACCCCAATTCACTGATGAAAATAGCGGACGGATGACAATGGACACAGCTCCAGATACCAAACGTCAACGATTTGTTGGTTCAATTCCATCACTGGCCATCATCAACAAGGCAACCTATGAGGAAGAGTCAGGAAGCGAGGAATCCAGAACGCTACAGGTGGAAGAAGAAAGTCAAATGAATACATCTGTCCGTCAACCTAGTCCAAAGCCAATCAATCCCAAAGCGGCCAAGGCAATGAAACACCCAAAGTCAACTCCTCGACCACCCAAACAAATCATCAAGTCGTTCTTTACATCTGCGTTGGCTTCAAAGAAACCTAGAGTCACACTCTCTGACGACCAAATGAATGATAATAGTGTGAAATTCGAAACCATCACAACGGCTACTACTAGCGTATCCGATCAGAGGTACTTGGCTCCAGCCGGAATTTTGAGTTTTGACCAAGTCTTGCTGCCCGCTATTGGCCTCATGGAAGAGAAGATGTTGAAGAAGATACAATCCAAAGTGCAGAGAGATGCTCCTGAATACAAAACAGCGGTAGAACAAAGCCGATCGCTCGTCCGAAAGAGTATTCTTGCTGCTACCAAGGCAGTCGAAGCATCCAGAAAGCAACTTTACTTGAAGCAAGAACAGACTCGAAAAGATCTAGCTATCAAGAGACTCATTGCTAGAGAAGCACAATCCCTAATAATGGAGCAACAGCGCAAACGACGAGAAAGTGAAATGGAAGAGCAACGGAAAGTTCGAGCAGCCGAACGAAAGAAGCAGCTGCAGAGCAATTTCCCTCGGAACCAAGCTCTTCGTGCTGAAGTTGTCAACTTGACATTCAATCTTACCAAACTCGAAAAGGAGGAGAAACGATGGATCCAAGCCGAAAAATCGGTAATCCAACATGAGCAAGAAAATTCATCTTCAGGTGGAGAAACAGGAGCGGCTCATGCACCACAAGTTGTGACCATTCGAGTGGAAAAGGACCAGTTGCAGGAGCAGACCGAGAATACTATGCAAGATATTGTAGTATCCTCGACTCGCATCCAACAGGGTCTTTCTGTTGTTCAGAAGATTTACCAGGAATCCGAAGCGGTTCAAAAGGAACTCTATGATACCTACCACAAGGACCACATGTTCCATGGATACCAAGGAATCCAGAATAAGGCAGGAATGATTCGATTCCTCAGTCAAGAGGACTAAGGAAAATGAACGAGTATCAATCAATCATTTTATGAACTGTCATCATCATGCCATGCAATGTAAAAAAAAGGGAATATACGGGGGATTGAAATGGAATGACAGTTGCAGCTAAGAGCTCCTTTCAAGATTCAACAGAATGAAGGAAAAACGAAATAGGTCGAATCGAATCGAATACAATACTAGAATCAATAGTTTCGTTGCAAACTCTAGCTAATAGTACTCGACTAGTTGGCAACTGAGAATGTAGCCTCGTCGATTGCCTTCCAGGCTGCCGTATCGGGTAGTCCTGCATTCCGAACCATGTCCAATTCATCCACATGGAGGTAATGGCCTGAGTATTCTGACGGGGCTGTCAAGGCTAGTAGTAAACCATCTTGAATGGACTCGGCAGTTCGAACTCCAGCCTTGCCAGGTGCCTTGGGAAAGCTCTTGGTATCGATCATGCCTGGGCTGATCGAATTCACCACAATTTGACGATCTGCCAGTTCTTTGGCCCAGCAGGCAGTCAATCCTTCAAGAGCAAACTTGGAAGCCACGTAGAATGACATGTTTGGCAACCCAACCTTGCCGGCTTTACTGGAAATGTTGAGGATATGCCCGTCTTTTGGCATGCAATGTTGCAACACTTGCGATGTTACAATTTGTGGTCCAATCACATTGAGTTGAAGCAAGTTTTGCAAGTCGTCACTATCCAAAGAGTCGACGGGTCCCTTGTTCGACGCTCCGCCAGCATTATTGATTAAAATGTCCAAACCGCCCCATTGGTCCTTAATTTGCTGAACCATTGTCTCTACGGATTGTTTGCTCGTCACATCGGCCTCATACAATTGCATCGAAACAGAAAGAGTCGTTTCATTGTCAGTACACTCTTCTTCTTGGGCCAACGAACTGCCATCGCTTATTGGAGGCAACCATGACGAGGCTGCCAAATCGATCGTCTCTTGCAATTCTGATTTTGTTCGCGATGATATGGCTACACGAGCTCCCTGTTGGTGACATATCAAGGCAATCGCTCGGCCAATACCTCGACCACCTCCCGTCACCAGGACTCGTTTTCCTTGGAGCAATAATAGTTTCTGTGATGCTTGTGTAGTCATTGCGGTAGTAAAAGTAGAAAGTCCCAAAATGAGAATAAGACCAAGTCGATAGGATGGATACATGCGTGGAAAAACGAATCAAGAGTCTATGACAACGATAATGATAATGATGTGATTGTATTATGGAATGACTTCGAAGATTCTGATCAAAATGCATATGATGCGATGTGATGGGTGGATGACGTTTTGGTCCGTTTAGTCAAAGTCAAATCATCAGTAAAGATATAGATGCGATATGATAAAATTATAACAGCGCATCAACATATAGTTTGTTTCCGACAGTACCGTACTGTATTATGCCATCGACTACACGAAACCTAGCCTTCTTTTTCCTTTTCGCTTGCAACTCTCTTCAGTACTCCTTCGCTTTTTCTCGATCCACACCATTGATGATGAGCACAAGTGGTGGTGAAACCTCAAAGACAATCTATGGGGTTCCCGAATCTGGTTGGACTTCACCAAAGTGGAATTGGGGATATGCTTCTGGAACTGGACATGACTGTGCAGCGATTTGCCGCCAAGTTTATTCAGCAAAACAATCTAGAGAGGTTCTTGTGAATGATTTGATTGCTGCATCAGGACAACCAGAAGATTTCGAGGAAGTCAAGCTGGTTCTCGGTCTGGCCTTTCAAAATGGTCGATGGGATGGATCGGATGGTGGACAGGGTGGATACGGGGTCGTGCTTTCCCACCTGGCGGAAGCACAGCGCTATGAAGTTGGGTCAGAAGAACAGTGCTCCAAGAACTTTGTTCAAGATATGCAGGCAAGATTTCAGCTCCTGGGACCGTCACCTGAAGATCAAGCCTTGATGGATGAGCAACTAGATGAACCAAACGTAGATGCTGCTCGCCGTCGTTGCAGTGGATTAGTACTGAAAACGATGGGATTTCTGAAGAATGGACTGTAATGATAATACAGAAAAAAAGAAATGACTAGTCTCCTAGTCCTAGGCATGCCGAAAGGATATGAATATTTGGAACAATGCATGGGCATAATATATGCCCACATTTGCAAGTAAAATTAACTTTTTGTGCTATCATTGTGAATCAAACCGCTGCTCAAAGTCGTTTGGCCAAAAGTTTGTCGTATATGGCTTTTCAAAGTTATCCGCGGCATCTGGAGGATGAAACCAGTAGTTCATTGCCAGATGCCCTCCCTTGCCTCCAAAGGATCGTACTTCATGGAACCAAGAGGCTGGTAGATACAAACATTCTCCTTCTTCCACCGTACAAAAGGCAGCCTTGGCGTTCAACATATCTGGGAAGGATTTGTCTAGCTCCTTCTTGTCATCCAGAATGTCAAATGGCACCCGACTAAAGTTGTCAGGGTTCTTGACAGTTCTGTCGACCAAACGTCGACTTGAAGCAGTAGAACTCGGCTTGGAATCATTTTGCTCTGGCTCATCTTCTTCTTGGCCATCATTTTCATCATCATCGTCATCATCGCCGTAGTCGTTGTTGTCGTTATCATCAAACTTGGCTCCTTGAGACGAAAACAATGTCCCGCCATCTTCATCTTCATCGTCGTCCTCGTCATCTGCTTCCGCATCCAACAGCGCTTCCAGAGCATCATCCATGGCAGACTCGGCAGCTTCCAAACGTTCTTGAGCCCCATCTACTCCGTTTTCCACGTCTAGTTCTGCTTGAGCGAGCATAGATTCTGCGCTTTCTTTTCGCATCGCCGCTGTGGCAGCCGCATCGGACTTGAGATCTGCTCCATAGGCAGTCGTCTCGTCCCCTTCGTAATTGATTCTCCCATTTTCATGCACCTGTAACAACTTTCCTCTGGTGTACATTTTCTCCGTATCCATGGGACTGAAGAGACGGAATCGTTTCTTTCCCTTCAGAACCAAATACAAGTTGTCATGATAGTCATGATGCAAACCAGACGACGCCCCATCCGAGTTGTTCCCCATCCACACGTTGATATTCTGCGGCACCAGATTCCCCATTAGAATAGGACGCAGTGGAAAATCGTCTTGAAATCGTTTCATAAAGGGTGCCATGAGATCAGGCCGACCATCCTCGTTGGCTTCCACATCTTGGGTCGTCAGATAATGCATGGCATCTCCCTTGGCAATCAATTCCAGTAGCTCCCCAAAGGCCATGGATTTTTCATTGCCCTTTCCAAAAGAATCTTTTTCAGAAGACCGTTGTTCCACCACGACGGTCGAATCTCCTGCCTTTGTTCGGAGGTAGTCAACGGACTTCCAATTGTCCAAGTTGGGCGCGTCCGCAACTTTTTGCAACGATCCCCGAATCACCACCGGTTTTCGCAGCCGAACATAATCTCTGTAAAATGATTCTGGCGTGATCGTGTCAATATCGACTGTTTCCAAAATGTGACTGTTGGAAGGAACCGTCCAGCCAGAATATCGGTTCAAAGGATCTCCTTTCTGGCGTTTGTCTGCTGGCTCATTCTGACTTCTTGATGTCGTTGTTCGTATTGTTGTTGTTGTTGTTCTTGTTCTTGTTGACGATGGCGATTGTTCTTTGTTTTGTTCTTCCAACAAAACAGAAGCAGATCGCTTTCCATCCAGAAGGATTTCTTTTAGCTTTCCATAGTTGGCCTTTTCCATGGCACCTTCTAGAATGCCTTCCATTATTGTTGTTGCATGCGTGTTATTGTGCTAACCGTATCTATACCCGCATTTGGAGTTCGGATGCACTTTCACTTGTTTCTCTTCGCGTTGCGATTGGTCGTCGAACAACGAACGCGTGACTGCGAGAACGCGTAATACTACGACCAGACGAAAGGGAATCTGGAATTACATAATTGTTACGAACAAAAAAGAAAACCGAACCCCGAAACTTTTAAAAACACGTATCGTTCGAATATTCCCGCTGGCATCGCCTCAACAAAGAATTATCGTACAGTCGGTATATATCGTACGTCTGATTAGGCCCAAGAGGTACGCACGACCAACACGACATCATCGGAACCATACGTCTGATCACATTTCAACGGAAAAAAGGAGACATTCGTCGCCTTTCACGACTATGTATCTGGCAAAATAAGCGGACGAGGGTTGTCATAAACCAAAACCTGACTATTTCAACAATGATCAAAGATAAAGAGCTAGCTACAGAGCCAACAACAGCCACCATGGATCATCACCACGACAGCCATGAGGAGGATGCTGGCGAACCCAAGTCTCCCAAGAGAGATACGACTAAATTATTGTCCAAAGTGAAAAAGCCATCGTCGAAACGAAGCCTCAAACACAGTTCTGGTGCTTCTGTTTCTAGTGGAAAGAGCAGTAAGAGTAGTAAGAGTGGTAAGAGCAGCAAGAGTAGCAAGAGCAGTAAGACAAAACTTCCAAGCGATGTCAAGATCGTTAAGGAAGCAAAGAAACTTGCCAAGAAGTTCGACGTTGAAGAGAAGAGCTTCAAGGCCATTGTCTCGCTCCTCTACAAACGCCTTAACCTCACTCAGGACGATAAACCACGACTCATGAAGAAGAAGAAATTGATTGTTTCCGCAATGGAAGAAGAAAGAGCCTCTCATTCCAAGACCCCGAAAGCTCCACTCGAAGAAAAGGAGGTTGAAGAGGAGAAGGAGGTTGAAGAGGAGAAGGAAGAAGAAGAGAAGGAGGAAGAAGAGAAGGAGGAAGAAGTGAAGGAACCGGATTACCTTGATCCAAATTTTGAACCAAAGTCGTTTGAAGAGCACAGGGAAATGGTGCTCGCCAGGGCCAGAAAGGAAGCTGAGGAGGAACAAGAACATCATCAAAAGCTCATTGAAGTGGAACGGCTCAAAGCTCAAGCCGAAATGGAATTGCAAAAGGCCGAGACTCTAGCAAAACTAAGAAAGCAAAGACTAGAAAGAGAACAGAAAGATCAAATGAGAGAAAAGATCAGACAAAATTCGGTCGAAGAAGATAACGAACATTTCTTTGCTGGTGTCAACAGTATGAATGACCAGCTGATGGCACGAGCAGAAGAATACAAGGAATCCTTGGAGGACCAAGCGCGCAAGGGAATGATCATCTTGCGACCGCGAGACGACATCGAGCAAGAGCAAGAACGGGCAAAGTCATCGAATCCCCAATAGTTTCAACTATACTGTTTGACCGATCCCTGCCATTGAAACGCAACGGATTGTCGAAGTTTTCCTAGCCACATAAAAGATACTTGAAGCCTATTTGTCCAGTTTCTTTTGCACGATTGGCCATATTGGTAGACTTTTCGCGGTACATGCAGCAGAGCAGAATGAAAAGGTTCATGTTGCGATAGATTCTTCGGTAAGCGTTTCCTCTCCTGATTATGATCTACAACATGCTTTCAAGAGCACCTTTTAGTACAGTTCTATTAAGAATAACAATCATCAACAATCCATTGGAGTTCACCAATTCCAGGATTAAGAGCGCAAGGCGGTTTTACCGGTTCCTTAAGCGATGATTCACTCGGTACAAGGCCAGCATCGCTTGCTTCATGCTTCCAGCATCGCTCCCTTCACGCTTCCAGCACAGCCAATACGATGCACAAACAAAATACTTAATTTCCATCCTGGGGCATCACTTATGATCGCAGCTGAAGCCTCAATTCATTCAGCTTCGCCAAGGTTTTACAAAGAATTGGATAGTTGAGGTGAACCTGGCTCGGTCGGTGTTTTACAAGCTTCCTTACTACCATCAATACCCCTGATTTGATGCTTCAATTGCTTGACCTTTCCCACAGCGCCCCATTCCCCATAGAATCGAATCGCTTCGGTCATTCGATGCACTGCACCATCCGAGCAAGTATGCAACAAAAAGTCTGCGTATCGCTCATTGCACAAACCACTGTGCATCAAGTGGCCTATTTTGATAGCCGATTCGATCGATGCTTGATACAGTTTGTGGGCCTTAGCATACGTCTTGGAGCTCAAGGCAGCATGTTCAGCGTCTAGCAGCAAGTCATAGTGCTCGACATTGGGATTGCCATCCTTGATCCACTGTTTGACAGTCTTGCGAATCTTGTTTGCATTGGTTCTGTACTTTCTCTTTTTGTGTCGGCGCGCAGCTGCAAACAAGGCAATTCCTCTGTGAAACATTTCTATCATTCCGAGAAAGACACCGGGGAGAATCTTTTGGTACTTATCGCCATCTCGAAGAGCTCGCTCTGCAGCTAGATCTATATTCGACAGAAGAAGTAATTCGCCCTCGACGAAGACAACATTGCCATAGATTGGACCAGAAGTTACCATTATATCTCGCTCGGCACTGAAAGTATTTCCTTCGAGCTCTGGGACGATACCGTCTCTGTTGGTCAGATTCTGAACCATTTGTAACAACATCTTAATGATAATTGCCTGCTCTGTTTGGCACAGTTCTTCGAAGCATGATATGAGCTGTGGCGAGTCCTTCAATATCGCCGTTAAGGAATGGCCCATGGCATACGGCAGCCAAGAAAACGCTTTGGATACCGTGAGATTAGAACCTTGAGGAACAACGAGATTGCATTGAATCGAAGAACCTTACCTAAAACGAGGCTCCAAGTTCCATACTCAACATCACCTACCCTCATGGCAGATTTATAGAATTCCAGAGCTGGGGCAACACAATTTTCAAAGGGCAAGTGCCAGCAAAGGCAAAGAATATGACCCGTCCATCGAGCATGACCTTCATATCGAGGTCCTAACGAATCTTGAATCGACAGCGCCTTTTGGACGCACATCAATGAAGTGCCAAAGTCTTCTTTCAAAACTGCCCATGCCATGAATCCGATGTTGACTAGAGCTACTCCCGACAGATCATTGGTTCCATATTTCAGCGTCTAAAGTCGAAACAAAAATGAGTCAGGAAAGTCGGGAAGTCACATGGCAACCGGATGGGTCCAGATACTTACCATTCTCGCCTGATGAGATATACTCAAGCCCGACAGAAATATCAACTCTAGATGATAACTGCAAAATCCTACGCGTTCCAGCAGCCTGGTGATGGCAAGGTTCTTTGGATCAGTCATTTCAATCATTGATGCGACTCCGTCCTTTTTCGAAGCCCACTTCATGGTTGCTTTCATAACCTTGAGTAGATTGTGAATTGCCTGGATGGCGACAGTTTTCTTGCTCCATACAAGAGGATAATTCAACTCGTTCAACAGGCTCAAGCTCATATCCAGGGCCTCCTTCTTCGCACCAGCTTCTCCAGCACTTAGCTTTTCAATAAATGCCATACTCAAAGGCAGCCTCTCCATTACACTTATATTTTCCCTGGCGAACACAGCGTCGGAGAAAGTCGTGGCGGCTTCGCGATTGTCAAGAGCAAGCTGCATCTTTGTGCCCAAAGAATACAACGCCAAAGTCAGATCTTTATGAGACGTCCAGCAGTCTCTTGGTAACAATGCAATGCCACACTGCACATAACTCTTTGCACTTTCGAATGCGCTTAGCCCCTCCGCCTTCTCCGCTGCCCGTAGATTCAGAGCGGCAAGATCTGGTCTCGCGCTGACATCGCCATGGTTGATCATATCCACTACATCGAAGAGCTTTCTATCCATTTGTTTGTCATTCAGGGCCGACACCAAAGTCTTGCCGATCTTGAATTTGAACGCGTCGTTGACAATGTCGGTCAACGAAATGGCTGCCTCTTGAACCTTGTCGTGGAACCATTTGTAGCCATCATCGCCACCACCATCATATGGTTCGACGAATTGCTCGTCTTGCATCACCTGGAGCAAACCCAAAGCTGGAGATTTGCCTGTACCATGCTCGTTCCAAATGGTGTCTATAGTGTCCAGCGTGAAGCTTGTTCCAATACAAGCAGCATACTGTAGAAGCAGCTGCACATCCTCTGACATTTTTCTCATACGACCTTGAAGCAGATCTACGACATCCGACATGAAGCAAACCCTTTCTTTAATCTTGACAATGTCCCATGTCCATTTTGATTCACTTCTGTTGAATTGCAACAGATCTTCTTTCTCGAGCATTGCCATGAACTGAAGCACAAAGAATGGATTTCCCAATGTTCGCTTATAACATAGCTTTGCTAGTCCTAAAGTCTCATTTTCATCCTCAATGGAAAGTTTGGTCATCATTATCTTGTTGACATCTTTTAGAGCACAGCTGTGGACTGTAATCTCAGTCAAATTGAAACCACACTTTCTTTCTCTCTCCTTCAAACGTTCGACACTCCGAGAAAGTGCATCCCCTTCCATCACCTCTTCGGATCGAAAGCATCCAATGATCATTAGTTGGTTGAAGTTTTGCATATCTGAGACCAGATAATCGATCACTTGCAAAGATGATACATCCGCCCATTGCAAATCGTCTAATACGAGCACAATGGGAGAGAAGACAGAGTTCAACGCTCTGCTCAGCAACCTGAAGGAATACTTCCATCTTTCTTGTCGGTTTTCTAGACTTGAACTTGAGATATTCTTAACAGCACTTTTCTTTGCATTTGTTGGTAGGCCTATGATCTCGCTTAACTCAGGAATCAACCCAAGAAGGAGATCCTGGACTTCACCGTTGAGTTCCTTTGATAGAAGGTCGCTAACTGCAGCAATTGATTCCTCAGAATGAGATAACAGCTGCCGACATAGTGTACCAAACGCCTTTGAGACACCCGAATAAGGCTGAAAGGCGGAATATGAGAGCGATTTCGTTGTTACGTTTGCTCAATCGACGGATACATACCTCGTTACTTGTAGTTAAGTCGAATTTTCCCTCCACGAAGAGTGCATTCTCAAGACGGGCAACATCTTTCATGAGGCTCCTCGTTAAAGAAGACTTCCCTACTCCCGAATGCCCCAGAACGAATACAAGCTCTTTGTCTGCTTGTGGGATGTCAGTCGTGAAATTTACGTCACACCTGACGATAGTGCCCTCGGTCTTCGCCACCATGCGTTGGAAGCACGATTGCAGAGTTGATACCTCCTCCTCTCTTCCAAATAGCCCAAGGTCTGGCATTGTATTAGGATTAGCTGGTTCAATAGAGGGTAGGTTGATGTTTTGGAACTGTGACACACAATTTTAAAACTGTAACCGCTTTCGAGATGATTTCATCAAATGACGAGATTCTGAACGTGTAGAACAGTGACTCTCGCACAGTATTTTTTATCAGAAGAGCGAACAATTTCTTATCGGAATAGCGCTACCATCATTAAATATCTGTTCGTCGGGTCTTTCTAAAAGGTTTTTTCGTAACGCGATGTTCATTTGTGATCGAAAATACTCCCAAGGCGATATCTTGATAAACCTTTTCATCCTACGCCTCTACCTATTAGTGAGTCATATTTTTGTGATACTCGTACTGATAAAATATTAGTGTTTCCAGACAACCCCCCGGTTACCTAAGTTCTACAAATCATGACATGAACCAGATGAACCTGGTTCCGTTGTTGTTTTACAAGCTTCCTTACTACCATCAATACCCCTGATTTGATGCTTCAATTGATTGACCTTTCCCACAGCGCCCCATTCCCCATAGAATCGAATCGCTTCGGTCATTCGATGCACTGCACCATCCGAGCAAGTATGCAACAAAAAGTCTGCGTATCGCTCATTGCACAAACCACTGTGCATCAAGTGGCCTATTTTGATAGCCGATTCGATCGATGCTTGATACAGTTTGTGGGCCTTAGCATACGTCTTGGAGCTCAAGGCAGCATGTTCAGCGTCTAGCAGCAAGTCATAGTGCTCGACATTGGGATTGCCATCCTTGATCCACTGTTTGACAGTCTTGCGAATCTTGTTTGCATTGGTTCTGTACTTTCTCTTTTTGTGTCGTCGAGCGGCTGCAAACAAGGCAATGCCTCTGTGGAACATTTCTATCATTCCAAGAAAGACCCCAGGACCGAGCTTTTGATACTTATCGCCATCTCGAAGAGCGCGCTGTGCGGCAAGATCCATATTTGATAGTATAAGCAATTCACCTTCCAAGAAGTGAAGGGTAGCTTGAAGTGGGGCAGTGCTAACACTATCTCTTTTTCGGCTAAAGATCGACCCTTCAAGCTCTGGGACAACATCAGTGTTTTTTGTGAGGCTGGCCATCATTTGGAAGTACATCTTCACACTTGTCGTTTGCTCCGCTTGCTGCAACTCATTGAAGTGAAGGATAAGCTTGGGACACTCGTTCATCGCCGTCGCTAGTGGTTTCCCGCTGGCATACGGCAACCAAACGTAGGCGAGGGCGAGGCTGTAAGTTGCGTACTCGGTGTCTCCAACTCGCATTGCACTCTTGTAGCACTCCAGGGCTACGTGATTGTCGAATGCCCGATTCCAGTACAAACAAAGAACATATGCAATCCATCTTGCTTGGCCTTCATATTGTGGATCCAAGGTATCTTGTATCAGCAAGGATTTTTCAATGGTGGACGAGGCAACACTGAAGTCTTCCTTCAGAACAGCCCAAGACATAAAACCGATGTTGACCAACGCAATCCCAGACAGATCGTTCTTGCCATGCTTGAGACTCATATTCACTTGGTGGCAAATTCCCAGCGTAGAGAGGTAAATTTGCTCCAAGTGATAGCTGTTGTACCCAACGTGAGCTAGCAGCCTAGTGATTGCAAGAAGTCTTGGGTCGGTCATCGCGCTCATCAATGCGTCTTTTTCATTCTTCTCAGCCCACTTCTTGGTCGCTTTCATCGTCTTGAGTAGATTGTGAATTGCCTGGATGGCGACAGTTTTCTTGCTCCATACAAGAGGATAATTCAACTCGTTCAGCAGGTTCAAGCTCATATCCAGGGCCTCCTTCTTCGCACCAGCTTCTCCAGCACTTAGCTTTTCAATAAATGCCATACTCAAAGGCAGCCTCTCCATTACACTTATATTTTCCCTGGCGAACACAGCGTCGGAGAAAGTCGTGGCGGCTTCGCGATTGTCAAGAGCAAGCTGCATCTTTGTGCCCAAATAATACAACGCCAAAGTCAGATCTTTGTGAGACGTCCAGCAGTCTCTTGGTAACAATGCAATGCCACATTGCACATAACTCTTTGCACTTTCGAATGCGCTTAGCCCCTCCGCCTTCTCCGCTGCCCGTAGATTCAGAGCTGCAAGATCTGGTCTGGCGCTGACACAGCCATGGTTGATCATATCCACTACATCGAAGAGCTTTCTGTCCATTTGTTTGCCGTTCAGGGCCGACACCAAAGTCTTGCCGATCTTGAATTTGAACGCGTCGTTGACAATGTCGGTCAACGAAATGGCTGCCTCTTGAACCTTGTCGTGGACCCATTTATACCCATTGTCACCATATTTCTCAATGAAGGCCTCGTCCTCCATTTCACGCAGCAACGCTACAACATCAGACGTATTCTCGGAGTCATCTGTACCGTGCTGCTTCCATACAATGTCGATCGTAGGCACAGTGAAGCTTGTCCCCAGACAAGCCGCATATTGTAACAATAGCTTCATTTCATCTGACATCCTTTCCATACGACCTTGTAGCAAGTCTACCACATCGGACATGTAATTTGCTCGAGCTTTGATCTTGTCCATATCCCAAATCCATTTGGACTTGCTCTTTTTGAATTCCAATAATCCTTCTTTCTCAAGCATTGCCATAAACTGAAGCACGAAGAACGCATTCCCCAATGTTCGTTTGTAACATATCTGCGCTAGCTGCAAAGTCTCATTTTTATCCTCAATGGAAAGCTTTTTCATTATGATCTTGTTCACATCATCCAGTTGACAGCTATTGATTTTCATTTCGGTCAAGTTGAAGCCATACTTTTGTTGTCTTTCCTTCAGGATCTCGATGTTGCTCGATAATATGTCCCCATCTTCGACTTCTTCAGATCGATAACATCCAATTATCATCAATCGATTTGGGTTTTGCATGTCTGAGACCAGATAATCGATGACTTGCAATGATGATACATCAGCCCACTGTAAATCGTCTAACACAAGGACGATGGGAGAAAAAACAGAGTTCAATGCTCTGCTTAACAATCTGAAGGCATACTTCCATCTCTTTTGTCTGCTTTCGAGGCTGCCCTGCGGCATGCCGTTCCCTGTATTTCGCTTTGAACCAACATATGGCCCGACGACAGTCTTGAGCTCTGGAATCAATGGAATAAGGTTGCACACTTCATCTTCGAGTTCCTTTGATAGCAATTTTCCGACAGCAGTAATGGATTCTTCCGAATGAGATAGCAGATGCCGACAGATTGTGCTGAATGCCCTTGCGACACCTGAATATGGCTGAAAAACAAAAGATGAGAGAACGATTTCGCAGTACCATTTGTGCAAACGAAGGGGTCCATACCTCGTTACTGGTAATCAAATCAAACTTTCCCTCCACGAACAGTGCATTGTCCAGGTTGTTGACATCCTTGATGACACTCCGACTCAAGGCTGATTTTCCTGAACCTGATTGCCCTGCTAGTAAGACCAGCTCTTTGTCTATTTCAGATTTGAGGAAGCACTCGGTCATTGTGACATCTCCATCTGTCACAATACCTTCGGGCCCAGTATTCACCAGTCGTTGAAAACAGGACTTTAGAGTTGATACTTCCTTTTCTCGTCCAAACAGTTCCAGAGATGTCATGTTTGGTAGTCCCAGTGACTCAAGTTCTTGTTAGGATCTACAGTATTTTTTTAATGTGGGATATTTGTGAAACGGATGAGCGCGATTGAGTGATACGGTGGTGAGAATTTGCAGTTTCAGGCTCGATGATGTGAATTTGAGATCTCCTGGAACGCAGAAAACAGTGGTGGACAGAATTTTCGCTCTTTTTTCTAATGCCGAAAGTTTCACCAGCGTAATAGAAATAGCGCTTCACTTATTAAAAAAGAAAATCACCTAGACTTCCTGGCACTGAAATTCTTCGAGAATGTCCGGATCATTCGCAACTTAGAATTTTTTTATATAACGATATTCAATATATATTAGACGTGGTGAAAAATGAAAGGCACATTTTTTCACACACTACAACAATTGACGTCAAGCATTGCAGTTGCCAGTTGGTAAGGTATCATTTCCCCAATATCATACCGCGACCTACAGTTGGTTGACCATTACCGGCACGTGCGTACCGGTACCTGGTACGCTAATATATAAAAACAAAATGCCGTGATGATTTTAAAAGCGTTCCATTCATGTCATGGCACAAACGGCTGGATGTCAGCCTCAAATCCCAATCTTCGAACGTCCACGAAAACTGGCTAGCTATTATGGTAGGTGGGCCCACGTGTCATGCAATACAGTAGGCTGCTACATGATGACATCGTCAAGCCATGATTCCAAGGTATCCTCAACTTCTTCTTGCGGTGGCGTTGGCCGTGGATCTACCGGCACTGCCGTGGCATGGTTCAGTGCGTTGACCATAACTGGGCGCTGTGGAATTGTGACTTCTTTTGGCATTGCAGTGGCCTGGGACATGGGGCTCGCATTATTCGATATAGTGCCCCCAACAAAGTCCGGAAAACTGGATACGGGAGGCCCGTTCTTGTTTCCAGGGGCAGCACGACCTATCCTGTCCGCCACTGCATCCCGATCAGTATCCATTGGATGATGCACTGCGGCCGAGGAAGCAGCATCGACTCCAACGATATCATCCAACCAGTTTTCGAGCATTTCTGAGTCGTCCGAAGGGTCCGCTCTCAGTGGAGGGATCATGCCGGCAGGTGGATCCTTCGTTGTTGTTGGCGGGTCAAGCTTGCCACTCGCTGGTTGAGCTATCCTGTTTCGATTCTTCGGAACGTGAACATTTCGCATACTGTTTGGAAGTCTTTGATCCGTCGTCGTGAGGGAATCTTCATCGTCTTCATCAATAACAGCATAACGATCAACATCAAATTCTCGAGACTGCCGAGATGCATCATCCTTCTTCATTCGAACCTCAATATCACCTTGTTCCGTGGCTTTGATCTTGTCAGGACCAATGGAATAGCTAGCATCGTCATTTCCTTTCTTTTTGTTGTTATTGTACTTGGTTTGTATGATACTGGATGTCGCGCCGTAGATAAGTGAGGGTGCCGCTGGAAGATTCGTCCTTCCCCGCTCCTGAATGCCACTGTACGAAGGACGAATGACATCTGCAGATTCATCATCGTCCGCCAAGCTCAAGCTGGCAAGGAAGCTATCCTCCTCCTTGCTGTCATTCTCGACGAGTTCTGGTGACGCTACATTTGCTGGAGGAGCAATCGTCATGTTGGTAGGAGATTCTCCGACGAGCTGCTTTCGGAGTCTGGCATTGCGAACCATATCTTCTGAATCTGCCTCTCCTCGTGCATCAATGGTTCTCATCATGGAAGAAAACCCTGAATTGCATGAGGATATTGTAGTTGTTACCACCATGGAGGAGCCTTCCTTTTGCAAGCTTTGCGCCACATGGGCTGGCAGCTTGAGTCTATCCATGACGGAAACACAAGTCAACAGGGTGGTTTCCAAGGAGGCAATATCCAAGGAAGAAGCGGAAGTGGCAAAGGGGTCTTTCGGTTTGTTTTCCTTTTCCTTATCCTTTCCGCCACCAAATATGGTGGACGTGTCATCCTCAACGTAGTATTGGGGAGCAGCTGAATCGGCAAGCAACAACATTTCGGATTCATTAATGGTGGTGTTCTGACCAATGGTGGATCGAGTCCGAGCCCGTTTCTTGTCAGCACTTTTGCCATGATTCGATTCGTAGCTATTATTATCTTCCTTTCCTTGTCTTGGTTGATCCTGATGGTATCCACGAGGGTGATGATCATTGTGTGGCTGCTGTGGCTGCTGTGGCTGCTGAGATTGATGATCGCGGACCTTGTTGCGAAATCGTCCTTTCGTGCGATTGTACAACACTTGTGAACGTCCCATTCTTTCTATTTCCTAGCTAAGGAGCTTGAGTTCAAAACGTGGTTCTTGGACAGCGGGTTTGGGAAGTGTATATGCAATATATAGCGGTATCTGACTTGCAACAGTAACTCCAGCGTGCAAGCAATGAACGCAGTACTCGTACAGCACAACTTTTATTAAAATATCATGCGCTCTACATACAAAGGCAGAAGCAGTCCGATGAATCGAACAACTGCGCACACAGCACGCGCAAGCTTACTACACCCATTTTGAGATGCACGCACGCGCGTGCCACTCCCAAATTCAATCAGCTGTCATCTCACAGAACGAAAACGGAAACGTTTGGATTGCACAACACGGTCTTGTGCACTCTTTCAATATGAACCTACAATGGATTGCTAATTGATGCATAACGCATATTTCATCAACAATGTCTTGACGAAGAAAGCAGACTTTATAGACGCATATTCTGGAAGCGACAAAACAATGGAAGGTTACAATCGCGACTCGGTACACTAGCCGCCTTGGAGAAACGTAGCAAAGTACTTGCTGCTAAGTTGAAGAAATTGGGAGAAAAACATCTCGAGACAGCAACTACATTGGTTTGGATAGGCAAGGTTTTCTGAAGCAACAAAACTGTGAAAAAAGACGAAGAAATCCCTTTCAATAATACATTTCCAACGTTCAATGATGGAAGATGGCATGCATGCTCTCCTCAAGAGTGCAGAGATTCTTGGAAACTTGCCTGGCGATGATCATCCCCGCACAAAGGAGCTTATGGCTAACCGTAACCATAAATCATCGAAGCTCAAGAATAATGCGATGGCACTGCATAAACAGGAAACGGCAATGCTTGCGCAACGTAATTTGGACAAGGCATTGCAACTCTTCCAAGAAGTGCGGATATTCACAAGGAACAATATAGTCATCATGAAAATATGGCAACAACCTACACAGTATATCGGCTGTGAAACTTGAACAAGGTTTACATAGCCCTGACGATAGATCAACTCCGGTGGCATTCGGTGAGAATTTTGAGTCCGTAAACGGTCGTTTTGGACCAGGTCAATGACTTTGATAATGATGATGACGACTCGCAAAGAAACAGATGGATGGTGATGACGACAAGGACATCAACAGCTAAGGAATGTAGAATCTAGTATTTGTTGTATAGTGAAATGTGATATCGAATCGACCATCTATTTTATGATTACTTCAATGACATAAAGTGTTCTGTCAAAGCCTGTCTGCGATGATAAGAATGGGCTACAGAGAAAGTATGACACCACTCGTCAATTGTATGACGATCTCAAATCTCCCATCTTTAAGAGTAGTGCCTCTTCCGGCCTCTGGCATATAATAAAGTGTTTTTGGCGTATTGACCGTTGACCGTCATCCAAAGTCTCCATCAAACTCCGCTTCATAGTCATCAAATTCAAGATATTGTGAAGGATGCAGCATATTCGCAACACTTTTTCCAACAGTTCCAATGCCTCGAAGTCGATCGGCTAATTACTTGAGTACCATAAACAGCATTGGACGCCGATTCACTCGGCGCAAGGTTGTCATCGCATGCTTCATGTTGCCATCACAATTAAGATCATACAATAGTTCTTCTAACTAGCTCCATTTTTAATCAATCGCCTGAACGCTTCTTATGATTTCAGCTGAAGCTTCTGTTGGTTCAGCTTCCTTACAGCACCTAAACTAATGTGATGATCGAGGTGAACTTGGCTCGGTTGGTGTTTTACAAGCTTCCTTGCTACCGCCAATACCCCTGATTTGATGCTTCAATTGATTGACCTTTCCCACAGCGCCCCATTCCCTATAGAATCGAATCGCTTCGGTCATTCGATGCACTGCACCATCCGAGCAAGTATGCAACAAAAAGTCTGCATATCGCTCATTGCACAAACCACTGTGCATCAAGTGGCCTATTTTGATAGCCGATTCGATCGATGCTTGATACAGTTTGTGGGCCTTATCATACGTCTTGGAGCTCAAGGCAGCATGTTCAGCGTCTAGCAACAAGTCATAGTGCTCGACGTTGGGATTTCCATCCTTGATCCACTGTTTGACAGTCTTGCGAATCTTGTTGGCATTGGTCCTGTACTTCCTCTTTTTGTGTCGGCGGGCGGCTGCAAACAAGGCAACACCTCTATGAAACATTTCTATCATTCCGAGAAAGACACCGGGGAGAAGCTTCTGGTACTTATCGCCATCTCGAAGAGCTCGCTCTGCTGCTAGATCTATATTCGACAGAAGAAGTAATTCGCCCTCGACGAAGACAACATTGCCATAGTTTGGACCAAAAGTTACCATTACATCACGCTTGGCACTGAAAGTGGACCCTTCAAGCTCTGGAACGATACCGTCTCTGTTGATCAGATTCTGAACCATTTGTAAGAACATCTTGATAATACTTGCCTGCTCCGTTTGACATAGTTCTTCAAAGCACGATATCAGCTGTGGCGAGTCCTTCAATAACACAGTTAAGGATTGGCCCATGGCATACGGCAACCAAGAATACGCTTTGGACACCATGAGATTAGAACCTTGATGACAAACGAGACTGTACTAAATTGTAGCACCTTACCTGAAACGAGGCTCCAAGTTCCGTACTCAACGTCACCTACCCTCAGGGCAGTTTTGTATAATTCCATCGTTGGAGCTACGCAAATGTCAAAGGGCAAGTGCCAGCAAAGGCAAAGAATATGACCCGTCCATCGAGCATAACCTTCATATCGAGGCTCTAATGAATCTTGAATGGACAACGCCTTTTGGACGCACATCAAAGCAGTGCTGAAATCTTCGTTCAAAACTGCCCATGACATGAACCCGATATTGACTAGTGCTACTCCCGACAGATCATTGGTTCCATGTTTCAATGTCTAAAGTCGAAACCACAATGAGTCAGGAAAGTCGGGAAGGCACATGGCAACCGGATGGGTCCAGATACTTACCATTCTCGCCTGATGAGAGATGCTCAGCCCTGAAAGAAACATCAACTCCAGATGATAGCTGCAAAATCCTCCGCGTTCTAGGAGCCTGGTGATGGCAAGGTTCTTTGGATCAGTCATTTCAATCATTGATGCGCCGTCATCATTCTTCTCAGCCCACTTCTTCGTCGCTTTCATCGTCTTGAGTAGACTGTGCACTGCCTGGATGGCGACAGTTCTCTTGCTCCATACAAGAGGATAATTCAACTCGTTCAACAGGTTCAAGCTCATATCCAGGGCCTCCTTCTTCGCATCCGCTTCTCCGGCACTTAGCTTGTCAATAAATGCCATACTCAAAGGCAGCCTCTCCATCACACTAATGTCTTCCCTGGCGAACACAGCGTCGGAGAAAGTCGTGGCGGCTTCGCGATTGTCAAGAGCAAGCTGCATCTTTGTGCCCAAAGAATACAACGCCAAAGTCAGATCTTTATGAGACGTCCAGCAGTCTCTTGGTAACAATGCAATGCCACACTGCACATAACTCTTTGCACTTTCGAATGCGCTTAGCCCCTCCGCCTTCTCCGCTGCCCGTAGATTCAGAGCGGCAAGATCTGGTCTCGCGCTGACATCGCCATGGTTGATCATATCCACTACATCGAAGAGCCTTCTGTCCAGTTGTTCGTCATTCAGAGCCGCTATCAAAGTCTTGCCGATCTTGAATTTGAACGCGTCGTTGACAACGTCGGTCAACGAAATGGCTGCCTCTTGAACCTTGTCATGGAACCATTTGTAGCCATCATTGTCATACGGTTCGATAAATTGCTCGTCTTGCATCACCTGGAGTAAACTGGAAGCGTGGGACTTGCCAGAACCATGCTCTTTCCAAATAGTGTCTATAGTGTCCAGCGTGAAGCTTGTTCCAATGCAGGCAGCATACTGTAGTAGCAGCTGCACTTCCTCTGACATTTTTTCCATACGACCTTGAAGCAGATCTACCACATCCGACATGAAGCAAACCCTCTGTTTGATTTTAACCATATCCCATGTCCATTTTGATTCACTTCTGTTGAATTGCAACAGATCTTCTTTCTCGAGCATTGCCATGAACTGAAGCACAAAGAATGGATTTCCCAATGTTCGCTTGTAACATAGCTTTGCTAGTCCTAAAGTCTCATTTTCATCCTCAATGGAAAGTTTGTTCATCATTATCTTGTTGACATCTTTTAGAGCACAGCTATGGACTGTAATCTCAGTCAAATTGAAACCACACTTTCTTTCTCTCTCCTTCAAACGTTCGATATTCCGAGAAAGCGCATCCCCTTCCTTTACCTCTTCGGATCGAAAGCATCCAATGATCATTAGTTGGTTGAAGTTTTGCATATCTGAGACCAGGTAATCAATCACTTGCAAAGATGATACATCCGCCCATTGCAAATCGTCTAATACGAGCACAATGGGAGAGAAGACAGAGTTCAACGCTCTGCTCAGCAACCTGAAGGAATACTTCCATCTTTCTTGTCGGTTTTCTAGACTTGAACTTGAGATATTCTTAACAGCACTTTTCTTTGCATTTGTTGGTAGGCCTATGATCTCGCTTAACTCAGGAATCAACCCAAGAAGGAGATCCTGGACTTCACCGTTGAGTTCCTTTGATAGAAGGTCGCTAACTGCAGCAATTGATTCCTCAGAATGAGATAACAGCTGCCGACATAGTGTACCAAACGCCTTTGAGACACCCGAATAAGGCTGAAAGGCGGAATATGAGAGCGATTTCGTTGTTACGTTTGCTCAATCGACGGATACATACCTCGTTACTTGTAGTTAAGTCGAATTTTCCCTCCACGAAGAGTGCATTCTCAAGACGGGCAACATCTTTCATGAGGCTCCTCGTTAAAGAAGACTTCCCTACTCCCGAATGCCCCAGAACGAATACAAGCTCTTTGTCTGCTTGTGGGATGTCAGTCGTGAAATTTACGTCACACCTGACGATAGTGCCCTCGGTCTTCGCCACCATGCGTTGGAAGCACGATTGCAGAGTTGATACCTCCTCCTCTCTTCCAAATAGCCCAAGGTCTGGCATTGTATTAGGATTAGCTGGTTCAATAGAGGGCAGGTTGATGTGGCGATGTTGTGCAATCCCTGTTGAAACGCTTTCAAATTACGGGCACGCGTCGAAAAGTGACTCTCGCAATATTCAGTATGTCGGAGTATCGCACGTCGGGTCTGAAAAACCTTCTTTATCCCACTTGTCAATAAACAGGGGTGCTGGAATACACCCAAGGCGATATCTCAGACGTGTCATCCTCACGCAAACTACCCGTTACAGAAAAGTAGCACCGTACTTCTACAAAATCATGCGATGAACCAGATGAACCTGGTTCCGTTGGTGTTTTACAAGCATCTTTACCATCAGTATCCTTGAAATTAAGCTCGATTTATTCACCTTCCCCAAGGCGCCCCATTCCCCATGGAAACCAATCGCGTCGGCCATTCGATACACTCCACCATCCGAGCAAGCAACAAAAAAGTCTGCATATTGCTCACTGCACAGACCACTGTGCATCAAGTGACCTCTTTTGTTAGCAGATTCATTCGATCGATGCTTAATCAATTTGTGGGCCTGGATATCAGCCTCAAATCCCAATCTTGGAACGTCAACGAAAATTGTTTTTTTGGCCGGTGATTTCAACTTCAGCTTCAAAATTCTATAGTTTTTACAATTGGTCCGAGATATGGAAGAGCGTTGACAATAATGGTTTCTGCACCGGAGTGGACATAGTACCCCTGACGATCAACTCTGGTGTCATTAGGCGAGACATTTGAATCCATTTTGGGTCGTTTAGCTTCCCTCCTTTCTCCCCTTACAGCCAGTTCCTTCCGAGATTGCCGCAGTCCGTGCTTCCAAATAGCTTGATCCAGTAGCGACAATGTCTCCTTTCGCTCAGACAAGTGAAGCAAAGCAAACAATCCATTGATCCCGTCGTCACGTTCAATATTGACATCTTCCTCGAAGAGACTGTTCAGTTTCTGGGCAATGTTCAATCTCCAAGGCTCGAAACTTAGACTATCTACTCGTCGATCTATCATGGCGTGAAGCATAGTATTAGCGAATGCCACAGACCCTAGTTTGCGGCTCCTGATTGCATATCTCAAGGCAGTATTCCCCAGTATATCAAACTGCCAAAGCTGATCGACAGGACACGATGTCTGTTTCAGAAGCAACTTAAATGCGTCAATATTTGGTTTTGAAGACAGTGCCAAGATGTGAAATGGTGTCAAGTCAAAGACGTCTTTGGTGTTTGTTGGATAGATCGTTTCGTTATCGTTCAGGGTGCCGATACCGGTACTGTCAAACATGGAATCATGAACTTCCTGATAACAGAATACATGGGCTGGCAAACCATCAAATCTATTTTTCAGGCAGTCATTCAGAGCGTTGCCATCACACCCGAAAGCTTGCTGAAGCTTTCCACAATGGAGAAATGCCGATGGGTCCACACCACAGTTTTTGGGAAGGGAAATACAGAAGAGAGACTTGCATCTAGTGAAAGCATATCGCCCAATCGATTGGAGTGTACTGGATACAATAGATATTTCTACTGTATCAAGGCTGCGGCATTGCGAAAAGGCCATCATACCAATGGAAATGACCGAGGATGGTACTAGAACCCGAGACAAACTCCAACAGTTTGCGAAGGCTCCTTTTCCAATGGTTTCTAGCCCCATTGGAAGATCCACATGAGGTAGCGCTTGACAATCCCAAAAGGCATTGACTCGAATCTCCACCACTGTAGATGGAATAGGAGCCTTGACCAAGGAGACACAGCGGATAAAGCAAGCATAAGGAATCGCAGACAAACCTTCTGGAAGATCCACAGTCTCCAGCGATTTACAATCACAAAAGGCGCCTGATCGAATGACTTCTACTGACGACGGTATTGACATTGTCTTGAGAGCTTGGCAGTTGTTGAAAACATTCTCCCCAATCACCTTTAGGCCCAGCGGCAAACGGACCTGCGTCAATATGACACAGCTTTTGAAGGCTTTGGAGTGAATGCTAGTTACATGGGACGCCACCTCCACATCAGCCACAGTTGCTGGTACGTCACTATCTTCGTCTTGGCTTCGGCCTTGGTATATGTAAGGATCCCGGCCAGAGGAGGCCATTGTCAGTAAGGCATGTTCCGACAGTTTTGATGATGATATACACTGCTGTAGCGGACAGCGCGGTGAATTAGCGATATATGAGGTCAGTCATGGGGAAGTACCCGGAGAAAGGAAGTCAAGTTTTTCAAAGTACCGGTATGTTTGAAACATGCTGTTAGAAATATGCTTTAAAAGTAGCCCAAATCAAGGACCCAAATAGCTGTGAATGTTTTAGTACAAGTACATGTACACGTACAGTGTAGGACTACTGTGTACTGTAGCGTTCACATTTAGTATTTTAATTTTAAAAAATTATATGCTGGAAGGGTAGGACTACCGGTAGTATAAAGACAATATTTTATAAAACAGAAATCACGCCACCCGCCGAAAAACATCATGGTAGTCTCAGAGTGCAATAAAAGTCACACAAAAAACTGTGTATCATAGAGTGACTATTTAACCGGTATATGTATCTGCTAACGGTATCATATGTGCAACTTGAGGACGATGAGGGCAGTATCCAGAACGGCAGCAGTAGTGGCATGATCATTCCTTCTTTTTGACGAATCATGATCCTTGTCTACCTACGTAATACTAATTCTTGAAAACTGGAACTTTCAGATCAGGAGGAGACGGACTGTGGTAAAAGATATCTGCTGTGGTGGTCCAAAACATCGAAAAAGCGGTGTCAGCAATGAAGCTACTTTTGTAAGAGGAGGCCCTGGGAGAATTAATCGCCTATTTCTGTACCCGGCCCGTAATAATTTGTAAGTTTTATTTTAAAATATACAGTAGGTTGTATAACCTACACTTTAGGTGGTTGTCATCTTTAGCAAAGATGCAAGCCAAGAACAATGAGAATTATGGGATTTCAGACTGGAATCTGGTCTTCCCACGCCACTAACTCCTCTTCGTCTTTGAAACACTGGTAACCGGCCGGTATGTAAAGGACCACGCAACAGCTGGTCGTAACTGTAGGTAATCTTGTTCTGTACGGTAACGGTAAGCAAGACAAAGTGACTTGAGAATGTCAACATGATTCAAAGAAGATATTGAGTTGAAGTGCAACTGCTGCCACAGGCAGCAAGTCGAAGTAGAGCGAACCAACATCCTCCTCCTACGCTTGTGGCGAATCAAGGCGAATCCGGGCGAATGCAAATAGAGAATGGTCGGATGATTTTATTAAAAGAAACTTGATCCGAACTTGAAGCTTAAGGGTATCTGCTCTCATGTACAGGTCATTTACTCTCTTCACGTCACCTTTGCATTTAACGATATCTGCAATAGATTTCATTTCATATAAAGGAATGTAGAAGTTCACAGTTCTGTGATGATTGTCAAAATCATCAATTCTAAAACCGTTCTGGGAACAATGTCACTTCTTCTGACGATTTTTACGGAATATCCCGTTTCACAAGATCATATATCACAGATCACATCCCAAACCTTTGCCTCACTGCTCTCATCATCATCATCATCAGTATCGTCATCATGTATCCTTCAACGCCCAACGACAACTCCCAAGACAACGAGCAATTCCGTGCCAACCGCCAACAAAGTCCTTCGGCGCATCCAAACGGCGATAACGAGGATGTGGCGCTTCCGCCGACGATGGAAGATACTACTAGCGATGATGAGCGGACCCACCAACACATTTCTTCTTCGATTGCGATCAGAACGAATACCGACAGTACGGCTCAAAACATGATTCCACTGCTGCTGCCACAACCACCAACCTCGCTTTTGTGGATGATGTCTCAGCCAAAACGAAGGCTCCTCCCCAGCGACGCTTCTCCCGAAGAACGAATCGAGTATGGCAAGGGTATCATCAAGGAAGCTCTAGACATCATCGATGGAAAGTATGACCAAGTGCTTGATTTTACGAACCCACAATAAAAGGCCGACACTCGTCCTCCAAGCAGGCAATTGGACTACATATTAATCACAATATCGACCACTACTCACTGCTGTATCATCATTCCAAGCTCACAATTAGTCTACTTCTGCTGTAGTAACAATATCACGAGGAGCATCTCCCTTTTTCAATATCTGCCACGAGCATCCAGAGTCAACGTAGGCACTGCTGCTTTAGCCATGCAGTTTTCCGCAATCGCAACGCGATGAGTTTGTTCTCGTTCTTCCCATGGAAGTTTCAAGAGTATCGGTATATATTCAATATAATAGGACGTTCTGTGCAAAAACGAGTACTTTGTCAGCCCCTTTTGAGACCAAGTGCTTTGTCATCCCCGTTTTGAAAGATAAAAAACATTGCGGATCATGGTACTGTGTGAGAATCAAATAAAACACAACCGCTACAGTAGAGATGGCTACAAACTAAAAGTTTAGAGTTCTAACTATGCTTCCAAGATATGGCGAGACATTTAGAATCACTGTTCCCGCGCCAGAGTGCAAGTAAGAACCCTGACGACTATCATCATCGTCCGAGAGCTTGGCCCGCTTTGCTGCTCTTTCCTGGCTTTCTTGATCTCCGTCTGCCTCCATCCTACATTTCCATAGTGCCTGTTCCAGGAGTGAGATGGATTCCTTTCGTTCATATAGTCTGAGCAAGGCAAACAGTTTATGAACATTCTGTGTTCGTTCTGCTGTATCTCTCCCTCCAAACGATTCAATCTCTTGAAGTATAACTGACTTCCATAATTTTGAACTCAAGCCATTTGTTCGCTTTTCAATCATAGCATGCAATATAGCTCTTATGAATGCTAAAGCCTCCGGTGCATAGTTTTCGATTGCATACCGAAGTGGAGTTGCCCGAGACTTGTCAAGCCTAAGAATACCATCCGTCGACACGGACGTGGCTTCCTCCATTAGTTTTTGCAGGGTAACAACACTGGGCCTTGAAGATAGTGCCAATATATGAAATGGAGTTAAACCAAACATGTCCTTGGTCCTGTCACTCCCTCTTTCGTCATCCTCAGAAAATGATGCAAACTCGATTGGCTTTTCGTCAGCATGACCCTGTTGATAGCATACCTTGTGGTGTGGCAAGTTGTCAAATCTAGACTTCAGCCGCTCGCGTAGATCATTGTCATCTAAATCAAATACACTGTGTTGGCATCCCCGGAAAGCCTTGGATGCCACGTTACAGTTCTTGGGAATTGCAATATTGATCAGGTTCGAGCAAATGTTGAAGGCATAGGACTCAATGGATTGAAGTCCAACATTCGTGCTGCAATCTTCTCCGAGGGATATCTCCACCGAACGCATAACGACGCATCCCGAAAAGGCCATGGAACCAATCGCTACCACAGTGGCAGGAATGAGAATCCTTGTGAGACTGCGACACGTCGTAAAGACACCCGGACCAATCCGACGAAGGCCATGTGGCAAATCCACATGCGGTAGTTGCCGGCATCCCCAAAAGGCATTGCGTCCAATCTCCAGTACTGTCGATGATATATGTACATGCCGTAAGGACTCGCAGTGTTGAAAGGTCTCCGCGGCAATCTCTGTCAAGCCTTCGGGCAGATCCATGGTTTGCAGCCCCGTACATTGCCGAAAGGCGCCGTAATGGATGACATTGACAGATGATGGAATGCCAATCGTCTTGAGGGAGGTGCATTTTTCAAAGGCGCTTTCTCCGATCACCTTTAATCCCAAGGGAAGACTCACTGACATCAACAACCTGCAATTTTTGAAGGATTTCGAAGTAATTGTGTCAACACGAGATTCCACAATGGCTTTTCGAATGTCCGTTGGAACATCAATCTTAGAATCATCACCGCCTTCTGCCTTTCCAGTGTAGATGTAGATCGTTGATGCCATAGCGTCAATGCTGCATTGACGCTGTGTCCCTTACGATATTCTCATCCTGCTGACAAATAATCTGATAAATTTCAGGCGGGCGTGACTGCGCTTTCATGTTTGCTGCTCGTGATGTTACGCGGGTTTCCATTTCATGAAGCGGGTCGCGTGTACGTGTACGTGTACGTGTACGTGTACGTATAGTGTACGCACGCGGCAAAAAAGCATGCAAATCTACCGGTATGTTGATGTACGGTATACCATCATCCGCATACAGTATAGGTCCTATATATTGTCCCAACAATCATCATCATTATCTCTCCAACATTATCGTCATATCTCGCACTTTTAATGGACAAATATATATAATGAATAATCGTGCGTCTTCGAAAGCGGAAAAAGATGAGAGTCTAGAATCTGAGAGCGCCGAACACGTCGTTGTGGCACGTCATGTCCAATCCATCGCAACCGCAAAATTCCAAGGACGCTCGTTGTTGACGACGGTGGAACTACCAGTGGGTTTGCAAGAGATTCAAAAAAAGGCCTTTAATCACTGCCTATCTTTGGTGGATATTTCTATACCATCATCTGTGCAAGTTATTGGCAAGAAAGCTTTCTCTGACTGTTATGCTCTTGAGGAAATGAACATTCCTGAAGGCATCGCGGTAATATCCAGTGGAACCTTTGCGAGTTGTGGAATGTTGCGCACTGTTCAACTTCCGACGACTGTGGTCAGGATTAGTTCCGACGCATTTTCATACTGTGCCAAGCTTACTATACAGCTACCACCAAAGCTGACGAGGATTGGCAATCGAGCCTTTTTGGGGTGCTCACGGATTCAGACTTTATTGATTCCCTCGACTGTCGTTTCCTTGGGCGATTCGACCTTTGCATCATGTACTGGCTTGAAGAGCATTGAAGTCTGTACAACGAGAAAAAGTGCGCTGACGGAAATTGGGGGATACGTATTCAGCAAATGCCAATCGCTGATAAACGTTGCCATTCCAAATAAGAAAGGAATGGAGATATATGCGTTTGTATTCCATAACACGCGATTTAATGATGAGAGGGATGTAATCAAGAAACTACAAAATCGATTCAAGCGTTTCCCAGTCCATAGGCTGTGCTACAATCAAGGTCATGGCCTCACATCTAACGACTTTGACAACCGTGCCATGTATCAAGGCAAAAGAATTAATCCATCGGTAGCCATGAGAGATGATCTTGGACTGACTGTATTCCACATCCTGGCGCTGTCGGAGAAGGCCAGTAGCATTGCCATTTATGATTTTCTCAAGCGAAGTGTACGAGTCGACACTATTGGACGATGCCTCTGGCTCAAGGATAATGATGGAAACCTCGCGCTTGCCTATTCCATCTTTTCGACAGAGTCACCACACAGCCAGTCACTCGCAAGATCCATGACAAGTTCAATGATTGCACCTCGACTGTCACGCTCGACTTTGGAACAATCAAAGAATGAACTCCTGCAAAGGATCAGAGACGAGACGATGTCCTTTGACTATGAAGTCGTCAACGAGATCTTTCATCAACTAAGCATGATTGAACGCAAAGAATCGATCATACTTCTTCTGTTGGCGCTATGGAAGCAGAAAATGCATATGGACGGCTTACGTTTTAGCAACAGGTCTTCTGTGGAACGACCATCCAAGCGACAAAAGGTCAGTGTTATTCAGGAAGAAGACAACAAGGTGACTGGTAGTCAAGAACAATCGAAGCAGGAAGAACGACAATCGTCGTTAGATCGATGGAATTGCTACCTCCGAGCAGGCGCGGACGATATGATTTCCAGTGTACTATCATTCGTCGGACAAGTCGAACCAGAACTTCAATTACAGTCTGAAGAAGCATGAAAGGAAACGAACATTATTGCTGCATTGTATGTTGTCTTTATTTTCGATAGGTACACATACAACATTATTGATGCAGTACTGTGTATTGTTCGACTGACTCACTCAACGATATACTGCATACGTGTATCGAATAGTTCGACTAACATATTTGTGATTTTCGCATTCTTTCATTTTCTTTCAATATAGAATATACTTTGCTGTCATCGATCATCGCATCATCATCACCATTGACCATTCGGGTACCACAGGCATTGCTTCTGCACTCTTCAAATGATGGCATTCTCGTCACTTATTCCTGAGAGGAAGTCTCCGATTCCAGGTATTCCAGTCATTCCTGGTGGCACTCTGTGGAGCGGCCACCTTCATTTGCTGCAAGAAACCAATTTTCAAAAGGCACTTCACAAGTGGACTGTGGAACACGCGGATGCTTCTGGACGTTGCACCTTTTATATGGGCCCAACGACGCCGAGTTTGAGTTTGACGCACTGTGAAGATGTTCAGCTATTACTCAAAGCCAGTGCGTACCGTAGTGTCTTTCCACTGATGGAGACTCATTTCACACAGCTCTTTGGAACACAGAATGTTGGACTTCTGAATGGAAAAGAATGGAAACAACAACGCTCTGTTCTTGCCAAAGCATTGCATTCAAAAGGAGTTATCAAACACCATGAAAAGGCCATTCAAGAAACGACGCATCGCTTGGTGGACAAGATCTTGGCGTCAAGCAATGATGACGGGTGGTTTCAATGTCAAGATCTCGTTCGATTGATGAAAGCACTTACTTTGGATTGCTTCGGAAAGGCTTCATTCCATGTCGATTTTCGAACTTGCCAAGAACAATTCTTTGATGGTGACGACAGGAATAATTCCAACGCCACTGCTATTGGGCCTGCTTTTGACAAATTGACTCAGGAATTAATGCGGCGGGTGACGTCTGACATTATGTTGCCAACCTCTCATCTCTATTCACTACCCACCAAGGCCAACAGAAATTTCGCACTTGAAAAGAAAAAGGTACTGACGTTATTGCAGGACATAGTTTCAAGTCGACAAAAGCAAATGAAGAACAAAGAAGCAGAGATTCCATCAGATTTGTTATCTGGATTTCTGGAGCACTTTGCTTCAGCCGGGAATGTCAAAATGGACGAAAAGGAGCTGGCTTTGATTATTGCGCAGAGTATTCTAGGGTTGTTATTTGCTGGTTACGAGACATCCTCCATCACCATGTCGTACACGGTGTATCTGCTGTCCCAACATCCTGATGTGTTGAACCACTGTCTTGAGGAGATTGAACAAGTCGAGCAGCGTGGCAACGGACCCGATATGCCCTACTTGGAAGCAGTGATCAAAGAAACTCTCCGGCTGTACCCACCTGCCATTTCCACCACTCGCTCAGCGGAACATGAGATGGAACTCCCGGCTGTTGCTGGTGGCAAAGTTAACGACAACGACAAGATTGTTGTCCCCAAAGGAACATACCTCTATTTTGCCATTTGGATGATTCAGCGAGACCCCAAGCATTTTGATAACCCAAACGACTTTGTGCCCGAACGATGGGTCACTTACTCCAATGATCGCTCTTGGGAACCAAGAACAGGTGTCAATCAAAAGGCTTGGATTCCTTTTAGTGCCGGCGCCAGAGCTTGTCCAGGACAACGGTTTGCCATGCAGGAAATGATCACTATTTTGTCCTGCCTCTTGCCCAGGTTAAGCTTTGAAACACTAAGTGACTACGTCTTGGAGCCTTGTCGAGAAGGCTTCGTGCAGACTCCCAAGGGTGGAATCCCCATGATTGTTCGAAGACGCAGCGCCAAAGGATAAAGAGAACGAGGTTGGGTGTTGTTTAATTTCTGAGGCGTCTTAAACTTAGAGTAGCAAGCTCCTTCCTGTGATCGGAGCAGAGGTCCCGCGTTGTAACGGGTAGGTTGGAGGGTAGTTAGTTGCCTCGTCGCTCGTCGACCACCTTCAGAGAACAGTGCGTTTGGGGGAACCGGAGCTGTTTGATCTCGATCGGACATTTATGCGACTCAAAGTGTAGTGCGAGCACTACCAGATGCAAATCTGGTCGTCAAAGAGCCAGTGTTGTGCTGACTGTTTTACCAAGAGGGTTTTACGTCCCCACTCGAGTTTCTGAATTCTACCGTACACCACACCTCTCGTAACAGCGGTGATTCAATTTCTCCGAACAATAGAAATGTAGAGAGGACGAAGTAATAAGTTAGATTTTACGTTGAACCTGCAGTAGCGACTTGGTAACGATGGAAGTTTAGGCAACAGGTCGGTTACAATAGACATCAGAAGGTCGAATGATGACGTACCATCTTCTCGACCTCTATTCATTCGTGATGGTGTCCCACTGAGAGTGGCACCCTCTGTCCTTGATGGCTCCTTAGCGCCACTGGTGACTTTCACTGTGCTGCTTTGTTGCCCTTCGTGGAATGAATGGCTCAACCTGTTGAACGGAAGTGCTTTACCGTACTTCGTTGATCTTCGGAGAACAACTTTGATCCAGTGCGCACTTTAAAAATACCGGTGTGTGGAGCACCGTGTGCGGTCACAATGGGCGGGTTTTGTGCTCCCAGTTTCGTAAAATTGGATTCTGATCAATGGTGACCACAACCGTGTTCATTTTCTCCAAATATGACCTCTCATCTGATCGTTGTGATTTTCGCCATGACGACCCACTCGTTCGGAAGGGAGAGAAGTGAAATATCTTCAGAACCTTATCGTTTCTGACATATTCTGTTTTAATTTAAAAACGTGGTATTTGGGTCCAAGACGGCTAAAAATATCTTCTTTTCCCCGTCGCATTAAGTACACGCGCTTCAAATTTATTCATTGCTCTCGGAAACGAGCTTTTATGCAACATTATAAAAATCTCTAGCTCCAAAGTGAGCGGTCCCATATCCAATTTGAAATTACTGGTACACGTGTACACGAACACTTGAACTGGTATATGTGTACCGGAATATGAACATAAAACTTCTTTCGCAGCAGTTCAAATCGTTTCAGTGATGACAGAGACTCAGTCCTTGTTTTCGTGCTTTGGCTGCGGTGAAGGATCAAATCATCGAGTTCCAATCACACCAGATCGCTTCGTTAATCATGCTGCATCTCCGGAAATCGAGGACCTTCTGGCAAATAAGATGAGTAAGCTGAGCGTCAAGGAACGAGATGAAGCCACTCATGACCTCCATTGTGTAGGAGAAGATCTAATGGAGACTCCTGAGATGGTGGAAAAGTCACTTGCTGAATTCGACAATGCAATCAAACGTGAGAAAAACGCAACTTATGAGATTGCAAAGGGCCAGAACAGAGCATATGCTGAAGATCGATTTTTTCGGTTAAAATTTCTCAGGGCGAATATGCTTGATGTCAACCGATCAGTGAAAATGATGCTGAGATTCTTGGAGCAAAAGGCACTTCATTTCGGCATTGAAAAGGTTGCTCGGGACATCACAGTAGATGATTTGACAGATGAAGATAAAAAGTTCATGCGGTTAGGTCTTTTTCACATCCAGGAGGGCAGAGATAGGTCTGGTAGAATTGTTTTCTATTTATCCAATTCCTGCACGGGATCCTGTACCCCTGAAACTTTGGTAAGAGAGCATCATTCTTTGTTCGTGCTCTTTTATCGGTTCTTCCTGATGTCTTACATGATGCATTATCTGTCATACTAGAACCGTCTCTTCTATCACGTCGTGTTCAACATCTTGATCAAGATGCCTACAGTCCAACTGAAAGGTTTGAATGGCGTCTATTACGATGTCGCAAAACTGAAGGAAGGTGCTGCATTGCCAGGATTGAAGTATGTGAAGACTATCATCGATTTTGTTACTTCTGTTCCTGTCCGGTTTTCGTCAATGCACTACTGTCTGAAGAGAAAAAAGGGAAATCTCGCTCGAAATGACTTCATCCTTAAAACAGCACTCAAGTCCATCCCAAAGTATAGTTCCGCAAGGACTCGGATTCACCTTGGCAGTGATATGGAGCTCCAATATCAACTGCAAAGCCATGGAATTCCCATCCAATTCTGTCCTATTGATGGGGATGGGAACTTCCGAACAGATATACTGAATCGTTGGTTGAACCATTATGAGTCAAGTACTGGTACGGCCTTAAACCAATGTAAAGATGATAGGAAGAGCAGACAGAACACTGTTCCGCTTCGACATGACGTATTACTGGGTCGAGGAAAATCGCTCCAGGCTCATCTTGGCAACGTTTGCTTCCGAGAGTTTGTGAAGCGGTACAGCGAAGAATATGACGAAACTCCACGAAATTACCGGAGATTAGTTCCAATGAAAGTGATCCAAGACCTCAAGAGCCGTGGGATCCGGTTCCTTCGGCAAGACGAAAAAACCGGCGAATGGGTCGAACCTGACATTTCAGATATCGAGAAGACAGTGGGCCAAGTTTTTCGGAATCTGAGGAAGAGGCATAAGCAAGAAAGTGTATAGTTTTATTTTTATTTGAATGAAATTGCTAGCTACCTATTTGGTTGCAGCAGATGCTGCGTTGGGTCATTCTTCCTGCCGTATTTTCAACGAAACCATTAGAAAGAACAGTGATCGAAATCTTACTCTTTCTCTATCATACTGAATCTTTCGCTTCTTCATACTTCTTTGCGACTGAAGGGACTATACGAGCAATCGACTGCTTTTATATATTCGTCATTGCAACATCGAAAATGATGACTCTCCTCTTTTCCTCAGAATCAGCGATGCAGAGGAATGGTAATGTTGACGGCACCACGTATTCTCAATTCTTGAAAATGCGAAAATGCCATCATTACATTTTCCGAATACAGCCTTCAGCTGGTTACCTGATTACCTGATAGCTGCAGATTCCAGATGATCATGTTCGGCAGTGAAGAGTAATAGGTTCAATAATTGGATCTGCTTGCCTTCTGAATGAATGAATGAATGGATCTTGATTTAAAAAATACTTTTAGCAATGGATGTTTGAGGGTAACGATAGACACATAATTGTTGGACGTCACCACACCCCATCCATGCCTGTTTCCTGTTTCGCCGGAGTATGGTGGAGGAGCGAAATGAGCCCGAGCGTGTGTTAAATAAGTATTTCTATATATATCTTTTCGTTTCTGAGAGGCTTCTTTTCAGATAAGTTTTTCACCAATCACAGAGAATCTTCGTTTCCCCGCCGCATTATGTACACACTTGAAGGAGCGTGTACATCATAAGGGCTTTTGCGTTCCTTATATCTACCGTAGTACCGATATGTGCAAAATTACGATTGAGCGGGAAAAAAATAGTCGTGAAAAATAGACGCCGCGTTGTAAATCAATCATAGTGAACTGGTACAAGTACTCACGTGAAACGGTTTCAGCAATAATGGCGATGGCGATGACAGAGAATAGGTCCATCTTTTCATGCTTTGGATGCGGTGAAGAACCAAAGCATCATGTTGTTACCACATCAGCACGCCCCTCGAGTCATGAAACAACTCCTGAAATCGAAGAATTTCTGGCCTCTCAGATGAGTAAGCTAAGCGTCGAGGAACGAGATGAGGCTACTCATGACATTCATTGCGTAGGAGAAGATATTTTGGAAACTCCTGAGATGGTGGAAACTTCACTTGCTGAATTCGACAATGCAATCAAACGTGAGAAAAACGAAACTTATGAAATAGCGATGGCCCAGAACAGAGCATATGTTGAAGATGCATCTTTTCGATTAAAATTTGTTAGGGCAAATATGCATGATGTCAACCGATCAGTGAATATGATGCTGAGATTCTTGGAGCAAAAGGCGCTTCATTTCGGCATTGAAAAGGTTGCTCGGGACATCACAATAGATGATTTGACAGATGAAGATAAAAAGTTCATGCAGTTAGGACTTTTTCACATCCAGGAGGGCAGAGATAGGTCTGGTAGAATTGTTTTTTATTATTTCAATCGCTACGTAGGATCCCTCAACCCTGCAACTGTGGTAAGACAGCGTCACCGTTGCTTTGTGCTATTTTATCATCTTGCCTGATGCCTTACATGCCAAATTATTTTCCCAACCAGAACCGTATCTTCTATTACGTGGTGTTCAACATCTTGATCAATATGCCTACAGCCCAACTGAAAGGTGTGAATGGCATCTATTACGATGTAGTAAAATTGAAGAAAGACGCTGCGGTTCCTGGGTTCAACTATGTGAAGACTTTCGTCGATTTTTGGACATGCATTCCTATTCGATTTTCTTCAACTCACTACTGTTTAAAGAGAAAAAATCTCGCTCGAAGTGACTTCATACTTAAAACAGCACTCCAGGCGGCCCATAAGTATGTTCAAGCAAGGACTCGAGTTCATGTTGGCAGCGATATTGAGCTCCAGTATCAACTGCAGGGCCATGGAATTCCTATACAATTTTGTCCCGTTGATGGGGATGGGAAATACCGAACAGAAATACTGAATCGTTGGTTAAACAAGCACGAGTCTGTTCCTGCCTCAAATCAAGGTAAAGATGTCAAAAAAAGCAAACAGTCCTTTGTTCCGCTTCGACATGATGTCCTACTGGGTCGGGGGAAATCACTTCAGACCCATCTAGGCAACATCTGCTTCCGAGAGTTTGTGAAGCAGTACAGCGAGGAATATGACGAAACCCCACGAAATTACCGAAGATTAGTGCCGATCAAGGTGATCCAAGACCTCAAGAGCCGCGGGATTCGGTTTCTTCGGCAAGATGAAAGTACCGGTGAATGGGTGGAACCCGAAATTTCAGATATCGAGAAGACAGTGGGCCAAGTCTTTCGAAATCTGAGGAAGAAGCATAAACCAGAAAGTCTATAATCTTATTTTTCATGTGAGAGAAGTAGGTTGTGTTGCTAGCTGTTTGGTTCCAACTTGCAACAATTGGTTCTACATACCGGTAGTACAGGCTGTATTCCACACAACGATCTCCTTATCTTTGACTCAAGCGAGTACGAGCCATCAGTGTCTGTGCGGCAGGCAGGCGTCGAAATCTGTTCAAATGATGATGATCGGCATACCGAATGTAGCATTTCCTTTAGAACATTCAAAGGAAGCACCATGGCAGAAGAAGCCCCGCCTCTCCCACCAGGTGGACCTCCAGGCTTTGAAATGTTCCTAGCAAGCTATGCAAGAGCCCACGCTAGACTTGCAAGAAGAAATCCATCATTCTGCCTCAAGTGCCCAGTTTGCAATTTTGAGCACCGTGAAGTTACTGGTCAGCAAACTGGAAATTTTCAACCACCAACTCAGAACGCTTGTTCCCATGGTTGTCGAGTGGTTTTTATGAAGATGGAGTGTCCCATTTGTATCGAAAGCCAAGATCCTCCTGTAGTGGCCTTTCCCTGTGGCCACGGTGTGTGCAAACCGTGTTTTGAACGGCTCGGTGGTCGCACCGGAGAAGCCTCAAATCGAGCAAGAGGACGTAATTTGGAACGAACCATGATGGATAGAGGATTGGGATCTTTTTACGAGGAGGACGATGACGGGTTCCTTCGTCGCGTCCGTGCAGCAAGACCAAGTTTTGGAAACAGAGCAAACCATCTAGCTGGCGATGATGCTGGTTCCAATCCATTGGAGATAGGACAACGAAGGCTAGGACTTGTTGGTGATCAAGAGTATCATGAAAGAATGTATTATCAACGGCTCATAGAATCATCTAGAGCAAGTAGGGAAGATAGAGCAATTCCTGCACCTGGTGGCAATGATAATCCTGGAATTCCTAGCGCGAGATTTTTGATACGGCCACCATATGCAAGAAGATACCGAAGGCTGCAACGCCTTGAAGCGTTGGAAGCATATAGGGCAAATAGGGGAGCATTAGACGCGTATAGGGCAAATAGTGCAACTGCAAATGGGGAAAATCCAAATCAAGATAATGCTGGTTCCAATCCTTCTGCTGACAATCCTGGCAACCAAGATTCCAATCCTGGAAACAATCCCAGTGGATCGGAAAGGGGGTCTGGATCGAGGACTAGGAGTCGTCCTTTGAGCCCAGAATCCCATTCAAGGGCTGACCGCATTGTACGAGCTCGTCGCGCCTTTCGAGCCCAAGCGGAGGAGATGAGGGCGAGGCCGATCTTTTCACACCGCGAACAAGAATCTACATGGGAGGATTCCTATCCTGGTATTAGATCTCCACGAATGGTACAAGCTCGGAGACTAGCGATGAACGAATTTCTCAGATCTCACGGTCACAACACTGTTGGCCTCGATCCCTATATTGCAGCTCGTCCAATCTTGAATCCACCGGGGAGCTCTCGACCCTTGCAAGCTTCCAATGCTTCGACCCGAAATGTTACTTTTCAGAATCAAGGATCCAGTGAAAGCAATGATGATGAGAGTTCGGAATCTTCTTCCGATTCTTCTGATGACCTAGTCTTTATGCCGCCGGACAGGAGACCTGCCAATATATCAAATTCCGGTGCTGCTGAGGCCGAAGCCAATCGTGAAAATGAGGAAGGCGGCGGTTTCTCTTTTGAAGGAATATTACCCATAACTCGCATACATCCCCGCAGAAGAGGGCCGATACCCCACAGAAGACCCAATAGAAGGCCTGGAAATATGTCAAATCCCGGTCCTGATGAGGCCGAAGCCGATCATGGTGATGAGGAAGATGGCGATTTTTCTGGTGAAGTAGCTTTACAGATCCGCCGCATACATCCCACTAGAAGCTCCTTCAGAAGACCGGTACCCCGCAGAATGTCCCACAGAAGACCGATTGATGTATCAAATCCCGAGCCTAATGAGACTGAATCCGACAATGGAGATGAGCAAGCCGGCGATGAAGAAATGAATGAAGAGAATGAAGGCAGTGATGATGAAGAGGATGTTGTTCTTGATTTCTTACGCCGACAGAGGGAACGACGGGTTTCTGTTCGGAATCGAATACTCAGTCGTCGCTACGCTGACATCGAAAATGATGCCTCTTCTCGTTTTCGCGGAATCAGCAATGCAGAGTTGGTGCGTCGTGCAGAGATGGTACGTCGGCAAACTGGCCGTGACAATGGTGGCGGCAGTGGCGCCCACCTTCTATCAGTGGCTCGCCATCTTCGCGAAAATTCCAGAACCGCCAGCAACAATAACACTATGGGTGCCCATGGGCAAGCGGGGCCCCCAGCAGTTCCTCTACCGATTGATAACCGCAACAATGATAACGACGATGGCAGCGAGGACGATTCTGATTATATACAAAGGGCTTCTGTTGCAGCTCGCCCACCAACAAGCAGTGAAGATTCTCCAAACCGAACTGTCCGCAACAATGATAGTGACGAAGATAGCTCCAGAAATTTTGCCGCGTAAGCGTCCACCGCACCAACGCCTCTACCAACGAAGAAAGAGAAAGTGAACCAAGCTTTTCAGTTTTCAATGTAGCACGCCGAGCAGCATCGTTGTTCAGGAGCTTTCGAAACGAGGACACCGATGAAGCTGCAGATGTCTAAGGGTATTGGCTCCCAGAAGCCGGACTTCGAGCGAATTTGACCGCGTTGCAAATCCTGGCAACTTGCAATTTCTCATCGCATTCCAATGAAACTGTTTTTGGCGAGGTAACAATTGAGCTACGGAGATGATCTTGTATGGTACCCCGATAGCTGCCTCCATCGCTGCTTTCATCCCGGCTGTAAGGTACTAAAGTAGCTTTGGTCCAACTGAACGGCTAATTTGAAATTCCCAATAATTCAGCGTCATCGCTTTTGATCTAGCATCCAGTATCAAAGTGTTTCAAGTAATTTTTAGAGTTTTACTTGTAAGTATAATAGCATTATCGAATAGCCGTCAACCTAGTCAGTGATACCGAGTCGATTCTTTCGCCTTGCTTCTCGCATTTTCGTCATTTCATCTTCTCGATTGGTGCTACCGTTCGCACTAAGTATGGTTTGGTACCCATCCAACGTCTTTTCGTCGTACTCTACGGATTCTTCCTCGCTGACTGTTTCTGGTGGTAACACGAACTCTGTGCCATTTGCTTCTTGCTGGTTACCTCCGTTGGCTGTTGGGTCCGTGGATTCTTCAGTGGCCTCTTCCTTCTCGATCATGGCCTGGAATTCTCCAGGAGAGGTGTAGGGCGGGACTTCCCGTTCCGTTCCATCTTCGGCAACATGAAAGATTCTGAATCCAGGATCGGGACGATCATCGGGTGTTGGGTCATTCATCGTAAATTTGACGGCTGCCTTTTGGTCTCTGATCTTCTGGTATACAGCCGACAGATCGGTTGGTATCTCCTCCTCTTCTGTGGAAGAAGAACTTGCTGGAGTGTCTCTTTCGGACATCATTTTATCCACCTTGGACAAGTAACCAGTGTTGTCATCTTCCAACATACGATTCTTCATTCTGTTTTCTCTCATTGTCTTTCGAATGTCATCATCATTGGCTGCAGCCTCTAGAATGGTTTGGTAGCCATCGAAGCTTCCCTCAGACGCTGATTCAGACACAGCTTTGGTTTTCTTGGCATTCGTTGGTGCTTTTTCATTGCGGCGTGGAACCTTCGCTGCATGAATTCCAAAATCATTGGCACCTTCCATCGAATTCAAGAAACCTCCTGTGGAAGCCGCTTCTGCGGAAGCGGTTGGTACAGTCGGCTCAGCAGCCGAAGCAACTTCCTCTTCAATACTAGTTGTGGATTCTTGAGTAGGAGCGGTACTTTCCTTCTCAATCATGGCCTGGAATTCTCCGGGAGAGGTGTAGGGTGGGACTTCCCGTTCCGTTCCATCTTCGGCAACATGAAAGATTCTGAATCCGGGATCGGGACGATCATCAGGCACGGGATCGTTGCGCACATGTGTTTGTTTGGACTTGTTTTCTCTAATTTTTTGATAGATGGACTGCAAATCTTCGGCTGGCGCCTCGTCTACTTCTGCTTCATGGTCGTCTTCCGAAGAAGGGGTCTCAGGTGCCGTAGTACTTGTTGAACCGTTGACATCCATTGGTGCTTCTCCTCCGCCAAAGGACAAGTCCGAGCCTTCCGCCTTTCCAGCTGCAGCGGCCTTTTCCATGGCTTCCATACCATCATCTCCTCCAAAGATTGCTTCGCGATCCTTTCGCCGTCCTTCTTTTTTCTCTGCAGAAGCCATGATACCTGATGCACCGTTGACACTTTTTGGTGCTTTAGCTTCCACTTTAGAAGTATCTTCCTGCACTTCTTCCACCTCCACCGCTGGAGTGGCGGTTGGCGGCTTGTACTCTCCTCCACCAAAGGAAAAGACCGCGCCGTCCTTCTTTCCAGCTGCAGCTGCCTTTTCCAAGGCTTCGATACCATCATCTCCTCCAAACAGGGCTTCGCGATCCTTTCGGCGTTCTTCTCCAGCCGAGACAGCTGTGGAGTACGATCCCAATTCGGTTCCTACCGATGCCGCAACTCCCGCACCGCTCTTGCGAGAATGAACAGGATACATGGAGGCAGCATATCGTGCATTGGCTGCCATTTCCGCTCCACCATCCTTGGATGTGAATCGGTCCCACGCAAAGGCCTCCAAGAACTTTTCATCTTCTTGTGACAATTCCTCTCCCGCAATGAGCATGGCCAGGAGTTCTCCCGTCTTGGGAGCCAACAAGACTCCATTTCTCCAGTAGCCTCCGGCCAAATAGAGTCCCTCCCAGGGTGTCTTGCCTAGAATGGGACCCTTGTCGGGTGTAGTAGGGCGCAATCCCGCCCAAGTTTCTTCCAGTGGCAAATCGGCCAATGCCGGTACCAATTGCAAGGCATACGACAAAATGTGCATGAGCCCGGCAGGAGTCACATTGGGATCGTAACTTCCAGCTTCCACGGTCGCTCCAATAATGATGCGACCATCTGCCTTGGGGACAATGTACGAATCAGATGCAAAGAGTACTCTTCTGAGAATGGGAGGACGGTCCGCTGGCATGCGTAGCGAAAGACTTTGGCCCTTGTGTGGTTCCATGGGCACTGGAAGCAGCTGTCGCATCCAAGCACCATTGGCCACGAGACAAGTATTGGTTTGAATGTATTTGCCGTTCTTGAGCCACAACCCATTGCAATTTCCGTTTTCCAAATCCAAGGAGGATACTTCGTAATTCTTTCCCGCCATCAATTGCACTCCGGCTCCCACACAAGCGGCCCGCAAACTTGCTGCCAATCGTCGGGCATCCACACTGGCATCTTCGGGGAACCACCATCCACCAATGACTTCGGGGTGAAGGTTTGGTTCCAATTCTCGTACTTGGTTGTCGTCCAACCACATGGCGTTGCCCTTGCTGTCCGACGGCGGAGCCCAAGTGGCAACGGTATCTCCGGCAAAGGCAGGAGCCAAGAATCCACCGGATGCCACATATCCAATATTCCATGGTTCCAATTTGTCATTATCCTTGTGATTCAAATAGGGCGCTCCTTCGTCCCCCGCTTCTTGGGCCATGCACTCGACCAGATCGGTAAATTCCGGGTACATGCTCTTGGACGCCAGGCACAAATCCAAATAGTCACCCTTGGGGAGACGTTCCGATTGAGGCGCCAGCATGCCGGCTGCCGCAAAGGTAGCCACAGATGTTTTGCCGTCACCATCAAACAAATCGTGCTTGTCCAAAATGGTAATTTGTCGATTGGGATCAATTTGGCTCAAATACAACGCGGCAGAGAGACCAGCCAAGCCACCCCCCACAATGACCACATCCTTGTTCATTTTGCGTCTGCGGCGGTTCAGCTGTTTTCGAGGAGCATTGCCTCCGTTATTATTGTCATTATTACTATTATTAGTGGGTCGTGCATTGACATACCCATAGGACGCTGCGAGTTGCGTGTTGGTGGAAGCAGAAGCAGAATCAGTTGCTGATGATGTGAAAGTGATGGTTGGTGTTGGATTGGTAAAGCCAGTGACTCCAAGAATCAAGGCTGTCAAGCAGCAAGTTGACAGGATTATTCTCATGTTTGTTGGTGTCTTTTAATTCCGTTCGACTGGTATAATACCAGTTACGGTAGTTTGTGTGTCGAGGAGATCCGGTTGTGTGAGTGATGGATAATGATGGATGCGCCTTCGATGAGATGATGACAGAAGATCTGGCTTTCAACTTCTTGACTGACGCAAGACAAACGAACAATTTCTGTTGACGGACGGTTGAGAGTCCGGAATCGAATCAATCCAATGGATCCAACATCCAACATACCAGGTGCGCGTGGACCGCTGGTTTTTTAAAATTTGCTATCAATCTGTGTTAGCGCGTTATATACAAATCTCATGTACTATGTACGTGAAAGCGTACATTTCGGTATTACAAAAACTATAGAATACCACGTATTACAATTTGACTGACCAGTTTTAACGGCTACAATCTTTTGGTGCTCCTACCTCGGACGCATTGGAAGCAATCGAGTCGTTGAGTTGGACGAAAATCTAGAGGAGTAGCAACAGTGCCGTGTTTCTTGGTCAATCTTGAGACCAACAATCCATCGGATACTTACTACAAGTACTTGTACTGCAACCTACCAATACGTGCAACTGCCTCTTGAGAAGCAGTAATTGACAAGCGACTGCAGCTTTCATACACACGCTCAACTACAACAGAAGGTTCCATCTTCCGATCCAATCTTGACTTGTTGAATCCAACTTTCAGTAGTCTTTAACACACACGGCCACAGCAGCAGCAGCAACAACAACAACAACAACAATGGCGTCTCCAATATCATACATTCCAGAGCCACAAGAGAGGGTGCGTACAAAACTGGGCCGTTGAATCAACAAGAAGATTCCGATTGTATCTCCGTTTATACATGAACAATGCATGACTATTGGTTTCTCATTCCACTTTTTGCTTTCTACCCTTTTCCCGTCATTCCAATGATATGTGCGATTGAATCTTTCTGAATTCTTTCCTTCTTCCAATGATTGATTGATTGATCCATTGATCCATTGAATTTGCTTGTCATCTCGTTTGAATCTATTCTATTCTATTGGCAACAAATACAACAGGCTTACTACGAAGGCCTCTTTCAAGCAGCCGATGTCAAAAAGACGAACAACATTGGTGGTGGCGAAGCTGTCCAATTCTTCAGTCGTTCCAAACTCCCCATGGAAGTATTGAAGAACATTTGGACCGTAGCGGATCAACCTTCTACTTCTAGCTTGAATCGACAAAAGTTTGCCGTGGCCATTCGACTCATTCAATTGACTCAAAATGGTACCAAGGGACAAGGAGCCAACTTGGCGACAGCACCGGGAGTGACGCTACGACCAGCCTTTTTCGACGGTGTGAGTGGAGTCTCGGTCCAAATGCCACCCGCACCAGGAGCTCCTCCGCCCCAACAGCAGCAACAACAAGCACCGCCATCGCCTGGTGCTTCGACCCGCAGTGGATTGTCTTCGGCCATTCCACCACCACCTGGATCGGTTGCTTCGGGATATGCTCCTCCAAGTGCTTCTGGAGGGAGTACAGGAGGTTTCAACAATGCCTTGGTACCACAAGATCCGTACTCCATGACTCCACAAGAACAGGGAAGATACGAGGCTCTCTTTCCGCAGTACGCCAAACCCGATGGATTTATGTACGGCAAGGAGGCTGTGGATCTGTTCATGAAGTCAGGTGTCGATGCACAAGCCTTACGCGAAATTTGGAACATGACGGATCGTCCAGTGGATAATCGATTGGACAAGGTCGAGTTTGCCATTTGCATGCACTTGATTGTTTGTATTTCCAAAAAGAATCTCCCGGCACCTCAAGGACAATTGCCACCCTCTCTTCGTGCTCTCAAAAGTCCACCACAGCAGCAGCAGCAAGGCCAACAAGCACCACCGCCATCAATGTCATCGATGCCACCACCGGCTGCTGTCATGCCCCCACCTACTCCCGCCCAACAACAGCCACCGGCATTGCAACCAACATTGCAGCCATCTGGTGGAATGAGCATTTCGGATGCCTTTGAAGGCATGAATATGGCTACTCCTGCTCCAGAACCTGCTCCTGCGCCTACTCCTGCATTGCCGTCCTATGTTCCTGAAGAGCAACAAGCACCACCACCACAACAACAGCAGACAATGCCAGCTCCCACCATGGCTGCCGCTGGAATGGCCGCCATGGGAATGGCAGCTGCCGCGGCGCCTTCCATGATGGAACCCCCTGCACCAGCACCAGCAGTGGAGACTATTCCAGAGCCGGCTCCAGTAAACACCAAAGATTTGGCCAAGAATTATCAAATGGGTGACGAATCTCAAGAATTGTCCAAACTCAAGGATGTTTTGCAAAAATTGCAAGCCGAGAACATTTCTCTCAAGGCTCAATTGGGTAGCATGACGGAAGAGGAAAAGGAAGTTCACGCGCAATTGGGAGGCACTATTGCGGAGATTGGAAACTTGTCCCAGCAATTGCAAGGATTGCGAGTCCAAGTGTCCGATGCCAAGACCAAATTGTTGGAGGCTAGTGGCAAGTTAAAGGCTGCACAAGAGCAAAAAGGGTACGTCTTTTGAGAAAAGCAAGCAGTACGCCGCAAAATAAAATCTGAATTTATCCAGACCATCCTTTCTAATTGAATTTGTTTGATTGTTTTGTGTGTGTGTTTGTGTGTGCACTCTAATGAACGAATGCAGTGTATTAAGTGATTTGATTACTGAAGCCAACGCTACCAAAGAAGCCATTGAGGAAGCTACCGCATCGATTGAAAATGTAACCGAAGCTAGTGTCCAGCATCAACAAATGGCGGCGAAACAACAACATGCGGCATTGCAACAGAATAACAACTTTGAAAGCAATTTGTTTGGCTTTGAAAACGCTCCAGAACCCGCAGCAGCTGATCGTGGCCTTCCAGAACCCAGTTCCATGCCTGCTCCTGGCGGTATGATGGGAGCCCCGCCAGGCCAAGATGGTGGTTTGCCAGCGCCAGATAGCTTTGGAACGCAATCATTCGACTCTGGATTGCCACCCCAAACGGAAGTTCCATTGGCGTCGTCAACCGATGGTGGTTCCATGTTCAACCAACCTGCTTCTTCGCCTCAAGGTGGATTGGGAGGATTCCCCGATATGGCGCCCAGCGGCAGTACCGATTCAGGATTTCCACCACAAGAAGTAGCACCTCCTGCAACTGGTGGAACCAATCCATTTGGTGACGAACGATCTGCTTTCTCTGCCCATTCCAAGTCTCCAGTACCTGAACAGGAGGCACCAGTCGAATCGTCTTCTCAAGCTTCCCTTCCTGAAACTTCGCAACCAGCTCCAGCACCAGCCCAGCAATACCAATACCAACAGCCACCACCCGCAGCTGATTCGGGTGGCAATGCCATTCCTACTCCCAATGGGGCCCAATCGTATTACCAAATGCCACCACAGGGTCAGCCAGCACCGCAATCCATGCCTACTCCCCAATCGCAACAAGGTTACATGATGCCACCAGGCGGACAGCCAATGCCATACGCCATGCCTACTCCCCAATCGCAACAAGGGTACATGTCACAGCAGCCAACACCTACCGGTATTGCTACCCCCAACTACGGTTTGGCTCGACCCAGTGTTGATCACAATCGCAAGGAATCTGTTGGCGGATTTGGTAGTGACTTTGTCATGGGCGGTTTTGCACCACCACCCGGAGCTGGAGGTGGTGTCTATGATGCAGCCGCTACCGCAACAAGTCACGCTGAAACAAGCCAGACGGTCGACTCGGAAGCAGCGGCCAAACTCGAGGAATTGAAGAAGAAGTACAAGTCAGCCCAAGAAATTGCCAGTGATGCGGCGGCAACCCACATCAAATTGGCTCAAGAAGCTGATGAACTGCGAGGAGATGCCGACAAGGCTGAAGCCAATGCTCGTAGCTTGCGTGCCTCGGCTGATGAGAAGAAGAAGGGACGTTTTGGTAGTTCTGGCAAGAAAAAGGCATTGAACGTAAGTTGATTGTGGTGGAATTTGATACGCTTGGACATCCCAATAGCTCACTTTTCTACTTTTCTTTTTCACAGAGAGATGCCGACAATGCAGCACAAACGGCCAACGATCTCCGCAAGCGATTCCTGGCGATCCAAGGGCAAGCTTCTGATGCTTCAGCTGTTGCCATGGAAACCAAACGCGAGGCGGAAAAACTGAAGGAAGCTGTCGAGAAGGCTGAAATAGACATGGCTTCTGCCGCCTCGATGCAAGATCAAAAAGCGGAACAAGCGAAGCAATCTGCGGCAGCTGGCGCCGCAGGAGCTCCTCCAGCTGGATATCCCCAACAACAGCCGTATGGAGCATATGGATACCCACCACCCGCTGCCAATGGCTATCCACCAGCCGCGTATGGGGCACCACCCGCGGGGTACGGACAACCACCCGCTGGATATGGTGCTCCTGGTCAAGTTCCAGGATATGCCTACGCACAGCCACCACCACAATACCAAGCGCCGTACGAAGGGGATCCAGGATTCCCAAGTTCACCTTACTAAGCGTTGAGGATGAAACAAATATTAGTGCAGCAAAACGTACCGGTAGTAAAAACTTAGGGAGTGTTTCTTTACTTTTTGATTGAAAATAAAAAAATAGCATTGGTTCGTCCGGTCGTCGACCGTGCATTTTTTGAAATGGCTGCGAATGAGATGAAATCTGAGGATGCGCCGATAATATATAGCAATCAAACAAGCCATTGATCACTGAAGTCCCTACGGCTCCTGTCCTTTCATCACAATAGACAGACTGTTCGTCATAATAGAATATAAATATGGCGCTAACGCCATCGTCAGTGCCGCCATTGCAATGCGACGATGAGGAAACGCTGACACTGCTCATAAAGACTGGTGATGTTGATGCTAAACGTCTCGATGGCTTTCAAAAGCGCCTCGAAGAAGACTTTGCCGTAAAAGAAGGCAATCAGTACTGGGATGAACTAGTAAAAGGACTTAACAGAAACTTTCGATATGCATCTACGGCACTTCCAGAAGCGCCAACAGCCGCAGCATCGGCCACGAAAGATGATCGGTTGGAAACGGATGAGGGCAAAAAACACATTGCTGCTCTTTGTGCGCTGCTTCAAATCTCCAAGACAAGAGCGATTGAAGTCACCAGAGGAATTGTCCAAAAGCTATACAAGAACGAGAAACTGCTGCCAGCACTGCTGGGAACTAGTGACTTTTTCCTCAAATGTGTAGCATATCACTCTCAACAACGATTGATCCGATTGCAGATCTTGACCGAGTGCTTGCAAGTAGAACAGGACGACGAAAAGCCTGCCTCGGAACCTGCATCCAAAGTATTAGATAGTCTGGATGAAACATTTGAAGACGAATCGCGACAACGGGGCTTGTTTCGAAGATTGCTGACTATTGCCTGCACGCCATTGGTACTGCCTACACGAGATCAGATGTCGCCCTGCCACGATCTAACTTTCAAGACTACATCAGGATCTTCCGCCTACAACTCAATAGCGGCATCACTGCTAGAAGAAACAAGACTGCGGACTAATCGGGAAAGAGTTCAAGCCATGGAAGCTTTGCTAGTCTTGTTGTACCACCGGATCAAGGGTGGAATTCATCGCCCCGATCTGTGCATCTTAGTCCAAGCTTTTCAGGCTTGTGGAATGTTTGAAAGCAAGGAAGAGCGCTTGCCCCATTTGGCGGGCCTCATTTGTGCCGAATCCATGCAACTCTGGCGGGCATTTCAGCCTGACAATCAAATTCTATGGGCCTCGCAACATCCAATGTTACTGGAAGCTTCCAGTAATAGAATACAAATGGAAACGGAAGCTCTCAAGACAATATTGTTAGATTCCTCAAGCGAGGTCACCAATCTACAGGGTCCTCAATCCTTGGCATTGCTGTCCTTTGGACTGCTTCTTCGATTGGCCTACGATTCGCTCGCCAAATCAAGTACAGCCGATGATTCACAACCCTATTGGAGAACCTTTCAAGCATCAGGAGCTGAGATTGTCACCATTGCCAATGAATGGGGATTTGAATACCTCAATGAAGCCATTTCGAATCTGGTGGAGAGCGATTTGGCTCCAAGTTCAACTCCTCAGGGCGAGCTATTCCAATTTTACGACTGGCAGCTCTCTAATCCAAAATCCTCTCCAATGCTGCTAGAGGCGGATACGGAAATCAATACTCCGGCAGATATCGTGCTGTACACAAGCATCGCTCGTGAGGTCGTGGTGTCTTCCATTTTGGCCTTTCCTAATATCTTGTCTACCGAATCCACTGAAAACCTTGGAATGCTCTGCAATTTGGCCAGCTATCTTTATCAGGCCAACCCTGTCTTGGCAGAAGAATTTTGGTCACTATGGCAAGACTTCATTTCATCGAATCCACCAGAGATGCCACTGCCCATGTGTGACTTGTTCCATGCCGCACACGGCCTTGCCAATCGGGCTCTTGCTGCTTACCAGCAAAAAGACATTTCGAGTGAAGTGTTGTTGCCAGCAGTGGCACCATTCTTTCAACTACTGGCATCACTGTGCCATAGTCCGGACATTGTCGAAGCCACACTTGACATTTTGGACGATGGGCTCATTCGTTCTGCTCTCTTGGCTTGCTATTTGCCGGAGGCGGTGGCAGGGTCGGAAGAATACATTTCTAGCCGGACGATTGTGCTGAATGCTCTAGTGAATCTTTCGAAAACAGGTCCATCGAAGGCCTCGTTGGAGAAACTAAGACTTTCTATGGAAGATACGCAAGGAAACCAAGTCATGGTTGATGGTCCTCGGGTGCTCACGAGAATTGCGATTTCCACCAATGATCCAAAAGTGATTGACCCCGTTCTTCAGTTGATGGCATCCCTACTAGATGGCGCATCCCAAAGATGGGCCATGCAATTGGCACGGCAGTGCATGCCATCGCAACGGCAGAAATCAGTACTCGCTACTTTCTTGGAACCAGGAACGGGGACAACCAATGCAGCTGCAACGGTCCTTGCGGGATTCATTGAGCAAATGACTTCGGTGGTATTTTGTGATTCGTTCCAGGATAATGACGCAACTGCCTTCTTGCAAGTTGTGGGAGAAGGAATCTTGTCCTCCGGTACTGCGTTGATTCCATACATGTCAACTTCAGCCTCGTCGATCGGTGAAGTGGAAGTCTGCTACGAGACTGCAGAAGTAGTACTTCGTGCCTTTGCTCGATTCTTGAGTCTTATTCGAGCGGTGATGGAACTGCATCCGTCTCCCGCAGTCAAGTCCGCAGCATACGATGTGAGGGATTCACTCATCAATACTTTGGCAACCAGCGTGAGTTTGGGAGAAGCCATTGCACACTATGCTGTCGCTCCCGTGTCACTAGGCATTGCAGCACGTCTTTGGGATGCGCTGGAAAGTGGTGAGATTGGAACGGAAGTATTGGAAACCAAGTCGGAAGGTGAAAAGAGTTTTGGAAAGTGGCAATTCGTTGCTTCCAAAAATAATGGGCAAGATAGCGACGTAGTGCGCGGCAAAAAGCTGCTGCTGGATGCCATTTCAGAATTCTGTGGGAAGGATTTGGACCTGGAAGGTCTACAACAGAAAAATTGGACGGGAACAACAACCGACAGGCTAGCTCCATTGCGAGTTGCGGAATCTGCTATGCAGCTGCTGTCAATGTGGTCATTGCATGTTGACGACATTGTCACTGACCGAACTCAAGGAAGTGATTCCACGTTGGTGCAGTCAGGTTTCGAGTTGATCAGCCAATTGAGCCCATATGGGATTCTCACCAGCCGTGCAACATGTCCATATCCTTGTCGAGAGAACAGCACCTTTTCAGCTTCGTGGGAATCAGCGGGTATACCGAATTTCGACTTGGTCTTGGCCTATTTCGCAGATCCAGGAGACGACAGCACGACAGCTTCTGCGATTCCAACAATCGTTTCCTTGGATGTCCTCCACGCGTGCATTGTTCATGCTCGGCAGTCAAGCTCCATCGACTCGGAAGGTGCATCCGTTGTTTTTCGTGCAGTTCACAATTCTGAGAGACTCCCAAAACTGATTTCAAACTCAATAAGCACAGCCAATCAGCTGGCTGACAAGTCTACTCTCACGGGCAGTGACAACACTGCGGTACTTCATGGGTTGCTTGGCTTGAGATTGTTATGTGCATGTATCGAGGCGAGCCCGGCAATTGCTGACAAGATGCTTCATATGGAAGGAACTCCACTTTTGCCTGCTCTCACCAAAATGGCGTCCAAGGTCCGTGGTCTGCTAGGACTTCCAGACGAGAGCGCGGCAGAAGTTTTGAATAGCAACTCTGCAATGTTACAAATGAGGCTGGCCGCAGGAGCGGTAACAGCTCTGTCGGCGGTGTGGACATCAGCTCGGTCCATGACTCCAGGCCCTTCAGGCTCGGCTAGTGCGCGGCTAGGGGAGCTAGTGGATGAGGAGGCTTCATTTGTCACTGATCTTTTGACAGCTGTAATGGAATACTCAAGTGCGAACGATATTGAATCAAAGATCCCGCCATCTACAGAGTCGGAATATGCCAGGTGCGCACTGACAACGTTCATGTCAAGGTCCTTGGACATACTGGCCACAGAAGTTGCGTATTATCGATGCAGTCGCGAGAATCGAAATCCAGCCCTAGAAGCAGCTATGAAGGGAAGTTTCTTCCAGCCCCAAAGGTTTACAGGCTTCAATGGATTCAAGTATGCTGCCGTCAGCACAATGCATTTTGGCTCAATGGGTTTCGACAGGCTACAGTGCCTGACAAGACCAACAGTGCTGCTAGACTGCTTTCCCACAACGGCAACATGGCAGTCTTCGCACGATGCTTATGTTCTTGAGAACACGTTTGATGTTGGAGCAGCGACGAAGTGGCTATCGGAGATATCTCAACAAGAAGATGATGAAATTGAGCGCATTCTGTCCCGCCTTTCCGTTACTCATCAATTTGCAGTTTGCGACCTGCGATTAATTTCATCTTGGAAACGACTTGCGGAGTCTCTTGTTCTTTTCTACGATGAAGAAAATGCGCGAGCAAACAGCTCCAATGCAAACTCGGAGAGATTGGTGGTTTTGGCAAAAGATACCTTGCAAGCATTACACCTAAATATTGCAGCTATCAATGAAGCACAGGTTGAAGTTTCAGAAGACTTCATGCAGACAAGTGGCAATCAAATGGCGAAGGCGCTGGCAGAGTTGTTTCTCTTCTTGCTGGAGATGGCTTTTCAAGATGAAGCGGCACCAGGGCTTCTGGACAACGACGATATTTTGGACTTCCTCGAACTTTTGGCGAAAACTAGCGAGATGGTACATACGATGGTCTCAGTATCACGTGCTGGTGCCTTTGCAACAGGGAGTCTTGAGGTATGTTGAAATGAAATTCTGTCCCTTTCTTTCCTTTTATGGCACTAATCTTTTTTGCGAAACAAGATGTGTTGCACTTTGGAAAGGCCCCTTCTTGCTGCTGCAATACTGCTTGACAGCGTTTTGGGTGCCCGGGCGACTCTATCTCGTGGGCAGCTGAAGCGAGAAAGGGATGTGTGCACTTCACTTTGTCGAGTAGCCAGTACTGTTTTGAGGGTTCTAGGAAAGGTTCTGCAAGAAGCTGCTAGCGATCCTCTTGTTACAGATCAAAGGAAAGGAGACAACAGAGAAACACTTCGATGTTGCATCTCCCTTTTCACAATACTTGTTGCCAAAGGGCATGGATCACAAATGAGTGACGCTTCGTACTTCAAGCTTGTTTCGAAAACATTGGTGGAGTATGATGCTCTGAAAGAAATCATTGACCATGGGATGCAAGCTTCAAATGCAGCCGCAAGCTCGATTCTCTCTTCTGAAGGCGACGAAGTCTACGGGACAAGGGGACCTTCGTCTACCGAAATTGACAGTCTTGTCGTTGTTCAATCAGTTCTGAATCTCCTCTACTCCGTAGCTGAAACAGACAACGCGGACATGCTTTCGATTTTCATTGGCACACAATTGTCGCAGTTTGTCACGAGGAACCCACTCTTCCAATACGTAGGACGGGCTTGGACACAGAATGCGCGAAATGCACCTCCTCGAGGTTATGTCCTTTCTCGAGAAGCCGCAGCTTCAAACAGAAGTTCTATTTTGCCTGGCTCGTTGCAGCTCTACAGGAGCGACCCGCTGCATTCAATCTGGTTGACTTCAATGAAGGTTTTGCAAACATCCCTGAGATCTTCTACGAGATGCCTAAATATCCAGGGTACCGAATCGATTGGGAAACATTTCTTCAGCGCATCAGTAGAATTTCTTGAGATTCACCGAGTTGCTATTCTTTCGTGTCTGAAGTCATGTGGTTCGGAACTCACTGGCAACATGTTGCTCGAAGCTACACAAATCTTTGCGCTTGCTTCCGAGCTTTTCAAACGAGACCATCGCGATGCTTTCTTCCACACAAGCAGTTCCATGTGTGAGGAACTCATCGAATGGGCAAAGGCCGTGATTGTGAACATTAGCAAACTTCTTGGAGCTGCTGGAACGGCGCGAGAGCTTTTCCGTGGTTTGGAAGAGCACGAGTCAATGGACCCGGACCTTATCGAACATAGCTCTGGCCCAAATGATAATAAAGCTCGACATCCATTGCTTTCCGGGGGGCGTTTGCAGGATGCAAAGCATGAAGCATACAAGTTTTCTCACTTTGCTGCCAGATGTTGCAAGAGAGTTACAGGTATGGACATCAAAAGTGGCTCAACAGTGCCCTCGCGCTTGCGTCATTTGTCTCTCGACCGAAAGAACGACGAGCCCCTGGAACAAGCGTGTCGATTGTCTGTCACGAGTGATTATGCCATGAGAATGGAACGGGTAGCATCTCAGTGTCTGTCGCAAGCAGTTTCCACAGTCTGGAAAACCCATCCCGTCTCGCACTCTTTCAAGGTTTTCTCTGAACGGGAAGTCATGCAGCTCGACGTGATGAACCTTGTGCAAAATGGTGTCGTAATTGGTTACAGAACATCTTGTGGTGAAAGCCTCCTTGTTGATGGCACTTCTGAAACTTTTGACGACCTACGGTTCGGACGCGTTTGCAGTGGAGATACTTTGAATCGAACTTGGACTGTCAAGGTTATTCGGGGCGATGGCGATGTGGCTACTGGAGAAGTTGAGGCCGTACGAGCTAGGCAGCTTGCTGGTATAGAGGATGTATCTATGCGAAAGGTCGCCACAGCATACTTGCCAGCGCCAGACACAATCGAATCGCTCGAAAAGGGATCACCATCATTGAGTGTTGGCCATTTAATCCTGGTGCTCCGTTGGTGCCATCAAAAGTTTGTGTCACTACGTGAAAGCAAATTGCCGGATGGACCAGCACACACCAAGAATGTGATACGAATCGCGGAGCAAACCGTTGCTCTTCTCGCTGCCGAACTTTCGATCCACGCAGAAATTGAAAGTGATTTGAACATGCCGAAGGCAGAAAAATCACAACTTGACTTTCAAATATATGAGATGTTTGCTGACCCCGAAGTTTTATCTGTTCTGGATACGAATGTGCCTATCTCATCGGCGCATATGCAACAGGGTAGACTCAAGGATTTAATTCAAGGTCCTGCGTGGGATGCTATCCGACCACAGGTTAGACAGGAGATGGAGCGATGTTTGAAAGCTATTAAGGAGCACGAGCAAAAGCCGCAAAAGAGATCTTTTGGGGAGACTAACTGGTATTCTGGAAACCTTGGTCGCTCTCGGGGATACAAGAGTGCATTCCGAGGATAGATACTTTAGATTATCATAACGGTAGTACGAATTGTAAAAAACTAAGACTTCGCAGATTTTCGACTCGCATACGTACGCGTACGCACATGAGGACAAGCAGTGAAAGAACATTGAAGTCAACATTGCAAATCATAAAATCTTTTTCCGAACAATAACATAAAACATGATGAAATCGATAGCCGCAGTCAGCTTTCTATGGCTTCTTCAAACAGCTAGTTCCTTCAATGTACAAGCTCCCACATCATCATCGATGTCGATGATTCGGTCCAAAAATAGGGCACCTTCTTCGAGCACCAACCTCAACATGTATTCGAGTGTTGAAGAGGCAATCGCCGAGGCACAAAGGATTTGTGCAATGAACCCAGCGGGCCAAGAATGCAAGGTTGCCTGGGATATTGTGGAGGAGTTGGAGGCTGCCGATAGCCACAGTCGCAAAATTGCTCCCGACATGAGTGCGGGTCCTACCAACATGAGTCCAGATTTGGTTGCTTTGGTGGCCAGCTTTGACATTTTGTCTCAAAAGCTTGACGGCAAGATGGACCAACTCATTGCAACAACAGAAAAGTTGCAGGAACTCGGCGCAGATGATCCTGCCATTGCAGAGTTGTCAGCAAGAGCCGTAGATATGCGCAGAGTCTTGGCGTACGTCAATCAAGAATTGAAAGGACAGGTATAGTGTATAGTGAGTGCATTTGATCAATTATTGACAAACCAGCAAGTGACAAAAAAAAGGATGGAGTCAATCCCAACTGCAACATTCGAATTGGAGAGACATCACCATCGGAACGTGAAAAAGAGCAATTCTCAGTGCCTCAATTAGAATCGTCACTTGACTTTAGATTTCAGCAGTATTCATGTTCATCTTCTAAGCAAAACAATAGGACTACTGTCAATAATATATTTTAATATTAAAAAATGTATGAGCTTATATTCACAAGCATTTACAATCATATTTGCTTGCTCGTCTATTTGTGTGGCTTGTACCCAATCCATGACTCCACTTCCCAGTCCAGATTTTCTCGAATGAATTCTGCCATCTCTGCCTCCACCACTCTCGACCTGCGGTTCTGTCCTTCATATGGTTCACACTTTGGTTTAATTCCAGTTTCTTTGGCCACCTGATCTACCAATTTCTTGGTACCCTTTGTCAATAGATACTCGTACTGCGTGATCCAAACATCTGCGACACCTTCATAGTCCTTGACCGTCATGAAATTTCGAATCTTGTCCGTTCTCAACTCCATAATATTGTCATATGGTTTGCCACTACCGTCATTTCTCATTTCATAAAAGGGTTGGTGATTCGAATAAGTATGCTCTGTGACTTCTTCCTTTGGAATTGGATAGACTGGACAGCTGATAAGATCCTTCCATTGAAAGTTTTGCTGACAGGGTTCCGTGTGATTGTCCCAGCGATCTAGTCCAATGCGTTCCATGGTCCAGGGCGTCGTTAAAAATTGCTTCCACTTATCATGATCCCGATATTGCACATGTGCCGGAGAGTGATGGGGAACTCTTTGCATGGCCTTGAACCAATCATACGGATTACGGAATTGCATAACGACGAGCGTGTCATGAGGGTATCTGTCGTAAACAGGCTCCTGAAACCAATGCTTGTACCTCGTCAATGTTCTAGTCACAGGGATGGAATGATTAAAGCACTTAGACAAGTGACTGTGTCCGAAAGATGAATATGGAACATTTTGCAGTTAGAAAATACTGACATCATTGAAAGCAACAGATCACGAACACACACGACACACACACATCTTCAGAACAAATAAACATACCCGTAGGTCCATCGAGTCCCAGAGTTTCGCTCTCCAAGAACAGTGATTTGCTTAATCTTTCTCTTCTTCTTTGGTGCCTTCTTCGGTGCCTTATCGAGCGAGGCAAGTTGAGAAAAGTCCACAGTCGTCAACACCAAAGCCGACGCTGCGAAGAACGTCATGTAGCATAGCAGAGTGCAAAGTCCTCCCCGAGACCCTCGTGTCGGTGAATTCCCCCTGCTGGGGCTTTTGCTGGTGAGCTTCATCGTCTTTCTTATCAATAGGTAGGATCCCAACGGTATGCAATGGTTTATTTTTTACCACGCTCTTGTGTGTGTGTTTGTATGTGACTCTCAGCAATCACAAGAAAACAACTGTGCACAACAAATTTGGCCTCGACAGAAATGACGAATGCTTCCCGCCAGTTTGAATTTTTGGCCGGAGAAACAAAACAACCCGGAAGTATACTCCAACGTCGCAAAAAATTGGGCTTGACATCCGTTTTTCATTCCTGTTGAGATTTCTTTGACTTGGCCGACCAACAAAACGTCGGATTAGTCAACTGCGCAAATTTCAACTGCGCATCAGCACACTTCAGATATAATGTATGTCACTGTATATCGTCGCAAAATGAGTGCATATCGCATCGCATCTTATCAAATCAAATCTCAAATCTGCCATCAGCTACCGCCATACTCGATTCATTCAGTACACCAATCACCAGAGAGACAGCATATTGATTTGCCATTATTTCTGATACAGCCATCTAATTTGGGATGCCATCCACTGTCAAAGTCCGCGTGAAGGGTGGCCGGAATCTTTCCGCATCCTCCAGCCACTCCAAGTTCAGTTCGGGAGTGAGTAGTGGTCTGCGGAGTGTCAGTGCGCTGATTGGCTCCTATGTCATCGTCACTTTAGGAGGTCACTACAATATCGCGGATGAAGAAGAAGGAAAAGGGAAACAAAAGGTTCATAGTACGAGAACCAGGATTTGTCGACAGTCCAGGTATCCGATTTGGGACGAGGATTGTCGATTTGAAGTGGACGACAAGTTGCTTCAAGACGAGCCGCTCATCTTTCGAGTTTGTCACTCTGATTCTATTGGTCAAGACGAATTGATTGGATTGGTATATATTGATTTGAATCCTTTGCTCACCCAAACAGCTATTCGATATGATGATGAAAATGGGGAGTCCAAGATTGATGGTTGGTTCCCTGTGTATGATACCCTTGGGGGGATCACAGGAGAATTGAATTTGTCGGTCAAGCTCAACTTCATTGGAGATGAGAATCCATTTCGAGATAGCTCTGCGGGGGTACAACTGTTGCATATCTCGACATTGGACTCGGCGTCAGGGTTTGAAGTAACCCATGTATTTGGTTTCGTGGAAGAATTAATTGCCGCGGATGATGTCGAATATAAATGGAGCGAAAACTTTAGGCGTGCCAGAGTCTCTCATGAGTCAAGGCAAACTCTGCTCTACCTTCTTGATGCCAGTGTGAGGAGAAAAATGTGTAAAACAGTTCTGGAGCGAGGTATGTGAACATAATTTCAGTTTGTAGCAATGATTCAAAGTCACATTCGGGTCTGACTTTGTTGCTTCCAGGTGGCAATGCTGTTCTTGGATATCATCAGAATTTTGACATGGAAGGAGATTCTGGAATTGTGGTAAGTCAATGAATACAGGTACCGAATATCTACAACTGCAACTTTATATAAATTGTCGCTAAGAACACTGCTTCAGGCACGATCCTATGGTACTTGCGTGAGGATTGAACGGATTCAGGCAAGACCTCAGTCAATGTCATCGCTAGCACCGCATACAGACAGCGAACGTGAAGATTCCAGGCCTCCTCTTCCTAGACCAATGCCAGAAGGTCACAATCGTGTAGCTTCCTCAACAAGGTTCAACCTAAATCCACCAGAAGATCAGGATGATGATGAAGTCGAGCTTCTCACCATGACGGACTTCGATCCTCGTGTTCGTGTCCGAATCGGTGGTCTCGTGACAGCAAGGAGCATCAAGTATCTCGGAAACCTGGCGTCAAAGCTTTCCGATCAGGAAACGAGAGACTCTTGGTGGCAAGAGCTTCGAGCAGAAATCAGATCTCACGCAAAAGTATTATGCTGCACTCATGTCATTGGATATCTTGAGGCTGTTACTATCTACGATGATACTGCAATCTTATCCATCACAGGAACGGCGTGTACCATTCGAGGGCTACCAGATCTATCGCTTCAGAGGCAAATTAACACTTGGCAAGATCCTACCTGGTCGGGAGTGGATGATGATATTCTCAATGACAAGTCAGGAAGAGGAGGGAACGAGGCATTGGAACGACGGTATCGACGCACTTCAGAAATGAAGAGTCAGACTGGTGACGATTCTTCAATAGAGAAAGGTGCCGAGATTACTCTCCCGCGCAAAGTACATGGAAAGAGAGGAGTGATCAGAGCAAGGGCAGCAAAACCATGCAGTTATGCACATGTGCCGTATCACCACAAACTGGCTCCATTCCAAAACATGAAGCTTGTTCCTTGTTTGTGTTGTGGGAAGAAATGGGTACCAGAATGCCTTTTAGCGACCTGTGAACCCCCTTCTCGGCTTCCAATTCGAGGGTCTGGAGTGTTTGTACAGGCTCGTGTCTGCCGTTCTCGACAGCCTTCTACGGGAGAAAGTGATGCTCTGGCAGTGAGTGAGGCGCTTCCCTTCTTGGAGTATGACCTGGCTCGGCAATTAATGCTCAAGTTGAAAGTTTCTGGACGTAATGCGGCCTTTAGCTTGAAATCTGAAGTGGACGTTGGACGCAGCTTGATTGTTGCCACCCTAACCGCTACCGCAGTATACTGTAGTGCGATGCCAGCACCTCGCGTTCTGGAGATATCAAGAACCATTGCAGTTCAAGATGAAGAGGTATGTTGTTTCTCGTGGTTGAAACTTGGTTTCACTTTTTCTGAACACACTTGTACTAACACATCACCACTACAACAACAGGATCACCAACTCGTCGAACTTCAGAATCAAATTGAAAAAATCTCCGCGCAAAACAGGCAACGGCTCTCGCAGGCTGCAGACAGGCACCTAGAGCGAATCCGCAAGAAGTATTCGAGTGCAAGACAAAACTCCCGACAGAAATCTTGGGCTCGGCGTGAAGCGAAGTGGAAAAGAGAAGGACGAAAGAGAGAAAAGGAACGCCGCAATAGCGAAGATGACCTGCACTTGAATGACGATACGCCCCTTCCCAAGTCTTTGCATCTCCATTCCAGTCAACTGAGTACTCCTACCGAAGCTGTACCTGAGGGTTCTGAGCGACACGACCTTCTTGATTCGAGCTCATCGTCTGACAGTTCAACCTCCAGTTCTTCATCGAGCAGTTCAAGTGATAGCGAGAGTGAAAAAGAGTCGCCACAAAAGGAAGAGGCCGGGAAGATGAACACGGAGTCGAGCGTCGGCTCTAATCGTGACGAAATGTCGGCAGAAGATAGGGCGCGTGGCAAGCTGGCCCAGTCTTTCGAGACAGGTTTTGCTTCAGGCACTGACGTGAGCGGCCATTTTGGTGGCGAGGACGATTTGATCAACAGAAACAGTGGTCATCGTGGAGTTGAAACGATCGTGCCTGGAGACTCGGATGTAGACCTTGATATAGACCTTGAGGACCTTGACAACGCTGGACAGCTTGCTACTCGCAAAGGTCAAAGACGAAGGCGCCGAAGAAAGTATCGAGACGATAAGGCCCCTTTTGTCCTCGAAATCGATGACGAAACAGATGAAGACTTTCTCAGTGTCTTGCTCGACAAAAACCTACCGGAAGGAATCCGTATGTGTACATCTCAAAGCATGCCCGAGTTTGGCACTGGCATAGGGTCAAAACCACATCAGCGCACTGATGGTCAAATAGTCATGTCTATGCTTCGGTTCCAATGGGACAGTTCTGCGTTACGAGGTACAAGGAGCAATCAATTCTTCAGCTCGCTCTTCCAAGAACTGTTCGCCAAGTTATGCTCTCAGCTGGCTAGCTACTCGCCAGCAATTGTATGTGGCGTCAGGACACAGGTGAATCTCACTCCCGACGACATGATTGAATTGATTTGCACCGGAAAAGTTGTTCTCGAGAGAACGGGCACCCGCTTGGAAGCGAACGGTGACGATTCGGACTCCTCTGTTTTGGAGGAACTAAAGCTCCGAAAGAAAGAGGATTTGGAACAGCGTGAGCTGTCGAGAGAAATCGAGAAAGGTGCATTGCTGTTGACTTCGCCCACTCCGTCCATTAGTCAGAATAGAGCTACAGTGATTGTGGATAAGCTCAGTGACGAGATGAAACAGCTGCATCGCAGTCAAGCACACCAAGACGCCCATGCCGTTCAATCAGCCAGGGCGAATACAAACACTGTCCCGCCAATACCTCCGGATTATTCATTCTCTGAGCCCTTCACTATCAGCGAGTCAGACGACACGCCTCTGTCCCCGCGGTCTCCTATGCATTCTCGCCACAAGTCAGAAGGGCGCACTCGAGTAGCAAATTCATCACCAGCAGCGGCACTTGCACGTATTCGGAGTGTTCCTATTGGGCACTTTGCACCGTCTTTGAAACAGCCATTACCGCCGACGGCACCAACTCCAACAGTAATTGCGGAAGTACCCGTGGAATTGACGCCACTCTATTACATCAGCGATGCAAGCGTATGTCAAAACACTAGAGGAATAATATCATTGGAAATGTCGATTGTCTCACTCTCATTGCTCTATGATGCAGGTTGTCGAATATCTGGGAACTGTCTCGATGCATTTTGTGCGAGAATCGAGTGGATTGGAAGCTACTGAGTTCAATCGTTTTATTACAGAGTGTAATGCGATAGCCCGAGCACACGTGGCGTCACTCGGTGGCAATGCAATGCTTGGTAAGTCTTTGATTGGTCTTATTGTATCGTTGTCATGTGTCCTATTTTTAACAGACTAATGATTTTTTTTGTCAAAGCATATCGCGCGGTCCCAGCTGAGTCCGGTGGACGGGTATACAAATCGCAAGTATACAATGTGATTTCACTGTCTGGGTGTGCCGTAAGGGTGAAATACAGCCAAGCTGAGACTGCGAATGGAACAAATCGTAGCGACGCAGCTGAAAACTTTGCCGAGAGAAGGCGGAGAGCTTCCTCAACATAACCCGTTGAACCGATAGAATATAATTGGAAGCTCTGTGATTGATTGCACTTGCTTCCAGAAATGAGTGCACTATAAGAATCATAAAAACATGTTCATATATCAAGAGAAATAGTTTATAGCTACTATGATTCCCTTGTTCTCCGTCGGTTCCGAATTGCCTTGGAAATCTTGTTCCTGGCCTCTTTTATGGGGACCAACTTCCACTGCTTTGTAGCTTCATCGAATATGAGGAACCTTGTCCCAGTCGCTTGGATATCGTGTACAATACGACCAACAAAAGCTATTTTGTCCTTCTTGCCCTCAATGTCATCATATTCGAGCTCATGTTGGACCACAATAGCATGAAGCCGAGCGTTTCCAGGATGAAATTTGTATTCTTTGCCGAAGAGCATATCCTGCGGTCTCGGCTGAATCTCGACAATAGCATCGGTCATACTGCTGTCAGACAGGGATTTTGCTTGAGTATCTGGGGAAGCACGGTCGTGTGCCAGAGAAGCAACCTCCGCAGGTTGAGATTTCTTTCCAAGTCGTTTCATTTCTTTCTCATTGTCTCGGATAACGCGATCATTCAACCAAACTTTGTGGTGGTGAAAGACAGGGCTGTTGTCTTTGGGATTGATCGGAATGATTCCATTCCCGATGCCATAGCTGCGCAAGTTATAGAGGCACTCGGTATGGCTCCCAAAATGCACCCTGAATTTCGCGGATTGTTTAGGAGGCATGAGATGCTACAGTGTGAAGCGGAAAGAAAAAAGGAGAGTCAGAAAAGGATAGGTCATGATACAAACCAAAATGGAAGGTCAGAATTTCGTACCATCACGGTACTCAACAGTAGGTATTGTTTGTAGTCGTCATTGCATACGTGTATTCCCTTCCAATCCATTGGTGTAGCCATGAACAATTCACCATGCTTTGGGAAATTCTCATTTGATTTTGCTTTGAAGTCCTCCACAAGATAAAGAATTTTAACTCCTCCTTTCTTTTGTTTTTCTTCTGTCTCACACATTGTCATGACAATATAAAACATCACTCGCAATTCACTTTCCAATGACTTCGGTGCTCCCAACCCTTTGAAACAGAGAAAAATCTCTCTTCCAGCGGAATCACAAGGAAGGACTTGCAAACTCCCCTGTTCAAGAAAATTCCTATCATCTCCATCAAGATCATTAAGTGTAATGTCCTTGGTCAGTTTCTCCTTGCCAAATAATGATTGCTTCAGATCCAAGTGACGGATCATTTGTGTTGCGGTAGCCTTTACATCAAACGAATTGGCACGCAGAAACATGAGGCGAAAGTCAATGTTTGAGACATATGCGGGGTTCTCGATCTCTACTCGCTCGTATGCTGTCCCTCTCTTCATGTCCACTAGGTGCTTCTGCAAGTTTTGCATCGCGTCGATCAGTGGGTGCATCGATTCGGCAGAGGACTCGCTGCTACTGGTTGTTTCGCTCTGATGATACTTCTTGCTGTTCCTGGGGTTAGCGCTGATGGAACTAAAGCTACTCGTGGTGCTTCTTTTTGCACTTTTCACACCATGAAGCTCTTCCAGTACGATTTCTCGGTCCACCAAGCTCAAGCTGTTCATTTTGGCAGCGAATTCCCTGTCCAAGTCCTGCTTCTCTCTGGTTTCATGGTCCCGCGGAGCTAATGACCATCGATTCATTGCTCTTGGCTTTCTTATTGGATTGATACAGGTCAGGCAGTTTGTCTCAGATTCAGACTCTTGTGGATTGGAAAACGGTTCATGAAAGGTCATGTTGTTGTTTGTAAGCAAACAAAAACGGTATTCTACTGCAGTAGAATACCTGTGCTGAATGCGGATCATCTACAGTATATATATGGAGAACACATTCACACAGGATGGCTACGGAGTATTTTATGCAACTTCATTGGTCGTGACTGTTTTTTAGTTCGGCCGACAATAAAAAAGACTACTTCAAACTGGGACCACTCTTTCAATGTGCACGCACCCGGTACTCGAATCACACTACTGCGTCATCAAAAAGGTGACGTATTGTACAATCCATGCGGGTCGGTTGCGCCAAATCAGAACGATGTAACCGTTTTTGCCACTTTTGAAAAACTACCTACGCGCAGTACATTTTGTATGCCGTGTGAGATAAATAATGTGAGGTGCGCTCATCAGGTTGTTGGTGTCAAAATTGAACTTTAAAAAAAAATATTTGCACTACAATTAAGTGCTATAGGCTAAAACGATGGCTTCTTGTATTATCCACTTTCTAGGGAGTTCCGTGCCTTGAGAGTGTTGCCTTATTGTTGTTCCCTGCTTCCACTGATCGACGACGATTCCGAATCGCCTTGGCCACCTTGTTCCGTGCAACCTTGTCGTTCACAATGGACCAACTCCTGGTATTGCCGTCAAATGATAAGAATCTGGAACCAGAAGCCTTGAAGGCTTCAACTACCTTTCGAGATATTATCATTTTGTCACCCTTTCGTTCCGCCGCATCATAGTGATCGACAATTTCACGTATCATATCATGAAGTTTCAAATTGCCTGGATTCAACCTGAAGCCATGACCCAACAGCGCATCGCCTGCTTGCGGATTCACTTGAGATTCATGACTCAATCCCTCACCGGTAGTCCCAGCCATAGATTCTGCTGAGCTTACTTCCGCGAGCCTCTTGCTAGGAGTCGAAGGTCTAGTATTTAGCTGATTTTTCTGGACAGTTGGATGGTCGCGATTGTCTTCAAATGCTGATTGCAGGCACCATGTGGAATGATTCTGGAGCAAAGGCGCGGAATTGGTTGGAGAGATTGGAATGGAGCCAGCTGGGATACCGAATCCACGAAGTGCATATTGAACTTCCATGTGGGTGCCTAGATTAACTCGAAACTTTGCCTTCACAAATGCTGGTAGCAGTGTAACGAACGCCCGCAAAATGACGTATTCCTTTGGCAAAGATTGAGAGGATTAATCCCATGACAAGGCAAAGTATTTGATTTGTCAATCAATCTAAAGCGTACCTTAAAATCATCACAGCACAAGTGTATCCCAGCCCATGGTACGGGTAAGCAAGTAGCTAGTCGTGCGAATAATGAAGCACCAACCCCTTTCTTCTCACGATCCTGATATTCCGCCACAGCATAGATGATCGCAACGATGCCCCTCCGTTGTGTATCGTCTGACTTCTTCAGAGTCTTCATTAGGAGGTAGAACCTAGCCCTTGCCTCGCTTTCAACTGAGACTGGACTTCGTAGCCCAGGTACAAACAGAAGGATCGTCCTATTGATCGAGTCTTTATTGGACAATACTTGACAGGAGCCTTCTTCGAGACTTTTCTTATCTTCAGCGCTAAGGTCCTGAAAGACAATATCCCTGGTTAGTTTCTCTGCACCAAAAAGGAACTTCTTCAATTCAAAGAACTTGATTATCTGCTCTGCTGCTAGCTTGCTATCATATCGATTGGAACGTAGAAACATGAGGCTTAAATTTCGATTCGAAACATAGTCCAAGCTCTCATTACATGCGAGATCATATGCAGACCCCTTAGTCTTCAATTTGGTCAGATGGGATTCAATCTCCCCAAGCCTTTGATTCACAACAATAGGTTCTTCTTGGTCAGCCGGCGCAGCACCGTGAATTTCTTCCAAAGCCAGCTTCCGATCCTCCACGCTCAAAACCTTCATGGAGGATGCCAAATGTTTGTCAAGGTCCTCCTTCTCTCGCAACAAATCAGTTATGTAGGTGCTCGATCGAACAGCCATTTCATCACCGTAGTTTATATTCCCTCTTGTGCCACATGGGAGGATATTCAAGAAAGAGTTGTATCCTTGATGACCACTGCTCATTATGCTATCGTTTCATTACTCACTCTACTGCGTATAGTATCTACTGGTTTTTGTGTTTTTCTCCCAAAATATATGCTCCGACAGGCTTTTTAGGACATGGTTACAGGACCAAACAAAATGCTTTCGGATTCGACAAATTCGAGAAATGATATAAGCCTCAATTAACGACAAGTTCATTGGGCGAACACCTTCTTTTTTACGAATGGCGAGTGGACATTTAATTTTTGGAGTTCAATATATATAAAAACAAGCTACTTTGATCACGAACGCCAGTAGAGCGGAAAGTACTAAAGTCGTCTCCAATTATTATGTCTGGCACCTTTTTATTCCCAATATTAAAATAGGTACCGGTGCACATAGCGGTACTAATACCATTTTGGTACCGGGGAGTAGTGAAGACAACAATTCCGGAACAAATGACCTTTCGTCCGCGCGTTTGAGCCTTTCAGCTGAACGTATATCCGGGTTATGGATCGTCGACGAATAATGCAGAATAATCTATCATCATGTTTGGGGTATACCGGTAGTAGGGGTATCCCCTTGAGAGGTTATTTTTAAGATAAACACCCCCTTAAGCGACTGAGGGAGAGCCTACTGGTGCCTACCGGTACTTGGCCAACAAATGGATAATCTTCTCTTATTTAGTGCACTTGCCCAGCGCTTACAAGGTTGACTACCTTCATTTTCGACGACGATTCCGTATGGTTTTCGCGACCTTGTTCCTTGCTTGGTTATCCGACACTTCCACCCACCCTTTCGATTCCCTTTCGAAGATGAGAAAGCGCGACCCTTGATTCTTCATGTAGCGGACCAGATTCAAGGCGTAGTCCATTTTCTCTTTCTTCCCATCAATTGCTGCATAGTCATCCGCATGGTCACCTATCAAGTTGTGTAGTTGGACATTCCCTGGGTGAAGCTTGTATCCATATCCAAACAAGATATCTTGGGGGCAAGGATTCAATCTCCCATCGTCCGATTCCTGGGCGCTTTCATCAAAGACCGCTTTGGACGCAATTAGTTCATGAGACCCTTTATCATCATGGTTTAAAGCGGTGCTGACCGCTTCTTCCGCGTTATATGGCCCTGGTGGGCAATCCAATACCAATAGAGCCCTCCGTTCAATCGCAATAATGGCATCCTTCTGCTTCCGATCTTGGCACCACATGTTGTGATGACGAAGCAGGAATTTATCTTCAAAATGGGAGAAAGGGAGAACATCCTCTGATATTCCATATCCTCTCAGCGCGTAGAGAACTTCTGCATGTGTACCATAGTGAGATCGGAACTTGGGAGTGGCGTACAAAGGCATCAATGGGAGCAATGCTTTCACCAATACAAACTGTCTGATATCCGAGTGACAAAAATGCATACCACAAAAGGGAATAGGAAGGGAAGATGCAACCTTGGCAAATCTAGCTGCATCCAATCCCGCGCTCATGTCTCGAAAGCGACCTGTTTCAACAAGAATGAATCAAACAAATGAGAGACTTTGCATAAAAATAATGGTCAACGATGATACTCTTGATAGTACTTACCAACCGTATATATGATAGCGACGACGCCGTGTCTGCGAGCCTCATCTGACTCCCGAAGAGTCGTCATTATCACGTAGAAATTGGACCTAAGTTGATGCTCGACCGGACAGAGTCGTCGTAGGCCAGGCATCATCAGAAAAACTCGTCTATTTGCCCTGTCGGGGTGAGGTAAGAGTTGACCGGCTCCTGATTCGAGGCAATTGATGTCTGACGGGTCGAGATCTTCAATCAAAATCTCTTGTACCAGTTTGTGGGTCCCAAACAATTCTTCTTTGATTTCAAAATATCGAATCATGTGTTCCGCAGACGGCTTTGGATCATATTGGTTGCTTCGAAGGAATAAAATCCGAAAGGGTCGATTCGAAACATACGCCTTGTTCATCTGTTCGGCTCTTTCATAGGAACTTCCACGTTTGATCAACAACAAATGAGTCTCCAGTCGTTTCATGATTGCATCCATGAATGCCGAGTCTTCGTCAATGTGATCTTTCCGAGGAAGAATACCACGCACTTCCTCCAGAGCCTTTTCCTTCTCTTCCAAGCTAAGCTTTTTCATAGATTCTGCCAGGAATTTGTCGACCTCTTCCTTTTCCGTATTACTGCCTTTTGCGGCATCTTCATTCGTGATCGACTTATTATTAGTTATGATTCCTCCCCAAAGATTGCAGTTGCTAAAGCATCCTTCGTTTGTGTCATTCCATTGGAAAGTTGATGCTGAAAGATCACCAAAAATGAAGCTTGGTGCCTGTTCCTGCGTGGAAGAGTGGCTCTGGTGGTCCATGATATCTTGTATGCGTGTCAGGCCTATACATACATATTCAAGAGTTTGAGTCTCTTGCGATTGTTCATCCTTGTTCTCGGAAAACAAAGGCCTAATAAAGTCTTCTTTTGAAAATAGAAGGCAAAAATGGTCAAACCAAATCCGCATATTCCTGCACATGGCACACGGTATATACTCGAGGCAAATTCTTATATATCAATACTCTACGCTGTAACAGTTATCAACTATTGCTTGGGAATGTCTTGGATACTATCAAACGAGCCCTTGTATCTGAAACTCCCACCAACCATTTTGAAAATGGCGACAACACTGCCAGTCACAATAGATGAAATCAACGACGACAGGTGATTATGAATTCATGATTGTCTAAAATAAAATCGTCGTTCCTCTCAACTCTATTGTTGTTTGTAGCCAATCCAGCCCTCTACAGTCCAGTTCAAATGCTTGTCGATATATTCCTTCATGTCTGGACTTAGTGCTCGTGCCGATCGGTTTTGTGCGGGATACGCTTTGCAACTCGGCTCAATTCCAGTCAATTCCGATATTTGATCCAACATTTCTTGGGTACCAGTCGATAAAAGATATTCGTACTGCATTGTCAACATTGCCGTCACTCCCTCATAATCCTTGACCGTCTGAAAGTTGCGAATCTTGTCCGTTCTCATTTCCATAATATTGTTGTAGGGCTCACCACTCCCGTCGTTTCTCATTTCGTAAAAAGGTTGGTGATCTGAAAATTTATGCTCCTTGATTTCATCCTTTGGTATTGGGTATCGTTGACAGCTGATAATATCCTTCCATTCGAAAAATTGTTGGCAAGGCTCGGTTTGGTTAGGCCACCGATCGTTTCCGATCCGCTCCATCGTCCACTCTTTTGAGAGGAAGGCTTCCCAATCGGCATCGGCCCTGTAGGCCAAATGTGCGGGAGAATGATGGGGTACCTTTTGCATGGCCTTGAGCCATGTATAGGGATTCCGGTATTGGGCAACTACAATCGTGTTGTGCTTGTAGCGTTTGTAGTCTGGAAATTGAAACCAATGCTTGTAGCGGGTAAATGTGGTCGTCACCTTGATGGAATGATTGAAACATCTTCCCAAATGACTGTTTAGAAGGGAAAAGGTGAGCAGCAGTATATACTATGCAAACATCAGTTGTCATTTTCTGAAGCGAATCAAGCTTACCCAAAGGTCCACCGGGTTCCTGAATTTCGTTCCCCAATGATGGAAATCTGTCGAATTTTTTGTTGGGCTTTGGTTCGACCATCGCTGGAAGCATCCGCAGAATCAGAAGAGGAAGAGCCATCCGCCGCCGTCGTAGCTCCAATCGCATCCAGGCTCATAGTGGGTGAATCATAGAGAGTGAAAAATCCAATGGCGGCGCATATCAAAACCAGAAACACTTTATTCAGCACATTGCTTCGACCCTTCGTCTCTGGAATATTCTTTTTCCGAAACTGCATCTCAGTCGTTCAATTTATGAAGTGTATGTATGAGAGTGAAGTATGAAGTGTGCGTATAGTGTAAAAGTCTTCCTTTTGTCGTTAACCAATGAGGCTAGAGGTGGAGAGATGTACTGTAATGTGTAGATTGGGTCGATGCCAACTTCAACTATTGCACGGTCACGATTATTGGTTTGTGTTTCGTTATACTCGTAGTGTTGAAATCCAACCGTTGAGCGTCTGGCGGGAAGCCGGAAGCGACAAAAATAGCTTTGGAGTATCATCGTCTTGCATTCGACCATTCCCGTCTGTCATTGGACATGACACGGCGTGCCTGTTTCTTGATTGATTCGATTCAGCCTGATGATTGCGACCGATCTGCTCTAGCGATCATAGACTGCGACCAAGTACAGACTTTGATCGCGGATGATATTGGCGGTTTTGAGCCATCAGGCACGGTAATCGTATTTTTGACCATTTTGAAGTTTTATGTCATGCTGATTCTTCAGTGCTATCCTGCCGGTACACCAACGCTTAGTTTGGCGTTACATAATTTATAAAAAGACCCAGCAACATTGCATTTTTAAGCAAAAATATGCACCGCGTCTCACACACTCGCCAGGATTTAGAAAAAATGCTTTTTTACGTTTATCGGACGAGCGGTCATGTTTTAGAGGTTAATTGGCCAACGTGACCCCAGATGTTGTGGTGTCAACAAAAATGTAGAGTATCACTCACTTACCGCAAAGACAAGCAACTGATATATTTTCCTCCGAATTCGGCTTTTTCTATCCTCACGATTCTGTAGGATTCTATAATAATAGTAAGGGCATGATGGGAGCTTTATGTGAATGATTTCTCTACTTAACAAAAGAAATGGAAGAACGATACGAATACCGCTCTTCTAAGACCGTCAGCACAAGGTGAATGAGAACTTGGGAGTAGTTATCTCGCATCTCCACATGTTCTCGCTCACAGCACCAACAACAATGAGAGATTGATTCGTCTGGGGGCAATTTCAGTAACAAGATGACGACCAATCAAACAACCACAGTGCCCAGCTTTATATTCACAGACCAAGCCTTTCAAAAACCTGCTTTTTGTGGTGGTTTTGGAATGCCGTCGTTTGGGTCATCCTCAACAAACAACAACCATAATGAAACATCCCAAAGAGGAGGCGGGTTGTCCACAGAAAAGGAAGAATTGGACAAGTTACTGGCAGACAAAATGAATGGTCTAAGTGTCAAGGATCGGGAAACCATGCTAGAAGAAGTGAACGGAATCGCACATTCGGATCCTGAAGAACCCTCTCGCCTGAATGCTTGTTTAGAAGAGTTGGACAATCACCTGAAAACGCTAAAAGAAGGAACAGTGTACGAACAAGCTGAACGAATGGACTCGGCATATGTTTCGAATAGAGCCTTTCGTCTCAAGTTTCTAAGAGCCAAGCGATACACAACACCAGAAGGTGAAACTCGATATGATCCGAAACGAGCTTCGGAACTCATCATCAACTTTTTTCAAACCAAACAGACCTTATTTGGTTCCGAGAAATTAACAAAGGACATTACTTTGAACGATCTAACCCCAGAAGATCGAGAAGGAATTGCACGAGGAAGTTTGCAGGTATTGCCCAATCGTGATATGGGTGGTCGACACGTCGTCATCAACTTTCGTGGCTTTGCCAAATTTCACTCTTTGAAAAGTGAGGTAAGAGCGAAATACTACACCTTTATGAGCATCATGGAATCGGAAGAAGCCCAAAAGGCGGGCGTCGTTTTGATTTTCTATACGGTGGGACAATATCAAGAATCCAAGGATGGGGGCAGCCTGGCGAAGCAAGGAAGACACATGATGACTTTGCCCATTCATTGGGCCGCCACACAAGTCTGTGTGGACGATTACAAGCAGTATATATTGTTGAAAGCATTTTTCCAAATCGTCCCCGCCCAGTTTGCCGCCAAGGTCCGTGTCCATTTTGGAACCCATTTGGAAAATCAGTATACGTTACGGGGGTATGGAATTCCAGAGGGCTCACTTCCCATTTCCCCGGCAGATTCGAGTTTGTTGCTCTACAATCATTTATTGTGGTACAACCAACGCGAGGCGGCTGATAAGGAACGAGAGAATAGTGCTAGTACTACTACTAGTCCAGCAGCAACACCGCAAATGGTTGTCTCGTCGTCCTCCAGTAACGTCGAGCAGATCAATACCAAAGACAAGACTCACAAGAAGGAGAAAGACGACCTTTCCCTGGGAATCCCAATGGATGAAATGGATGATGATGTATTTTCCCTAGATCCCTTTGACGAAAGCGACGAGTATGATACTCTCAGTCGATCGACTAGCAATTCGCAGATCGTTTCGGTCGAGACATCCCCGTGCCGTTCCACCTCTCCGAATACTGCCATCAGTCCACGTTCCACAGACATTTTGTTTGGACAATCACACAAATCACACCCCGGCAACCTTCGATTCCACGAAGTCATTACACAGCACGTGGGTGAGTACGAGGCGGCGAGTGGACGGCAAAAGAAGATTGAATTTGCCGAGCACTTGGTACAGCACATCAAGGCGAGTGGTGTCCGATTTTTGATCTACGACAAGGGATCGATGCGATGGATGGAAGTTCCAGACACCAAGGCACGAAATAAGGTTTCGAAAACGATTCGAAATCGACGTCGCAGTGCTGACTACAAGGATTAAAATGATGGAAGGAGAATGGATGGATGACTGTCACTACAAAATTTGTACAAGTAGAATCATTATTGTTATAACACTGATACCAAAAAGACTCATTTTCGCACGATTGATTCGGACACGAAGCGCGTTCTTTTAGGATGGGTCCCAAGTATTACGGCACAACCAAATACTCATTCCACTCACAATTATTCCGCTAGCCCAACTTACATTACCCGGCTACGATTGACGAGGAGAGGCGCTTATCGCCTTTTTCATAAGGATGGTTCCCCACTTTGTATGGTGCCAATACTCCGATTACTTTTCCCATTACCCAGTTCGTTACCCAGGCCCGTCGCCTTCTTTCGTATACGGTACCTAACCTATTTACCCGTATACGAGTATATTGGTACGGTGTAATATACCGTATCAGAAGAGCCTAAAATGGTCGACAAGATCGACTAACGCGTATTATTGAATAATGCGCGTGGGTAAAACCAAATCGCATTTTATTCAAAATGCCATCCCGTCTGAACAATAATAACAAGCAACCAGTTTGAGTAATATCCCGCTCATGAATTTCATAGCAACCAATCCGACACAACAAACAAAGTAACATAAAAAGGCAAAGTAAGAACTGAAACTTTTTTAAACCTCTGATCCATGGGTATGGAAATTGCAGAAGGAGGAGATGATTCCGCTTCCACACCCCAGTCGAAGTGTCGAGGCAATATGCTGAACAAACTTTGTCTGGTCTTCATATGCGCCGCCATTGGGTTTGTTACCCTCTATGCTTCACCCACTATGAGCCTGGATGCGACTGGTGTCACTGTGGTGGATGTCTCCTCCTCCTCCTCCTCTTCTGATTCTGCGGGTGGCCGAACCAAAGCCCAACAAAAAATTCGACAGATTTCCATCATTGGGGAACGAAATTCAGGAACCCGGTGGACCTTTGGGTAAGCTTGATTTGCTTCAGAAAATGACAACTGATGTTTGCATAATATATACTGCTGCTCACTCTATTCCTTATAAATAGTCATTTGGGAAGATGTTTCAATCATTCCATCAAGGTGACGACCACATTTACCCGCTACAAGCATTGGTTTCAATTTCCAGACTACAAACGCTACAAGCACAACACGATTGTAGTTGCCCAATACCGGAATCCCTATACATGGCTCAAGGCCATGCAAAAGGTACCCCATCATTCTCCCGCACATTTGGCCTACAGGGCCGATGCCGATTGGGAAGCCTTCCTCTCAAAAGAGTGGACGATGGAGCGGATCGGAAACGATCGGTGGCCTAACCAAACCGAGCCTTGCCAACAATTTTTCGAATGGAAGGATATTATCAGCTGTCAACGATACCCAATACCAAAGGATGAAATCAAGGAGCATAAATTTTCAGATCACCAACCTTTTTACGAAATGAGAAACGACGGGAGTGGTGAGCCCTACAACAATATTATGGACATGAGAACGGACAAGATTCGCAACTTTCAGACGGTCAAGGAATATGAGGGAGTGTCAGCAATGCTGACAATGCAGTATGAGTACCTTGTATCAAGGGGTACCCAAGAAATGTTGGATCAAATATCGGAATTGACTGGAATTGAGCCTAGCTGCAAGGCATATCCCGCACAAAACAGATCGGCAAGAACACTGAGTCCAGATATGAAGGCGTATATAGACAAGCACCTGAACTGGACTGTAGAGGGTTGGATTGGCTACAAACAACAATAGATTACACTATTGCTTTCGTTCTTTGTGATGGATGGCTGCGAACCCAGTACCCGGTACGTTACGGTACGGTACTCGCTGTCAGGCCGCACATATTGATTCGGACACGAAGCATTCTTGTAGAATGGTGTTTCTTTTTATCCTCCTGCTTCCCAATCTACTACTCCTATTTTATACTTTCGCTTTTTCCGTTACCCCAGCCAGATAGCATTACTCAGCTCATTTCGAACGATTGACGAGAGGCTCCTATCGCCTTTTTCTTAGTGTAATAGCCAGCCACTTTTAGGGTAACCAACTACTCTAACAATGAATTTTCGTTTTTTAACCATTACCCAGCTCCTATTGGAACGATTGACGGGCTCGTCGCCTTCTTTCGTATCATATATATTCAATATGGATGGTATCTCACTTTTTATCGATGAATTTCTAACGGTCGACAAGATCGACTAAACGCGTAATGATCGAGTCATGCTGCGTTAATTATTTGAAAGAGTTTCTGAAAGAACACATTCAAAAACAGCGTTTGATGCGATAGCATCCGATCAACAACAAGTCTAAGCATTGTCTATCGTGGCTCACAAATTCTTTTGCATTCAATCGTAAACAACAACAACAAAAACAACAACAACAACAAAAAACAATCAAAAATTTTAAACAATGGGTGCTGAAATTCCACAAGGAGGAGATGCCGCTTCTACTTCCACTCCAAAGCCAGAGACTGCTCCGCCGATGAATGATCCAAAGCCAGTGGTGAAAGATCCCGAAAAGAACGTTTCCGAACAGCCTTCCAAGCAGGGGCGCAACATCTGCATGGTGCTGCTTTTGAGTGCAGTCTTGCTAGCCGTCATCCTTGCATTGGTTCCTGACTGGGGCGAAGATAAGGAAGAAACGAAAGTAGAAACAGAGGCCAAATCAAAGCCTCTTGCCAAGGTCTTTGAGCCTATTCTTCCGGTGTTTGGCGGTGAGTTCTCATGACTTTCGGCATTTCAATCGGACTGATTGATGTTCATCTTGACTAACAACAATTGTCATTTTTCATGTGCAGAAAATATCACAAAAGGATATGATAACGTTGCAGAACTTGAGGATGATCTTCGCCAGTTCGGATTCATGACCTTGAACCAACAGATGAGCGGTTTCATTGGTGGAGGCGGCTGGGGCTGTGGTGGTGGCTACTACTTGCGTGAACCTGACGTTATGGAAGATATAGCCATGGACGGTGCAGCACCTCCAGGTGCGCCTGATGGTGGTGCAGCTGCGGACTCTCCAGCAGACAAGGTCAACTTTGATGGAGTTGATGACTTTGGAACAAACAACCAAGAAGAAAGTATCGATACTGCGGATCAAGCCAAGTCTGATGGTACCTTCATTTACGCCTCCTATGGGGACACTCTTGTTGTCTGGAATGTTACCGACGGAGAGATTTTGAGCAAGGTTCAAATGCCCAAGATCGACATTGAAAAGACAAATGACCAAGACAAACTCGATGGACCATACGGCCACTACTACCGTTGGACGCCAAAGCCGAATATCGAAGCAATCCTCCTCGAAGGGGATAACCTGGCTATCGTTGTAACTGGCTACGGCGCAGAACACGAATCAAAACTCACTGAACCAGCCCCCATTTGCAACTACCTTGGAACTCGGATCATGATTTATGACATTAATGGAGGAGAACCAAGGTTCTTGCGACAGCAAGATGTCCATGGATTCTTCAAGCAAGCTTACTCTGTTGATGGAGTAGGTCATGTTGTCACCCAAGCATCCATTGATACATGGACCCACCTACGAGAACCAATCCAACGATGGAAATTCGAAGGCTTGACGGACGAAGAGTACGAAGCTGAATCTGTTCGTATTGCTCAAGAACAAGTCCCCATGTTTGCTTCGAAACTAGCCAACTTGTTGGGCTCAGTCGATCTCACTCGTCTCAGTCTCTTTGTCAGCTCCATTGATGATGAAGACACTTTGGATGGAATCATGTCGCAACTCAGAGTTGCTGATTCCATCGCCATGGTTGGCTCTTTCAAGATCAATGATGATACCGCCTCTACCTCGACTGAACTCGAAGTGTCCTTGGCTGGAACGACTCAACCAGGATACTGGGGCGATGTGTATGCGAATGCGAATATGATCATTATTGCTGACAAAGGTTACGAGTGGGTTGCCGACAAGGAAGAGTATGCAGAGATGACCTTTTTGGTTGGCTTCCGTTTGGATGGCGCTTCTGCAAAGCATGAGGTGGTTGGATCTGTATTTGGAAAACCACTGAATCCTTACTCATTGGACATGGTCGAGAAAGATGGAGAATTCAACATTCGCATTGCTACAACTATCACGTTCTGGAACGGCTTTATTCTCACCGACCAAGGTGGTGGTGAAATGATTGACAGTTGGGTTGGAACTGGCATTTCGTCGGAACCAGCAGACAATAATGATGAGTCCAATACTTGGAATGAGATTGTCGTGCTTGGAACAAACGGCCCGAATGGATCATTGCTCGAGAAGAAGAGCGGCGTACGCCTTGGAAAACCAAATGAGGTATGTTACACTACACTTGTATACCTACTGCACTTGCTACCAACACAGAAACCATGCATGTTTTCTAATCCTTTACGTTTCTATTACAGAGATTCACTGCCGTGCGCTTCCTTGACGACATTGCCTATGCTGTGACCTTTGAGCGAATTGATCCGTTGTATACAGTGGACTTGTCCAACCCCAACGACATTAAGGTTTTGGGAGAGTTGGAGGTTACTGGATTTTCGGAATACTTGCATCCTATCGAAGGTGGCAAGATCCTCGCCGTCGGTCAAGAGACTGACGATAGAGGTTCTGTTATTGGTCTTCAAATTTCTCTGTTTGGTGCATCTGACCCTACGGATCTCTCCTTGATCGACCGTCTTGTACTCCTGAACGAAGAGAATGGATCCACAAGCAGCGGAGCTTCGTGGGAACCCAAAGCCTTCCGCTACTTTACAGTGAACGATATTGGTATCCTTATCATTCCTGTCACCAAGTACTATTGGAGGAACTGGGCCATTGACGAGATGCCTCCACCAATGGAAGACCAATTGACATTGGTAGAAGATGAAGGCGCTCCGGTTCCTCTTGATGAGGATGAATGGTACCCCCCACAACAAAGAGACAACTTTGATGGGTTCGAACTCTTTACTATCGAGAACGATGTCATTTCTCGTTATTTTGCCATTGATCACGAGGACTTCAACAACCTCGGGATTACCTCTTGCCAGAACTGGTGTGGAAACCTTCCCGAGAGAAGCTTTGTCGTTGACGGAGATCTCATCACTATGAAGGGCCAATCAGTTCTCAGCACCGATCTTAATACCGAGCGAGTTGCCTGGTCCACCAATATGCAGCAAGCGGTGTGCTGCTCTGCTTAATCTTATCCAGCAGCATGCTGGGAATTAGCTTCGGCAAGAGCTCAAATCACGATTACATGTAAATTATATCAATACATCAAATAGCTATCAAAGAAAAATAAAGCACAATTGCAATGTTAGTCTTTTCTTCATACATGCAAAATGATTGTCGTTCCTGTACCTCCCAGAGTGCAAATGGACAGAAGACCGGCGCACTCTCCCTTTAGAGCAGGAACCATCCTCATTGAAAACGACGCATTGTCTGCGTTGTCAAGAAACAACAAGTTGTGTCACTGTAGCATCCGAATGGAAAACTTTCTACCCACTGAATGAGGGCGAAGGCCTAGTAATGGTGCAAATGGACGGTTCCCAAAGTGTTTGTTTGTCGAAGCCACGATGTACATACCTTCATCATTTTGCCTTTTTTTTTTAATTTTATGATGTGGTTGATGGTTTTGCTTGATTTACGGAAAACGCACAGACCCGTATGTTGGTACTACTTCAGAGCTCACAAAAAGATCTTACGATGATTTGATTCCATAATCTGAATCGAAATCACTCATCGCTATCTCATCTCTTTACCACTGAAGATTCAGACACTTTTTAAAACTGAACCATTCAATACTAGATGTACCTTTCACTTCCGCATTTAATCAATACACATATTACATATTTTCTTCCTACAGGTGTCAATTGGAATGCTATCAGAACACTTCATTACGGCATTCTTCAGCAGCATGCATGCTGATCCTTCTTGTACTTGTTCCTCCGCCAATTCTACTACAAGCAGGGTTTGGACACACCGTCTTAGCCCCGCTCCATTTTAAGACGATCCATGATCGCATCGAGTTTCGTATTGATAGATTCGATTTCCTCCATCATCGCTTCTTGACGCTGAATCTGACCTTGGTCACCCCGATTCTGCTGACGCTTCTTCATGTCCTCGACAATTTCCGAAACCAAGGCGTCATCGCAGCCACATCCAGGTGTAACAGGACCTACATTACAATGAGGATACATAATTTGCGAATGATCCATGCGCTAAATTTCAAATTGAAAATAGATTCGATTTTGAAGATCTCCGTGACACTGTTTGTCACATCTTTGATCATATTGCGGGCTCCGACATCAATCAGACATCACCACAAAAATGCAAAATACTGCCATGATCCGGGCGATGAAGATGGTATCAGTGCGATGTATTGAAAACTTGAAGATATAGCGCAGCTAGGCAAATCTTGCTTATTCCGATCCAATGCCGAGATCTAATATGTGGCTACAGTTGGTGGGACACTTTCAAAACGATTTCAAAAAGAACACCATTGGACAGTTGCAAGATTCTTTTTGTGACAAAAAAGATGACAATTCCAAGATCTTGAAGCAACTACGATCAATCATTCTTTTCCTCCAATTGGAGAATAACGTCCTCAAGGGAACTCTTCAGTTGATTGCTTTCAGTAAGAATTGATATCCGTTCTTGACCTTCCAGACCACGACCGAATATACCGACGAAGCATGACAAGTCTTCAGACGATAGCTCTCTCATCTCCAGTGGGGAGGGACCGGTAAGACCTGCATGGCCACCCAAATAGACTTTCCCAGCTGGCTCTTCGCCTCTGTCAAAATCCCGTGCATGTTCCCACCATAGAAACAAATGACCTTGAACAACCGCAAACGCTGGAATCCAAAGGAATTCTCGATCTTTGTCAGACTGTTCTTTCAGCTTGACATTCGAAAACCACTGAGACTTCCAAAGCTTTCTCAGTCGAGCTTCCCGCCTTTTTGATTCTCGTCTCTCCGCCAAGGTATTGGTTACTCGAAGCTTTTCCCAGTAGATAGCTTTCCGCAAGTCCTCTCTTGTTGGAAGACTCCGTAAGGCATTGATAAATACGTTACCAGCATGGCCGTTCTCCTCCTTCACCTCAAAGCTCTCGATTGGTTTTGGAATTCTAGCTGCCTTTTTCTTGAAGATCTTCATTTTGGTGATTCCAAATTGTTGATCAAATGTAAACCAAAAGAGAACCTGTATGCAACATGACGAGGTTTTGTTGAGATCAGGCGTAAATTGATTCAAAGCAATTTGACTCCAAAGTTTCGTACCAACCCGGCAATAAAGACAATGACCCTCGTTGGTATGATGAGGAAAACAATACAAACCGCAACAATTGCCCAAAAGACAAGAGACGATTTGAATGGATCCTTTCAGAATAGCAAATGGCATGTTTAGAAAAGGAAAGTGATCAAATCGCAACATATATTAAAGCAAGTTGGCGAAACTCACCGTGAAGTTGAAAAGATTGACAACTGATTCCACAAGATCTAGTGTTGAAACTATAGTGTTTTGGACGTCCTGAAGATTCCCGCCGAGACTGTAAAAAGGATTGTTAGTCTAGCACGAGCAACAGGTCGAGTACTTTGAAGTTCTTACCCTAATGCAGTGTTCATAGCTCCCAGAGAACTGTCAATTATGTTCGTCTTCTTTGAATGCGAGAAATGGCTCAATTCTTCTTGGATGGCAATTGACAACTGCTGCGATGTTTCTTCTGGGAGTTTCTTGTCGTCGCCTGGTGGTTGCCAAGAAAGAGTAATATGAATTCTCGGTTGCATGCCTTGAGATTTGGAATCTATACCTTTTGGTGACACGCTGACAACGTTGTCTTGTGCCCCACTTGTCACATCAAACCATCCGCTTATTCTGCGCCTTTTCACCAGCTCTGAAAATGGAATGACGACCTCTCCAATTTCATATTCGACCCCAAGGCCAAACAGCACATCCGAAAAGTAAACTTGGTAGACGACGGCACCTGGGCATTCGTCCCATGATGCCAATTTGATTTCCGAATCTCCATTATCACCTCCCGCAGTACGTACATCGATTGCAAGCGGCTGAAGCACTGGGAATGATAACCCCAAGGAGCCTTCCGTCTTATTTGTAGTCGCAAGAGCATCGTCCGGAGGAAGAAGTCCTTTCAGTCGTTTATTCCATTTACTGTCGCTAAGCTCCCAAGTGGGCTGAGCTGTGTAGCGGGTGTCTGTATGCCCTATCTCAAATGGAGAATGAGATGCCTTATCAAGCTTTTTCATGACAGCTTTCAGCCGTTTGCCCGCATACCTCGTCGGATCCCAGACCACGTAACATGATGTCTTGCCTGGGATACCATCTCTAGACAAGAGGTCGGCCCCTTTTGTCACATCAACCGTGACTGACCCGAGCGGCCGATTGGTTGTGTCTTTTGAGCTATTCTCATTATCCTGGGTGACATGATGAGATTGTGCGTGCTATGGATTCGATGATAGGAAGCAACTGCTTTGAGATACTTACCATTTCATCGCCAACTATTCTAATATTGATATCCTCGACTCCAGCAGTCGGGATAAAGAAGCGCCGGTTTCTTGCGTGGAGCATCAAGCAAATAATGAAAATAAAGGGAAGACTGCACGATCAAACATCATCAGATTCTTCCTCTATTTCTCAAAGATTCAAGCAATAGACTCTTACCTTCCTCCATACTCTGAATTGAACCGAAGGCACACAACAATATGTGTATACAAAGCTGCGGCAGTAATCAGCGGATCGTTCCAGCTGAAAATATACTTTATGCCATCAATGACAGACTTCAGATCGTCCAGTAGATATTTGACCCGTTTCAATTGTTCTTGTAAATTCGACATTCTGAAAGCCGGATGAACCCGCTCCGGGCATTCAAAGTTAGGACTGAGGAGCTTTTCAGTGTACTCTTCGATGCCAACTTCAATCTCCAACCAACCGACTATACCTGTAGTATCGTTAGCCAAGGTCAAAAACTGAAAATGCGCTCCACATCATTACTTACAAGACGGCTTATCAGACGCCCGACCTTTCGAACCAAAGATACCATTCTTCGCGTTACTTCGAAGCTGTAATTTCATTTCTAGAGTCCCGTCCGCCTTGATAGGCCCTTTTGCAAATTGGAAGAGTGAAGCTCCATTCCGTTGGACCGCCAGATCTCTATGCCTTTGCAAAATCCCTTGCGTAGTCAACATTGCACTTCCGACAATGGCGTCTGTGTTAGAGTCTACAATATCCAGACGAAATTCACGACCATAGTCTTCAATGCCAAAGAAGAGCCGGGTCGATCGAAACTGAGGCAATCCACTCTTCTGCACAGTCGGAGTTCGTCCTTTTCGTGTACTATTTGATATCGAAACACGTGCATAGTAGTCTCCATTGAAAAGCTGTCCTTTTTCACCCACTGCAAACACTTTCTCTGGATGCTCATCGGATGGAACAGGCTGCTTGAAGATAGCGGCTTGTAGGAAGCAGAGCTTGAGGTATCCTATCCCGGTCGAAAAATCAAGATCCTCTTCATTGAAAACGGTTCCCTCATCTATCGTTTCTTCCACCAGAGACTTCCTGTTTCGTTCAAATGTTTCATCAGGTGCTACAAAGGAGAGAATACTCTCAATTGATCCCTTCTTGCGTTTCGAATGAGAGGGCCCGCATGGAATGCGGAGATCCACATTCAATCGACAATCAAAGCAGCAATCAATATTACACACTTCACACTGGGACCCTGACTTCCTCCCAACAAGAAGTTTTTGACATACTGCACAATTGGAAGGCATCCAAAAATTCATTGTCCGAAGAAGGTGCGTACTGTGCTGGGTACTGTACATTGTATTATTCGCGGTTGACATCACAGAAACAGAAGCAGCATCATGATTTGATGTGACTAAATTCCCAGCACAAGCATCCCCTGCTTTTACGACTGCCGACATGTCAACCTGTACTTTTCTTGAACCTGGAATCTTTCGAGGAGACTTCATCGTAGTCACTAGCATTGGTAGTTTGGAGTCCTTTTTCTTGGAAACTCGCCTTCTGTGTTCTGTATTCGAGATTCCAGTAAGCGCTGACAGGTCAGTTTCTTCTCTTTGCAATTTTCTTCCACCTGAAACTGCGCTCGATGGAGTCACAGGTACAGGTGGTTTGGAGTCTTTCTTCTTGAAAAGTTCTGTTTTCGGATCCAATGGTGGTGTATGTTTTAGCAAATCTATTTGCTCTCGGTGACCTCGTTGTCGATCCAGCACGGGTGTTCCGGGGGCTGTTTCCAACAGTTTTTGCTTTGATATTTGACTCGAATTGTCGTTGGTAGACAATGCCAAGTCGGGGTCGCTCTTTTTGGAAACTGGTTCGGATGGTTTCATTGCCTCCTGCTGAATTTGTTCTTGATCCGATATGGGACCTGTTGCGGTCCCAGTTTTTGGAGTATCTGTCTCTCCTTGGGTCGCCCTGTGGTTCGTAGATACTGTCAGATTCGATTCGTTCTCCATGACAACTAATTCGGGTCGTTCCGGATCCGAGATTGGAGCATGCGCGGGTAGATCCATTTGCTCTTTCTGAATTTGTTCTTGATCTGAGATGACACCTATTATAGTAACATCTTGTGAACGATTGTTTTCTTCTTGACTCGCATCGTGATTCGGGAACACTGCCAGGTTGGATGATTCTTTCTCCAGGGCAACTGGTTTGGATGGTGTCAGCTCCGAGATTGGAGCTTGCGCTTTTGAATCAATCTGCTCTTGGTCAGCTTGTTCTTGGTCCGCTTGCATTAGCTGTGAGAGTAAATCTGCTGCCGTTGTCACTTCGGATAGGTTCAGTTGCGCTTCGCTCGAAGCGTGGTCCGCTTTTGGAGATTGTGGCGTGACAGCAGATTCGTCTTCCCTCGTTGAAATTTTGGATGGTGATGGCTCTTGATCCGGATGTGGACTTTCCGCCCGTAATTCCGTTTGTTCTTGCACTTCTTGATCTTGATCTAAACCCGAATCGGTTGTTGGTGCAATATCAGGAAGGCCCTCATCTTCATGGTCTGAAGTCTTATTCTTAATTGATGAAATATGAATTGTTGCTTCTTGTGATGATTGTTTCGAATCAACTGCATTAGGTGTCACAGTATGCTGAGCCTTTTTGTCTAAGTGTCCCCCCTCTGTATCAACTGTGGATTGGCCTTCCATTTGGTCCATCATACCTTCGTCATTCGTGTCGTTGATGTCGCTTTCGACACTCGTTACATCTTCGCCTGACATTCTGCTGACGCTGACGCTATTATCCTCCTGATCGACATAATCGATCCTGTTTTCTGGTTCATCTGGATCAGGTAAATATGAATTGATATTCGCTGGCCCAGGTATGAATATTGCTTCCAACTGGATCAGAATTGGACCCAGGCCCGTGGCATCTCGTTTGGCTGCTTCGTCTTGTTCGGCCTGACACCATTGTCGTTTCCATTTGTTCGGCGACTTTAAGAGAACCTCACAAGGCAATGTCAGTGAGGCCATTTTAAATTCGAAAAAACCCAAGCCAAGTGGACTAAAGTTCAGGTCAATCTTAACATCAGGAACAGGTGAATCCTCACTGTTCCAAGCGTGTACCATCGAACAGACTCCCTTGTCTGTGTTTGGATCCCATGCTACACATACGCCATGCTCCATAGAAATTGAAAATGCCGAAGTCTGAGAGGTACGGACTTTACCTCGCCAGGGAAATAACGAAACAGTAGCCGAAACGGTGGAACCGACAGGACAAGGCAAATGCTGTGCGGCAAGCATCCGCACGTGAACGACACCAAAACAATTCCAGGGTTTGTCCGTTTCATTTTCTTCTTCAGCGGTGGCATTGTCATTTTCGGAAGCATTCCATCTTGGAAGTGGGACTGGGGTTTGGAAGCTTTCCGCCGCGACGCTATGATTGTCCATTTTCAAATGCTTCTTTGTTCGGTTGCATGCTGAAATTTTTGAATCCTGCAATATACATGGGGCATTTTCGAAAATTGGCGCTACATATGTACTCTTCACTCGACTAACATGATCTTTACCAAAAAGACAATAAGATCCTGTACTCTATAGTATACTGCACTTCATGATGTAATTGATGGTATTCTGATGCACAAAAAGTCTATTTTATGATGACATCTAATTCTCGAGAAACGGTAGCACTCGGGAGATTACAACGTTCGCGCCGGAAATAGTTCGACAAGCTTCTACTCGTCGTTCCTTGGAATCTGCATTTTCGTTTGAATATGCGTTTCGATTCGTTTCCGTTTTGCAGATGGCGAAAAAGTATTGTCATCCACAGTCGATGATTGTTGACAAAACAATTATTTGTCCTCTCCTTCCAATAGTTTGGTTTTCCACACTGCATGCTTGAGTATTGCAAAACTCTCGATGTGTGTTCCAACATTGCCAGTCTTCGCTGCAATCGCACCAGATGCCGACTACGGTTGGACAACTCCTCAGGACGAACTACTTTCAGTAGTTGATAAATGGTCAAACTCCAATTATTCCACTTCAATTGAGGGACCCCCACCGACACAATCGAACAGCCGTTGTGTATATAGTCCATGACGTGAGGGTTTCGAAAGGCCGCATGCCCCAAGGATTCTTGGCAAAGAGCACATGTCCTAGAATAGACCCGCATCAGTAGCGCAAAGATGAGAAATCGTGGATTGGTCGATGTGAGGGGTAGGCACCATGTATCGAGACGATAGCACGATCGAAAGGCACTGTCCCCAATGAAGTCGTCGAACGGGCGGTGCACCTAATAGTAACAGAGACGATGAAAAGGAAGATTGTCCCGTCAGCTTTTGTACCAGTATATCACTCATCTTCTGGTTTTGTTCGATACTCGAACCATTTGGATCCCCTCCATTCCAATCATTCCAATCACTCTCGAGATAGACTTGTTGCATCCGTTCGCAATCCATCAGTAACCCATCGGATCGTTGAGCGGCCCGTTTCTCCTCCAAGCAATAATTATCGTCAGATAAAAACGAGACCCTTGCAGTCGTTAGTTTGAGATTGAGCAAATGGAGACATTGTGAAAACGCGGATGGATGAACGTGAGTTGTTTCCGATAGCTCCACAGATACCAACTTGGTGCACCGGGAAAAGGCATGTCGCGTCACGGCAGAAACAGAAGCAGGGAGAGAGACGTTTGACGAATAGTCTCAAGACTGCCCTGGCGCGTGACAATACGGGAGATTGTTTGGGTTTGGCAATGATGCATCCTCGACCGGTATACCAAACGCAAGGATGGGCTCTCCACGTCTTCTGATCCTACTGCAGAATGAATCGTCCTTGTCAGACTCCATCATCCTTTTATTGTATGCGTTGGACGAGACATTGACGACTCCGAGCCCATGGGTGTGACTTTCAAAGTATAGTAATAAAACACTCTCTCATCATCAACATTACATTATATTATATTTCATCCAGTCTTTACTTTTTGTTCTGCGCATGCAGGCTGACGGATCGTGTCTTGTGCGACATGTGGATCCAATGAAACGCGCGGTCAACTCTAACTAAATTTGTCCTGGACTGCCATTAGTCGTGAATGCCGGTCGTTTTGTTCCGATTTCGGATCTGCCAACTCCCACCACGGAAATCACTATAAAAACCAATAACGCAAAATCTATAACAACGACAACGACCAAAACAATCAGTAGAGGCAACGTCAATAGTCCACATCAGTCAGCATGAGTCTATTGGGCAGTGTACGAGGCATGATGACAGCATCACCATCAGCTACAGTTCTAGACGATGATTCTACGGCCGATTTGAACAAGGAAACCAAAGAAAGCGACGAACTGTTGACAACAACGGCAGCATCGACATCCTGGTTGTTTCACAACAATGATGATGAAAGCCAACGAGGCTCATATTCATATACTGCTCGAAATACCAAAGAATGGATTGATCAATGGACGGCAGCAGGATTATCAAATTATGTTTCCTTGCCCATGATTTGCGTGTTGGGCGACACCTCGAGTGGGAAATCCAGTGTCTTGTCGTCACTAATTGGATTGGAATTGCCCAGCGCTTCGACCTTGACGACCAAGTGTCCCGTGTTGGTGCAATTGAAGAAAACCACCTCTCAGACTCCCAAGGCTACCGTCACAATTGTATGGCACCGACCGGGGCCACGCAGTCGCAAACGAAGCATTGAAACCCAAGTACAGCAATCCCCACAAAAAGACAAGATGGCAAGGATTGAAAAACAAGTCATTGAAATGAATCTATCCAAAGATGACGATGCCAATAGTTATCACAGTGCTGCTGCCGAAGCACCTCCACCCATTTGGAGTTCGCGCTTGCTCACCGACAATCTAGAAACCGAATTGCCCAAATTGATTCAAGAGGCTCAAAAATTTATACTCGAGTATCGAGAAACGCTGGTGGCACCCGATACGATTTGTGTGGCCATGGAGTCTCCCAACTGTACCGAAGAACTGACCTTGGTCGATTTGCCTGGATTGGTCCACTTTCAACACACGCAAGATTCTTCCTTACTAAGTCAAGTCGAACAAGTGGTGTTGGAATATGTCCAAAATCCACGATCCATTTTGTTGCCAATTGTCGCGGCGCCCTCCAACATTCACAATTCCAAAGTGTTGCAGTGGGCCTTGGAATTTGACTCCAGCACATCTAGAACGATTCCCGTCTTGACCAAGCCCGACTTGATTGATCCTGGAAGCGAATCCGAGGTCTTGGCCTTGTTGGAGTCCTCGCAATTTCGACACGGATTTTACATGGTCAAGAATCGTGGCCAAGCACTTTTGGATAATGGAACTTCGATTGAAGATGGTCTCAAGGAAGAAATGGAATACTTTCAATGCACATTGCCATGGAATGCCATGACGGAACCAAGACTAGGGATTGCCAATCTCCGTACCAAATTGGCCACTGTGCTGTGGCAAGTCATGCAAGATTCATTGCCACAAATCATTCAAGAAGTCAAACAACAATTAGATACTACCCAACAAAAGATGGATGCCATGGGAACCATGTACAATACCCGGTCGGAACAACGGAAGTTTTATCATTCCTTGACCCAATCCGTCGTGGAAAACCTAAAGATGGAATTGTCTGGAAAGGGGACTCGAAAAGTAGACTTGGCGGCGGCAGCGGCGGAGGCAAATGATAAGGCTCCCAAAGGGGCAGCGCAGTTGCATGTGGCGTGTGCGGAATTCTACAAGGAAATTCAAGGGGGGTCCTTGGCGACCATTAAGAGCCTAGTGGAGGGAGCCTCTGTGTTGGTGTCGGTGCATGGTTCGACTGACGATGTGCGGGGAGAATTGGTACACATTGACTTGAATCAAGGGTATGCTTGTTGTGACTTTATGGACGCACTCAATCATAATACCGATATACTCTTTGATGGAATTGGCTATGCTTCCGAACAACCGGATTTTGAACCCGACGAAGTCTGGAGCGACGGCAATCGAGTCTTTATTGGTCGGGCGGGAGGCATCTTTGATTCCATGCGCAAGTTACCATTGCACAGGATTCGAACCAATCCATCTTGGCTCCATGACAAGATTCAGCAATTTCGAACGGACGACTTGGCCTGCTTTGTCAATGTCGACATGTTTCAACACATTGTGGCAGAATTTGTTCAAGAAGATTGGGCGCCACCTTGCCGCAAAATGCTAAAGACGATGGAGCAAATACTGGAAGATTCCTTGCAAAGTATCATTGCCCAAAACTTGGAACAGAGTCGCTTTCCTCTGCTAAAGAACTTGATTGAAACCACTTGTCTCAGGGTATCCCAACGATTGCTGATCAAGGCGCACGAACAAGTGAACGAACACTTGGAGGTGGAGGAACACCATCCATACACTCAAGATGAAGTGTTATTGCAAGCTATGAATCAAGCACGATATGATAATCTGAAAAATGACTTGGAATTGCAATTGCGATTGGACCAAGAGGGTGCGGTCTTTGATACCCACGCCATTACGAGTCTCTTGGATCGTGTTTTTCAAAAACACCAAAAGCAAAATTGGATGGCCGAACAAATGGAACTGGTCTTGAGCTGTTACGGAAAGGTGGCCACTCAACGGGTCTTGGATCGGACGCCCCAAATTTGCTGGCAGACGGTTCGGACCTTGCCCAAAGTCTTGCTACAAGAGTTGGGCAGTGTGACGGATGACATTCTTGAAACATGTATGTGGGAGTCTCCGGCTAGTCGATTGCGATACGAAGAACTTCAAACGCAACTAGACGACTTGAAAAAGGCGATGAACATTGTGACTTCGATACGATAGAAATATAAACCTACTGTTGACTAAGTCCTATCAGAACACCATTCATTCACTGATGATACTAGTGTACTACCTACTGTCTTGAGTCAGGTATGCTAGCCAAGTGCAAAAGGTACATAGGTAGCGCTAATTTTCGAAAATGCCAGATTCGATATATCGCATCTACTGCACTGTATCATTATCACTTTGAAAGCCACATCCATGAGCCCTGAGTCGTCAATGTCTCGTCGAGCGCATGCAACAATACAATGATGGAGTCTAATGATGGGCGGGGTGATTCTAAGGGATCAAAAGAAAAGAGTCCATCCTTGCGTTTGGCCTACCGGTCCGCCGACACGAGAACTCAACCACTCTCCCATATTTTCATTCACCAGGGTAGTTTTGAGACGATTCCAGAAACTATTCGTATACGTCGCATACCTGCCTCATTGGAAGCAGTGGATATACCAGCTTCTGTACTGCGAATTCATGCGGGTAACTTTGTAAAGTTGAAGTCGTTCTTGAGAGAATTGATGTTCCCGTCCGAAACACCGCTACTGGAAGAAATTGGCAGCAAAACATTCTTTCGCTTCACAAGGCTGACGCGTGTCATCTTTCTTGGTACAGTAAGAGCGGTATCGCCCGTTCGACTGGTCATTGGGGACAGTGCCTTTGAATCATGCTATCGTCTGGATACATTGTGCCTGCCTCCTACAGTCCATACATTGGGAGCACAAGCCTTGGCCAATTGCCGGATTTTGACAAGCGTGCATCTTCCAGAACAATTACGAGTGCTGGGTCCGAGAGTGATGAAGGGATGTGTCAATTTGGAATCCATTCGAATCCCTCCACACATAGCAAAGATTCCATATGGCGCCTTTGAGAATTGTCGCAAGCTTGGGATTGTAGAGTTTGCGTCCTCGGGAACGCTGAAGTCTATCGAACCCCAAGCGTTTTCGGGTTGTAAAAAGCTGCCAAATGTCTCTCTCCCTGCTTCTGTTTCTGTTGTCAAGCGCCATGCCTTTTACCGGTGCACCAAGCTGGTATCTGTGGAGCTATCCGAAACAACGGCCTTCAATCCATCTGCGTTTTCACAATGTCTCTATTTGGTCAATCTCAAACTAACGACGGCAAGGGCGGCCTTACCTTTATCTAATGATATTTATTGCTTGGAGGAGGTACGCGCCACAACACAATCCGATGGGTTATTGATGGATTGTGAACGGATGCAACAAGTCTATGTGGATGGTGATTGGAATGGCGGTGATTCGATTATCGAACGAAACAAGACGATGAGTGACATACTAGTACAAAAGCTGATTCATAGATGGGACGATCTACCGATTCATCGTCTCTGTTACTATCAGGCACACCACCCACCAGAAGAGACTGCCAGAGCCATGCAAGAGGCACAGCGACTCATTCGTTGTCAACGGTCCCATCAGCAACAATTCCAACCCTTTGATGAATTTGGCCTGTCGCCCTTTCACGTTTTGGCCATGTCCACCCACCCAAAGTATCCTATCTGTGCCCAGCTGATGCGGTTGTACTCGGTCCATGTGCTATTTGCCAAGAATCCTTGGGGCATGCGGCCCGCCACTTGTGCCTTTCGAAACCCTCACATGGACTACACCACGGCTGTTCAACAGTACATTCGGGCGATTGTATCGGTGCGGGTCCCTCAATTGAAATCTAAGAATTGGAGAATGTACATTTATCAGCTACTGGAAGTAATTAGTCCTGAGGAGTTTTCCATCCGGAGCCTACACCTCGTGCGATTGCAGCTAAGACTGACAAGGTCGGAACAAATAGAGAGTTTGGCGATACTGGAGCACGCCGTTTGGAAGGCCAAACTCTTGGAAGCAAAGGACGACGAATTTTGTTGCAAAGAGTCACCGACAGTAGATGATAATTTGTCGCCACTGGCAAAACGGAAACGAATCGAACCGGATAGTCGAAGAAATGCAGAGGACCGACGAGAAGCTTGTCGAACTTTTTGCGGCTCAAACGTCATAATCTTCCGAGTGTTGCCGTTTCTTGAGAATTAGATGCTCCCGTAGTTTTCTTCTGCAATTTATAGAGACACTTTCAAGTAGCATGGTATTGGTATCAACTTGTAAATCGGTAGATCGAAGAAGACAATTAAAAAAAAAGCCCATATTCGAAGCAGTCGTTGTTTTTGGTATCCAGAAACAGCGTATACAGTACAGAATTTCTCCAAGTACCAAAGCTACGTGGATTCCACGTGGATCAGAACACACAAGTTCCACCAGCTTGCATCATCGTCACACTTTCGATTTCTCGTTCGGTGTCAACATCAACTAAAATGAAATTGTCTTTTGCTGCCGGGATGCTCATCCCAGCGTTTGCTCAAGGAGGTGTGTTGAAGATGTCCTTGCAATGTTTTTGTTTGCCCAAGGATTCGACTGGAGCCCTTTTGGTTGATCTTGGGAGCTTGAAAGTTTGAAGTTCTCCTCTGATTCTTCTTATGAAACTCAATCTTACTCTATTTCTGCTGCTTCGTTACTAATACAGATGACGAAAGGCCGCGAGTGGAAGAAGCTTGTTCAAAAGATGTGGAAACCCTTTGTTCTCAGGGTGTTCTTCTCGAGATTGAACGTCGTTTGAATGGTGCGGACTCTGAAGACAACCCTAGTCAAGCTCCATTGCCATTTGAACCCAAACAGAATGCCTGTCTTCTAGGATCTCTTTCTGAGGCTTCTACCGAGTGCGTGACTGCCATTCGGGAAAACGAATTCATGTACAAATTAGATCTCTTGAAGCATCGGGAATCCCACTGCAAGGTCACGTTCATCGTGTTCTGTTCCGTTGTGATTTTCTTTGCAGTTGCCTTCTGGGCAAAGTTTGCCAAAAAGCCCCGCTCCAATTCGGCCTGCTCTGGTTCTTGCTGCAGTAAATCAAAGGAAGACAAGAACGATACCAAGTGCTGTGATGGTGCATGCGATTGTTGTGATGAGGAGGCTTGCTGCAAGAATCCCAACGCAACTGATTGCTCTTGCTGCTGCTGCTGCAGTGACAAGACTGCCAAAACCTCCGAGTGCTGTGGTGGTGGTTGCTGCTGCTGCGGTGACGACTGCAAGTGCTCTGAAGGCAAGGGCTGCTGTTGTGGTAATGGTGACTGCAAGTGTTGCAAGGGCGCTTTGAAGACCTCTGAAGGAAAGTGCGGCTGCTGTTGCTGCGGAAAAGATGGCTGCAAGTGCTGCAAGGGTACTTCTGGCGAGACCGAAAAGTGCTGTGATGGTACATGCGATTGTTGTGATGAAGAGGCCTGCTGCAAGAATCCCAACGCAACTGATTGCTCTTGTTGCTGCTGCAGTGGTAAGACGTCCAAGTGTTGTGGCGGTGGTTGCTGCTGCTGCTGCGGAGACGACTGTAAGTGCTCTGAAGGAAAGTGCTGCTGCTGCTGCGGAAAAGACGAGTGCAAGTGCTGCAAGGGTGCTTCTGGCAAGAAGAGCGGAAAGTGCTGTGATGGTACATGCGATTGCTGTGATGAAGATGCCTGCTGCAAGAATCCCAACGCAACTGATTGCTCTTGCTGCTGCTGCAGTGGCAAGACTTCCGATATCTCCAAGTGCTGTGGCGGTGGTTGCTGCTGCTGCGGAGACGACTGCAAGTGCTCTGAAGGCAAGGGATGCTGCTGCGGAAATGATGACTGCAAGTGTTGCAAGGGCGCTTTGAAGACCTCTGAAGGAAAGTGCTGCTGCTGCGGAAAAGACGACTGCAAGTGCTGCAAGGGTGCTTCTGGCAAGACCGAAAAATGCTGTGATGGTACATGCGATTGCTGTGATGAAGATGCCTGCTGCAAGAATCCCAACGCAACTGACTGTTCTTGCTGCTGCTGCAGTGGCAAGACCTCGAAGTGTTGTGGTGGTGGGTGCTGCTGCTGCGGAGACGACTGCAAGTGCTCTGAAGGCAAGTGCTGCTGCTGCGGAAAAGACGACTGCAAGTGCTGCAAGGGTACTTCTGGCAAGAGCGAAAAGTGCTGTGATGGTACATGCAATTGCTGTGATGAAGATGCCTGCTGCAAGAATCCCAACGCAACTGACTGTTCTTGCTGCTGCTGCAGTGGCAAGACCTCGAAGTGTTGTGGCGGTGGGTGCTGCTGCTGCGGAGACGACTGCAAGTGCTCTGAAGGCAAGGGCTGCTGCTGCGGAAAAGACGACTGCAAGTGCTGCAAGGGTACTTCTGGCAAGAGCGAAAAGTGCTGTGATGGTACATGCGATTGTTGTGATGAAGATGCCTGCTGCAAGAATCCCAACGCAACTGACTGTTCTTGCTGCTGCTGCAGTGGTAAGACCTCGAAGTGTTGTGGTGGTGGGTGCTGCTGCTGCGGAGACGACTGCAAGTGCTCTGAAGGCAAGGGCTGCTGCTGTGGAAAAGACGACTGCAAGTGCTGCAAGGGTACTTCTGGCAAGAGCGAAAAGTGCTGTGATGGTACATGCGATTGTTGTGATGAAGATGCCTGCTGCAAGAATCCCAATGCAACTGATTGCTCTTGCTGCTGCTGCAGTGGTAAGACGTCCAAGTGTTGTGGCGGTGGTTGCTGCTGCTGCGGAGACGACTGTAAGTGCTCTGAAGGAAAGGGCTGCTGCTGCGGAAATGACGACTGCAAGTGCTGCGCAAAGAGTACTTGCAACGTTTCTGATGAGGCCTCCGAGTGAGTACTTGCAACGTCTCTGATAAGACCGCCGGAGAGTGGATGCTGAGCTTCTTTGAGACCAAGTAGTTCTCGAAGCCCAGCTTTTGCATTACATGAATATAAAACAGAGGGGATGGATCGCTGGGCAGAAAAGAGTAGAAGATTTAACATAAGCAGTCTAGTTATCCTCCAGCTCACTTCCACACGATTTGGAAATTGTGTGAAGTACTTTTCTAGTCTCAATAGTCAAGCAGGTCTGATCATCGAAAATTTTCAATCTTTTCATCATTTTGTCGGAGTTTCACCGTGTGTCGCTCTATCGATAAAGTAATTGGAACCTACCATCTCATACTTTCAGTCCTTCTATTGCTCCTTCGAGGCCTGTATTGTTCCACACACATTGTAGCATCTTTTGCGAGTGCAAAATTGGTTTTTGTCACGGTCCAAAGTTAGTTTCTCGACCAATACGTCTTCGTCTCTTTCTCAATAACGTAACAACTTGATTATTGTTATACCATGGCGTTGCGTTCACGATCTAATGGAGACAAAAAGGACCCAATTCCCTTGCTTGCAATGACTGGTATGTATCTTGCATTGAGATTCGACCGCTTTTTGACAGTGATGATTGATTCTGATTATGCTCACCCATTTTCCTTGCTTCAATGACGATTCATTCATCTTTTTTTCTTTGCTTTTTCTTCTTCTTCCAATGCGCCTCTTCGTTCGGCATTTACTGTAATATTATATGTTGCGATGATATACAACCCAACAACGACAACAACGACAACAACGACAATATCGAACACCTACGATAGAAATTGGAATTGGTCAAATGCTGGGGCAAGGTGGATTCTCGCTAGTGTCCCCTGTGGAACAGATTCAGCTGAACGAAGTTTACGATACCAGTGACGAACAAGCCACCGCCCGAGCCAAGTTTGCCTCCCACTTTTCCAATCACCAAGAGGCTAGTAGTAGTACCGGTACCATTCCAAACTTTGTCCTCAAAACATTGCGGAAAGACTTGCCAGAAGAAGAGTACATCAAGGGAATTATCGATTTGGCCATTGAATCCGAATTCCTGTCCGAATTGCGGCACCCCAACATCATTTGTATGACCGCCATGGCCAATTCGGATCCACACGAGTCGGGATTCTTTTTCATTTTAGAACGTCTGGAAATAACCTTGGACCAGAAATTTGATCATTGGCGCAAAATTGTCGGTGACAATATGGGGTATTGGATGGGGCCGTTTGGTTATTGTTGTGCCAAGGAAAAGTATCTCTATCAGACTTGGATGGAACGTATATCGATTGCCAGGGACATTGGGAATGCAATCTACTATTTACATTCGAATCGAATCATTTATCGGGATTTGAAGCCAGGTAGGTTGGTTGGTTGGAACTATTATATGCCAGTTGAGTTTTGATACGCTGAATGTACCTATAACCTCACTTTTTGAAATCCTCACGAATGGACCAATCAATCAATCTTCCATTAGACAATGTGGGTTTGGATGGCAATAGACAATTAAAACTATTCGACTTTGGTCTGGCCAAGAAAATTACACCCTCGGACCATAGGGATGGCGACGATTTGTATCTACTGACTGGGAATACGGGAAGTTTACGATACATGGCCCCCGAAGTGGCCAAGGGTGAATCCTACAATCAAAAGGTGGACACTTATTCCTTTGGCATTGTGTTTTGGCAAATTTGTTCTTTGCAAACACCCTATGCCAACTTGACGACCAAGACGCATTCACTAAAGGTAATTCTGGGTGGCCAACGGCCAAAGCCGGATCGATCATGGCCGAATGGATGGAAGGATTTGATGACTCGATGTTGGGATGCCAACATTGTCGCACGACCCGAATTTGACGAGATTGCTTCCTACTTTGACGAACAAGTAGAAGACTTGCAGCACCAAGAAGGAGAAGTTCCAAGTCGGGCAACTGAAATCAAGGCCAAGAAACGACGCAAGAAGGCTACACCAGCGAATGCCCAATTGGATGGCGGAGACACAACGATACAGAACGGTGGCAAGCCAGGTGCTGTCGAATTGGTGTGATATGAGAGGCCGCAAAAGTAAACTACTGTAGAACATCAAAATTGTAGGTGCAATACTCATATAGCTGATTGAACGCCTACAGTAGTTCCAAATATTACGACTTCTAAAAAACAATAAACTAAACTAGAATTATACTGGTGTCAGTTGGGTCAATTTCATCGGGCCAAGCATCTAAACAGTGGTGACGCGAATTCCATTAAAGACCTCCTTCTTGGGTTCAAAAGAGTGCTTTTGTCCCTCTCCAACAGTGGGAGGAGTGTATTCTTCAAGAAGAGGCTTCTCCATATCATCTTTTTCTTCTTCTTCGTGGTCGTCATTATCATCACTATCCTTCTGGTGAACAATCACACACATGTGCATGACGCGGACAAACATGGCCAAAACGCAAATGGGCAAAATCATAAAGGGAGCCGCAATAAACGCATACACAATGGCAAGGAGGAAAAAGAAGCGCATGCGTTGCATACCCGCAACTTGTTCCTTCCATTTACGGCCTCCCATGCGAGGGACAGGAGCTTGTTCTCCGACCGATTGTCCCATTTCAAGTTCGACTTGACGCTTGAGTTCGGGATTGGCGTAGACAGCCTCGAGAATCTTGTGTCCGAAGCGGTGCTTGCCCATGTCCTTGCGGGCCTTCTTGATGACCAAGGCCAAGAAGATCATCAAAAGGGCAAAGTAAATGAACATGTACATCAATTGAGCATCTTGGTGTTCTTCCAATTGGTGTTCCAAGTGGCTAATGTTCTCCAATTCCTTAATGGAACGAGCACACTCGGGAGACACATGGGATCGCATGTGCATCAAGCAAGCATTCTTGTGGCATCCAAAGGGAAGGCGAACGTGTGACTCCAAAGTGTTGGAATCCACTTCGGTCAAACGACGACCAATGTGATGGTCGGGCTTTCCTTCTTCCGAAGAAGCCATCAAGTGTTCTCCATACATGTTTAGCTTTTCGGCCAACTGAGGGATTTCTTCCGGCTTGGTTTGGGAAGCCAATTGAGACGCAGTGGAATCAGCTACAAAGTTCAAATCATGAACCGTGGCTCTCTTGGGAGATTCGTGGATCATCTTGGGAGTGTAAATAGTAACCGTGCCATAATGATGACGAGAGGATGGTGGAGGCATGGAAAAGAAGGACTCGATCATTTGATCCATAGTATGAGCAATGTCCATGAGCTCACGGTCCGAGGGAAAGGCCCACTCCATATTTGGGATCAGGAGCGGGTTTTGGGCAGTAGGAGCGGTACAGAAGGTTTGAACATCCTTGGCACAAGCTTGCTCGACGTGATGGTAAGCAATGTGCGAATGAGGCTTGTCTTGGTAAGGATGTTCTTCACGGAGGTTTCCGTGATGACCATGATGACCATGACGACCATGATGTCCGTGGACACGATGGTGGGCATGGTCTTTATGACCTTCATACGAAAAAAGAAAAAGAAGACGTTAGCAATAGAAAGAAAAGCTGGGGAGACAATAGTATGCCCAGCAGCAGAGCAATCGCAGTAAAGTACGTGTACCGGTATAGAAATATGAAAAACAACAAAGATTCAAAAGGAATTCCTTTTTCTGCTCTTCAACTTCCATTTATATCAAGACAGCGCCAAACAGAAACAAAATATTTTAACACACCTTCATAGGCCATGGCCGAAGAGAAAAGGAACGCAGAAGCAAGAGCAATCTTCATGGTGAAGTCAATGTTGTGTCACGCAAGAAGTTCTTCGATCGAGACTTCGGAACGTCACGGCAGATTCTACGAAGAAATAGTACCAGAAAATTTCCAGTCAAACGGACTAGAGAAGCTCCGAATCAAGGTTGTTTTCATTCATTCATTCGAATGTGTCTAAAATGACTTTCTAAAAGTACTCTATCAGTCCTTAACACCTCACACACCTCATTTTTCTGATTCAGCATCCAATTCCGACCAAAGGTGATGTGGCCCTTGCGACTGATACATGCAACACATCATCACTACTGACGAAATAGTGAGGCAAATACAGTAGAATTATTTCTCCCATCTGGACGAGCTCATAATTTGCAATTAGATCCACCTATTGTACAACATCAAAATGAAGTTCATCCTTGCCTCCACCCTCATCGCCTCCGCCTCTGCTCTTTCCATCTTTGGAAACAAGGCACCAGTTGCCGAGAGCCCTGCTTTCGCCATTGACTCCATCCCAGGAGCCATTGAGCCAACTGGTCTTTTCGACCCTCTTGGTTTCGCCGCCAAGGCCGATGAAGCCACCTTGAAGAGATACCGTGAGGCCGAGCTTACCCACGGACGTGTTGCCATGTTGGCCACCCTTGGTTTCCTCGTCGGAGAAGCCGTTGAGTCCAAGACTGTCTTGTTCAATGGAGCAATCTCTGGACCTGCCATCACCCACTTGGCCCAAGTCAACCCTGTCTTCTGGATCTTGCTAGGAGCCGGTATCGCCAAGGCCGAGACCGAACGTGCCGAGATTGGCTGGGTCGAACCCAAGGATGTCCCCTTTGACAAGCCAGGAGTCCTTCGTGAGACTTACATCCCAGGAAACCTTGGATTCGATCCTCTTGGCTTGAAGCCCGAGGACCAAGCCGAATTCGTCGCCATGCAAACCAAGGAGTTGCAAAACGGACGCCTTGCCATGCTTGCCGCCGCCGGATTCTTGGCCCAGGAACTTGTGGACGGTAAGGGAATCCTTGAACATTTCTCTGGCTAAATGCCAAGAACCATGCATGTGCAATGGGCACTGTGAATACAATATATAGATAGAGACTAAACTGCAAGAACAATACTAGTGCAACCAAACAATAATATTTCTGCATACGTCTGTTCAGGCGATGAGATCTTTGAACCTTCATCGCAAAAAGATATGTGACGAAACGGCTCCTTGGCTTCGAATATCCGAATACTTGCAAAGAATCATCTAATTTCATTGGCGATACTGGTGTCATCGTTGGGTTTCATGTCATCAGAGTTTTATTTCAAGTCTTGCCATTGTCTTCTTCTTGCTTTTACATCAAAAGCCGGTATTACTACTTTCATCGCCCTTTTCTATATTTTATTGATGGGCTTCCGATTTTATGTCAACAAAAACACGACACGCACAAATATATTTGTTATATACGAGTATACTGAATACCATACACACATCGTATTTATTCGAAAAGGGACAAAGATTGGAACCGCAATAAAATGAAAGTCAAAATCATCAGTGTACCCGTTTCCGATCAAGCGAAAGCTTTCGCATTCTACACAGAAAAATTGCTCTTTGTAAAGAAGCAAGATGTCGAATTCGATGATGGCAATCGATGGTTGACGGTTGTTTCGCCAGATGCACTGGATGGCCCAGAAGTCTTATTGGAACCAGCCCCCCTTTCCTTTGAACCAACCAAGACCTATCAGAAGGCAGTGTTTGAGGCAGGGATTCCATGGACGCAATTCGATGTGGAAGATTGTCAAAAGGAATATGACCGATTGGTGGAACTGGGCGTCGAGTTTTTCACCGAACCAGAGGAAATGGGACCAGTCAAGATTGCTACTTTCAATGATACCTGCGGCAATAGGATTCAAATAGTTGAAGGTTTGAGTGACGAAAGATAGCGAGAAACGATAGAGGGCCACAGAGGGGATGACTAACGACGTCGTGAGGGAGGACACATGAAAGCATGATGCCTAGTACACATACAGTTCCTGACGACAACGACAATAAAGTATATGATGAAGCAAGAGATAAGTTCCTGAAGTATAAATTATTAAGCAGTAGCTTCTACCGCACCAAATAAGTTGCAATGTTACGATCTATTGACTCCCGCAGAATTAATAAAAATGCTTGTGTTTGGAGTGCTGCTCTTTGCTCTTGCTGGTTGCCTGAGCCATGGAGATATCACCGTTCAAGCAAGCTTGAGGCACAATCAGTCACTGGATTATACCTCGACCTAGACTGCATTGCTTACTCACATCCCAAATATGAGGCGATACCATTGCATGCTAAAGTCGCGACGATTCATGTATCTGCTTTGTTTCGTACTCTCTTGTTATTGAAAGTAGTCTTCATCTTGTTTTTCAGACTCCTCAATGTCTTTTGCTTCATCATCATCATCGACGTCCTCAGCTTGTTGCTTATTCCAAAGCTCCTCCAACGCCTCTTCCTTTTTGATTTGCTCCAAGAAAAAATCTGCAGCCGATAATGCATCCCCGTCACGATCGTCCATACTTTCCTCTTTGGCGTTTTCATAATCACTTTGGCACTCTTTCATGGCCTTCAAGAATTCAGATTCGGCCGATTCTGCGGCTGCTTTTAATTGATCCGGAGGAAGATCCCATCCCAATTTGTCCAACTTGGCCTTTTGGTATTCTCTGTAAAAAGCAGCATCCAAGTCCTCATCCTGGTTATTCTCGTCGTTTTCATTATCATTATCATCATCATCATCATCATTGTTGTTACTTGAAGTGGAATCATCATCGTCATCAGTAGTAGCATACAACGGATTCGTAGTGATTCTACTAGAAGGCAAGCGACATGTAGAAAATGACCCCATTCTTCCAGACTGGATTGGCAAAGCCGAGAATGACAGTGATGATAATGATTCTGGTTGCAGTCCTCGCCGGTGTCTAGAAAATGTGGTGGGAACCCAAGCCGTGCAGGGTTGAATAACACCAAGCAATATCAGAGCTATGAAAATGCTCGATGAAGACATCCAAGATCTTTGTTTTGTGTGAGTATGCGGCATGATGAGTCTTGTCTCCCGGTATCGTCAGGGTGTGTGTGGGTGTGGGTGTGTGTATGTGTTGAATGGACTTGTTAATTCTTTTCTGCTTGGTCCAATGTGTCGCTCCAGTCAGTAAAATAGACTAGAGTTCTTTTCTCAGGGAAATTGTATAGTGCCCACGATGCAACAAGATGGAAGGATGCTATTGTTGTATGATGGGTTTCTCTATGGAATTGTTGTATTATTCTGGTCCATTGATGGCGGTTGAGGTTATGATGATATGTCTATTTTGAAATTTTATTGATGGGTTCTTCAATAGGTATAGTGACGTCATCCATTTTCAATTTAGTGGAATGCGGAGGAACAGAGAACTACAAACGAGGACAAAATCTCATTCACAGTATCGTCAGAAATCCAAAACTCAGACAACAATGACAAATGACAAGAGACCTTACATAGAGATGTGCTAATATCTAGAGAATCCCTTGAGCATGTCCATTGGTAAATGGCTACATGCTGCTAGGAATGGTGATTATGGCGAAGAAAGCGATATCAACATCGACCAGAATCACAACGGCAATACAAAGCATCATTCTTGCAACAGAATGATGTGGACTACTGTGATGCTACTCATTGTGACAATACTGATGATGGTCGTAATGATTCCTCATCGAATTTCATCGAACAGGTTGTCCAAAGCTGGAATATCCAAAGGTGACAGGGTTGTCAAGAACACGGCGGTTGATGACGATAGGACTATCATCCACCAGTCGTCACTGTATTCTGCGAAGGAAGAGTCGATTTGCGGTTCCCTCGACAAGAACATGCCATTATTACTTTCCATCCTACGAGGGGGAAAACTTCCGATACTTGAAAACGACATCAACAAGGAGGATAACTCGCAATCCGCTGCTACTATCACCGACCGGTATGGGTATCTCGTGCCCTTTCGTTCGGAACAACGATTCCCCCAATTGAAGACTCTCAATAATGGCACTACCACCGTGTCAAAGAATGACAAGCCATTAGTCGTTCCAGGATTCAACCATGATCTCATCATGCGCGCCTTTGTGGGAAAGAGGATCTACTTTATTGGTGATTCGACCAGTCGCATATTGTTTGTGGCACTCCGGCGGCTTCTGATGGTGGTTCATGAAAGCAGTAGCGCGGAATCATCCTCCTCCGGTTTGACTTATGGCCGATGGATTCGAAACATGACGGAGGAATTTGAAGAGTCCAAGCATCAATGGAAACGAACAGGCTTAACCCCGTACCTGTTTGAAAAAGACGGAACCTACTTGGAACTTTTCGATGTCAATCCGCTATACTTCGCACCGGCACGGCAGAATCGCAAGGGGCACCATACTAACAGTACCAGGGTCAGTATGCAGAAGGATTTTCTAGAAATGCTCAAGACAAAGCTGATCAAGCCAGATGTCATCATTTTCAATGCGGGGATGCATTTGCTGCACCTGACTCCCATGCGGGCATTGAAATACGAAACCTACGCCAGTTGGGTCCATTACGAATCATCTTTGTTGGACCAGCTGCTCCAAGTAGGCTTAAATTCTGGTGCGTCTGCCTTGATCGCCAAGTCCACCAACCGAATTTGCGACCAATTTTTTCCGAATGACATGAAACGATACGTCAAACAATACTACCGAGTCAGACCCGAATGGAAGGAATGCTTAGACTTTATTAAGTCACAAGAGAAAAACGAGCTGCAAAAAAAGGTAGACAAAGAAGAAAACTTTACGGTTCTTTCCCAGTCACAAAAAGAAGATGTATGCAAGTTTGGCGTTTTTGATGAGAGTGGTGCATCCTATTTGAACGAACGGATGCACCAGTGGGTGAATCATACACAATTTGACAGGGCAGAAGAATTGGCTCTGGATGACGATAGTAGTGGAAGAAACTCTCCGCAAAGTACTACCAAAGCGAGTAGTTCACGGAGTCTGCTACAGTATTTCAATGATCATGACATTGAGTCTTGCAATTTCACAGAGGCACGGGACGGAAGGCACTACCCGAAACTCTCCTTTGTGAGATTGCATCTGTTGGCAATCCTATTGGACTGTATACTGCCTAGGTGAAGGAACGATTGGTTGGAGCATTTCTTGGTTGGGGGGTAGAGGAGAAAGCCGCAAAAGGAGAAAACTTTTCAGCAGGTATGATGGCCACTGCAATCATCAGTCCATAATTGTCAAACCAAACCCCAGCTGAAACCTGCTTTGTTTTCGATCCTGTTTTTGCCACCGTCTGGTCGCCCGTCAGGCAGGACAAAAATAAATGCCATCACATAAAAAATCACAATAGCATCATAATACAGATCCAACTACAACATTTTCAACTACAGTGTACGAGCCAGAAGGCAATCTGCACAAGGAGAAGAATAAGGTCAAAGAGATCCCCCCTTGCCATTGATTTACTACTCCCAAAGCCAATGGTGCTTTCATGAAGGAAGAAGTCATCATCGCATAGTCTTCATCATGCCAATAAGCTATGACAAGAAAACTGCCAAGAATGGAACATCTGATACCGAGGGACATTGTTCTACAGGCCGTCTAATGACGATATTCGTCTTGATTATGGCCATCATGATGGTCTTAATCCTACGCATCGTCACTATGATAGTGAATCCTGTGACACGAAAGCGGAACCCAACCTCTGGACATACCCGTTGGAAGAACACAACCAATACCTTTTCCAACGGACTTATTGATAGCCAAGCAATACACAAGGCTATTTTTGATGATAATACCGACAAGACTAACATGCGCCAGTCTCCATCGTCAACAAAAGAAGAGTCCATCTGCGACTCTCTGGATGAGAATATGCCAGTCTTACTTTCTATTTTGCGTGGAGAGGAAGTAAAGGTGTACAATGATACGCAGCACGGCGAGGGTCCTGATTTCCGCATTCAGTCACTCATCGAAATTGACATGAATGGCTATCAAAAACCTTTTGCCTCTGACATTCGAGTTTCGGCCACAAATGGGAATACCACATCTACCGACCCAACTGCTGCCAAGATAATTATCATCAAAGGATTCAATCGGGATCTGATTGACCGTGTGTTTCGAAAGAAGCATCTCTATTTTATTGGAGATTCGACTTCTAGAAACTTGTTTGTGGCGCTTCGAAGACTTCTAAATTACATACAGTTTGGTGCTCCTAAAGACCAGAATGAAACGGCTCAAATCAGCTCCCAGTCTCGAACTTCGTCCGAGAATGACAATGATTTGGAATACGACAAGTGGACAGATAGCTTGGAAATACTGTTTGCCAAAGCTCAGAAGAAGTGGAAATCTGGCGACTCGCTTCCACCTTATATGATTCCTGCGGAAAGGACATACCTTCGAATCCTTGACGTGAGTTCAATTTATGTCGAATCCCCAGCGCAACGAAAGTCTGCCGAAAAGACAAATCTACGAGAAGACTTTAGCAACTTGGCAAAATCGACGCTGGTCAATCCACAAGCTATCATCTTCAATGCAGGCTTGCATCTGCTGCAACTCATTCCGAACCGCAAATTGAGTCACTACAAGTACGAAGGTTGGAGTCAATACGAATCCATCTTGGAAACACTACTCCAAGTTTCAATCGACTCTGAGGCCCCAATCATCTTGGCAAAGTCGACTAATCGCGTCTGTGATTCTAAATTTGGCCCCGACTATAGGAACTATGCCAAGGCGTACACTGAAAAGGACGAGAAGACTCTAGAGAATTGTGAGAAAATTGTAAAACAGCAAGAGAAGGACAAGAAAAAAGAGGCACACGAAAAAGGTTACAACATCACAGGGCTCGGGAAATCGCAACGAGAGGAAATTTGCAAATTTGGAACCCTCAATGACGAAGGTTCTTTGCTATTGAACCAACGAATGACCAAGTTTGTGGAGCAGAAGCGAATGACAATGCCGAATCGACTAAGGTATTTCAATGATCATGATATCGAGTTGTGCAACTATTCGAGAGGAGGAGACGGACGGCACTACAAACCACAGGTCTTTGTTCGATTGCACTTGCTGGCGATCATGCTGGATTGCATGTCTGCTGATTGAAAGATATACTTCATTCATGTTCATTCAGCTCTTATTTCATATTATCAATCTTGATATCTACAGCACCAGGCACGTCAATACCAAAGACCTTGCCGTAGAAGGCAAGTTCGCTATCCAGGGCATCTTCAATGTTTTCTGCCTTTCGGAAGCCGTGTTGCTCGCCCTCATAAATCTTGAGGCAAGTGGGGATGCCCTTTTCCAACAAGGCCTTGTGCATCATTTCAGCTTGATTGGGTGGGACAATCTTATCTTCGGATCCTTGCAAGAGAAGAACGGGGCAAGAGAGCTTGTCGGCACTTTCAATTGGCGAGCGCTCCTTGTAGATAGCTTCGTCTTCAGGGTACGGACCAACCAAACCATCCAAATAGCGCGATTCAAACTTGTGGGTATCTCCCGCCAAGGCAGTCAAATCACCAACTCCGTACAAGGAACATCCAGCCTTGAAGACATCTTTGAATGCGAGGGCGCCCAAAGTGGTATAGCCACCCGCACTGCCACCATCAATGCAGAGACGATCCCCATCCGCGAGACCCTCCTTGACCAAATGTGTAGCTCCATTGCAGACATCGTCAATGTCGACAATGCCCCAAGATCCACGCAATCGTCGTCGATAATCTCTTCCGTATCCAGTGGAACCACCGTAGTCAACATCCAAGACGGCAAAGCCACGCGAAGTCCAAAATTGGATTCCAGCATTGAAGGAGGTTCCAGTACAAGCCTGTCATTTTTAATAACGAAATAATAACAATAACAACAACAATAATAATAATAATGAGTGAATTGTCGCGCACTGATATGTTCTTCTTTCACTGATACAGGTAACAAGCAATTACTTACCGTTGGTCCACCATGTGCCTTGACCAAGAGAGGTGGCGCCTTTTCGGTTGTGCATTGATAGTCTCCATTTTTGGGTGGATAATAGTAACCATATGCCTTGCCCAAAGTGGTGGGGAATTCCACTTGTTGGGGGACGGAAATGACCGATTCGTCAAAGGACAAGGTGGACGACTTTTTCAAAATTTCCGCAGGTCCCTTGGTTTCTAGATTCCACTTGTAAATGGAACTGGGAGTCGAGGGTGATCCACCCAAAAAGTAAACGTCAAGAGCTTCGGGGGAGGATGGATCAGCCGTGCCGTCCACCACAACGCCACCAAATTGCATGGGAAGACCATCCTCGGTACGAAACTTGACCAGGTTGGTAACTATGCCGTCCTCGGGCACTTCGGCTACCAAGAGTACTGATTCGCCATCTCTGGTGTATTGGGCAATCAAGCGACCATCCGCCAAGAATGTAAATCCTTGTTGTCCCAAGCCCCAACCGGGAGCCGCCCCTCCAAAATCAACCTCCATGGGCAAAATGGGATCCTTCTTTTCATCCATAACAGTGTTGGTTTCCACGCTGGTGGTACGGTAAATATTGTAAAATCCAGATTGATCCGAAATGTAGTACAAGTCTCCGGTTTGTGGATGCCATTTGGGTTGCATAATGGAGGTGTTCTTGTCACTTCCTGCCAAGAGAAGATGAGACAAAGTGCTATCGCCGTTTCGATTCAAATCCATAAGTCGCAATTCCGTAGCGTCCCAGGGCATGTTGGGATGATTCCAAGTGATGTAAGCCAATTTGGTGCCGTCGGGTGATAGCCGAGGTGCGGCATAAAAGTCATTGCCCGTGGCCAAGACCTTCATTTCCATAGAGCCATCCAATTGGATAGAAACAATTTCATTGACTACTTGTTGGGGGGTTGCCTTACCATCCACCAAATGATCTTCTCGGACGCAAAATATTTGATTCGTGGTTTCATCGTAGACACCATCCGCGAATCGATAACGATTCCCATCCGGGGTCATGGGTTCCACCTTCTTGTCTGACTCCAAACAACACAATTGCTGAGTGGCAAACTCCGAAAAGTACACTTTGTCTTTGGCCATGGTCACAGCAGCTCCTCCATATTCGTGGACGCGTGTGCGTGCATTGGAGTCTTTGGGCAAGACGTCGCCTTTGTCAGAACACAAGACTTGACGCCCCCCTTCTTGGGGACGTCCTTCCAACCAATATAGGGTTTGGTCGTGAAATGTCAAGCCACCCAGACGGACGGAACCAGCCGTGATGGATTGACTGGTAATGGGAGACTCCCAAGCTCCAAACGGCTTGTCTTTTATGGTTGTGGATGATGACGATGTCATTGTCATGGCTTTTGCAAGAGAAGCAGAGCAGAATAAGATTGAAAAGAGATGAATTCTGTGTTTCATCAAGGATGGAGAGATATCAAGGCAAACTGATGCTTGATGTGTGTGTTTTGCCCAGTCTTTTGAGACTGACTACATATATACGAAGATGTTGACCAGCTTTCAGATTTTCAGATTTTCAGATCTCTTTCGTGTTTTTGTGATGTCAGGCCGAACGAAGGGGGTGGACTGGTTTGACTGACTCAATTCCCTCACATTTCTCGCACCTCTTCCCCCAAAGTTACAAAACTCACGATCGCCAACCCCAAAGACAAAAATTTGTAGGTGACATACAGGACTGGCACTCAATAAGACAACAACATCTCAAGACGGCTAGGCACAATAGAACAAACAGCACATTGAAAAAGAAGAAGAAGAAGAAGCGAATTTATCTGGATTACTTGCAGACGCAACAGTTGAGCTATCCCTGCTATCTATCCACATAACAGAACAATGGCAGATCGAACGAAAAATAAAAGGACCCGAGATGACCCGCCGTCATCATTTCCACCCGATATTGTTTGCACATCCAAGGGAGCTCACGGAAGAAATGCCATTGAATTGGGAGCCCTATTTAGTCTTGCAGCGGTTGGTCTGTATTTCTTTGCCGTCATTGAATCCGCCATGAATCTACCCGAATTGCCCACCAAACGGGACCCAGGAAATCTCTTTGGCAATTTGAACATGGCCAAACTGGTCGCTTCTTCTCATGCTTCGGCTTCCGCGCATTATGGTGGCGGTGGTGGCGGTAGCCGTTCCCTTCAATCGGCATCAGCAGCAGCCGTAGGAAGTAACACGGCACCCTCCGCAACTTGGCCCGTTCATTTCAAGGACGAAATCAACAATGTGGAAACCATCATTCATCCCGGCGATTTGGTCACCAAAATGACTGTCCCCAAGTTTTGGTCACCTCCACTACACAACCGTGAATTGTATACCAGAGAACAGGCCATGTCTGTAGGAACATGTGTAGAAGCAGATGAGGATGGAAATCATGTGAGAGGAGATGCTTGTCCAGTGCACAAACGAACCATCTTTATTGCAATTGCCTCCTATCGAGATTTTCAATGTCGCAAGACGGTCGAGTCGGCATTTTCCAGAGCTCGGGTAAGGTTTTTCTCTTGGATGCCTACAGTATTTCAGTGCTTGTATTGCCAATGCACATCCTAACTTTGTTGTTGTTGGTTCTGTTCTTGTATCGGTTTAGAATCCTGATCGTCTTCGAGTTGGTAAGTCATACACTCCTCAGATGCTAGTTCCTCTACCTGGCTTCTTCATGGTCATATTGTTGTTGTTTTGCTAACCACGATCACTTCTATCTTATTATTATTATTATTATTTAGGTGTCGTCGATCAAATTGTCAATGGCGAAGATGTACTGTGCAATGAGCCAATTGAACCGTGCAGCGACAATCCCAACCAAGCCTTGTGCAAGTACCAGGATCAAATTGATGTCTACGAAATGCCCGCCGAACTGTCGGTAGGACCCGTCGTGGCCCGTCACATTGGCGATCGATTGTACCGAGGAGAATATTATGCCACCCAATCGGATGCCCATGTGACCTTTACCCAAGATTGGGACGCGGACATTATTTCCCAAATGGAGGCCACCCACAATGAAATGGCCGTGCTGACGACCTATCTAACCGATGTCCAAGGATCCATTGGTCCGAATGGAAATAGCTTGAGAAAAACGCGGCCCATCATGTGCAATACCTACTATGAAGGAGGTCCACAGGGGTTGCATCTGCGACATGGATCCCAACCGGAACGCTTTCCCAGTATTCATGGATCTCCTCAATTGGCACCCTGGTGGGCCGCTGGTTATTCCTTTTCGAGGGGTCACTTTATAGTCAATGTACCATACGATCTATACCAGCCCATGATTTTCCAAGGAGAAGAAATGAGTATTGGGATCCGTGGATGGACGGTGGGATATGATTTTTATGCACCAGAACGATCAGTTTGCTTCCATCACTACGCCGTAGGAAAGAATGCCAAGATCCGAAACAAGGTACACCACTTTTGGGACAATAGTGATCGGTATGCAGGTACTGGAAGAAAGGCCATGGCCCGATTGTTGGGAATTGTCCATATGAATCCCGAAGTCGATCCCTCCAAATGGGACCACACGGAAGAAGACATTTATGGTCTTGGAGCAGTCCGGACACCGGAAAAGTTTTACACGCTCTTTGGCATTGACGTCGTGAAAAAGACGACCCAAGGTCATTTGTGCATGTTGGTGGACGAAGGAGAAGGCAAGATGCACAAAATGTTCACCCCCAAGTTGCGCGCGGATGGAATGGGAATCGACTACAATGAAATCAACTATCGTTGGAAGGATCCACGGCCGGATCTGAAACAACCAAGGCCTTAAAAATTTAAAGAAAGCAGAATCATAAGAATGAATATATAATAAACTTCTGTTTGCTATCTGCACAGAGCTGTACTACTCTTGCGGTACAGCATGGATGTTTGAGAGCTGGTTTTTATACCGTACGGTATGGGAGTGACAGAAACGGACACGAATAAATGAACTGTCCGACAAAGCGGACACATCCTTCGATCGATCGAAAGACGAAGACAACCACAACCGAACCGAAGCAAAGCAATAAAGCAAAGCAACAAACAAAAACAAAACAGCAAATGACTAATGTACAACCATGTCAATCACAATGACACAAATGAAGCGCAAGAAACAACCAAAGCAAACCATCAAGATTGGGTCTGGATCATTAATTGTTGTCCTTCTAGTTCTATTGGTGGTCTTTTTATTGATTGGTGAACGGCAGTGGTTTCAATCTTCCTCGTCACAAACCTATAACTCATCGAAAGTTGTCAAGCGGGTCAATGTGACACGTTTGAACGAAGAATATCAAACTGTGGACGACATTTTGCAATGGATTTGTATGAAAGTCAAATCCAAAGAACTGAAAATAGTGGACCTGACCAATTGGGGACCATCCTCCTTGGTCATTCTGCACAAGCTGGAACAACTGCAGAGGATACAAGGTTGTCCCACGATTCCAGTAGTCACCATTGATACCTTGCATCTCTTTCCCGAAAGTTACACCTTTTTAGAGTCCAAAAAGAAGATTATGGGACAGAATTTGCTCATTGTCAAACCAAAGAAATACGAAACGGCCAAAGGATTTGACAATCACTACGGAATCAACTTGGCAGTCGAACATCCACAACAATATGCGTATTGGAGCAAGGTGGAACCAATGTATCGAGCCTTCAATGCACTCAAAGCAGATGCTTGGATTACTGGTAGACGGCGGTCCCAAGGGGGTGAGCGGACGAACCTCCAGGCATTTGAACTCGATTCGAATAACAACAAGAACAAGAACAACAAGATCAAACGACTCAAGATCAATCCATTGGTCGACTGGACCTACGAACAAGTGTGGGAGTACATTCGGGATAACGATATTCCCTACAATCCACTGTATGATCAAGGTTATAAGAGCCTTGGAGACGTCCGAACCACCAACAAGGTGGACGAACAAGAAAATGAACGGGCTGGTCGGTTCCAGGGGATGAACCAAACTGAATGTGGAATTCACAATCTGGCCATGCTAAGCTCCTCAGCCGAAGAAGAAATGAAACCAATAGAAGTGCAGACATATATGGAACTTGCCCGAGACACATTGGACCGCGTCGTCTTGAATGAGGAAACCAACCAGTATCGAAATGGCCGAGACAATGTATTCGTTGTCTTTTATCATCCCCAATGCGGTCATTGCCAACGCTTTGAACCGGCCTTTTTTCAACTGGCCAACGAAATGTACGAGGCCCCAGAATCCGCACTGCTACATAAAACGATTGCGACGCGGTTCAACATTGGTCGTTATCATACACCGAATGCCAAGTTAAAGGCGGTCGGAATGGAGGTCCAAGGAACCCCGGCCATTTTTTTGGTAAAACACAAACCTACGCGACATGCCGTCGAGTATAAGGGACCACGGAATCGGCTTCCCATTCTTCTTTGGCTCCGCAAGGAGCTTGGAGGAAAAGACGAGCACGATGGGGAGGAGCTGAGCAGGAAGAACTCGACTAGCACAACAGATGAACAAGACGACCAAGACTTTCAAAAGAAGACAAAACATAAACATAGATAGAGAAACAATAGCACAAGAAGATTAATTGATTGATTCATTCATCCATTCCACATGTAGTAACGGATCTAATGATGAATACGGAATGTTCTTTCCTTTTGTGACTTACAAGAACCTTCCCATTGATAATGTGACCTTGCGCAGCGCATGCGATGCCCTCGTGAGGCACGTGCCCTGTCATTTTCAAACTATAAATATTCCGTTCATTCTCGCAGTTTGAATGTTGGTCGATAAACACGTCACCGATCAACAGTCAACAAAAATAAAATTCTTTTGTTGGATATCCGCGCCAGCCAATACACATACAAAAATTGCGCTAAACTTTTGTCCATGAGAGTTTGAGATTTTGTGTGTAGTGCTCAATCGCTGTCACAAGAGATAGTGATACATACAGTACTGTAGTTGTTGTTTGCAAAGCAAATCGATCAATCCACCATGACGCTGCTCAAAAAGTTGGTTTGCAAAAGTGTCAAAGAGGAGCTTTACTGTGATGGAAATAACTATGAACGAAGGTTCGATCAGGCATCTTCATACGTTCAGGGTTATGGCCGCAGCGCAAGGAGAGATCCTCGCAAAATGTCACGGCAACAATCCAGGCCAACGAATCATAATAATAATAATACTGCTCAGAAGCAATCGAACCAAAAACGGCGGCGCAACAAATCCAAAGGACGTCAAATGCAAATTCCTGGAGCGATACCCGAACAGACTGGAATTTCCTACAGACACCCAGAGTTTGAAGAATTAGAGGCCGATGATTTTGTAGTGAATGCGGTTCGAAAGTCCTTGAATCATGGAAAAAGCAAGAAAGGAAGAAGAGGACTCTTCCAACGAGGCGATGCAGATTCCGTATCCACAGCGTCGTCCGTGACCATAGACTTGTATGGTACTGGAAACCCACAGTATTATTATGGAGAAGATGGAGACGAATCAGATGTCGTCAGCCAAGAAGGCAGAGGTCTTCGTCTAGCACCGGCACCGTTGAGCAAACCCTTGATCATGACGACACCAAACTACCAAAAAGAAAGTGCTGACGAGGACGAAGCAGAAGGATATTTGGATCAATGCATGGGCATGATGGCCGATTTGTTGGTTGGTGAATCTGCCGTACCAAGAGAAGCTACCAAACAAAACCGCATCGCCAATGGAGAACCTGCTGCCGCTGCCGCTGCCGCTGCTAATGTGGAAGAAAAGTACAATGATGAAGCAAATCATCATCATCATCATCATCATCATCATGATGAGACTGCTACTACAATTACTCCAGATTATGATTTACAATCGTTAGCGGGTGAATCCGATGCCTTTAAATCCGTGAGCTCTCAGAATACCTACACGGATGAAAGCTCGAGAGATTCGTATTCCACTGGGAATTCCAGTTACGAAGGTAGCGAAGCCACTTCGGAGCTTGAGAATGGCCTATTCTGTGGATGATGACCTGCTATCATCTACTGTATTGTCATTGATGCAGTATTATATATTTATTAAATAAATATATGATACTGTATGTTTTCGAGCAATGGGGGTCAACCGCTCCATTTTCACATCGAGCCGTTTTTGTTTTTAAAGAAAAGAAGAAAAAAAAGTCCATTGCTTGAAAAATGCTGGTAGCTGGTAGATTACCACCAACAAAATGCACTGGCACCAAATGTCCCAGAATATGGTTGATTTTTGCCGCTGCAATTTCTGACCGTAGACTGGGACAAGTACGGTTAGTAAGAACTCAAGGATGGAGGACTTGACTACTTTCAGTAAAGGAAGGACAATCGTGAAGGAATGAATGGACGAATGAATGAATCATCAAATATAAAAGATAGAGCAAGGACTATTACGGCTACACCAAAAACATTGAAGTGATTGCAATTTGCTTTAGATTATATTGAAAGTAGATTCCTCCAAGCCTAGCTAGCGCAAGCCTAGCGCAAACCTGGAATGAATGATTGAATGAATGAATCGTCAGTGAAGAAGAGTAACAAACAACAGTATCCTAATAATGCAATGCTGCTACTGATGCGCCTACACTGCTGAATTTGATCGTCGGACATTTATGAAAGTACGTCGTGTGTTTGGAGGAGTTTCTACTGTACAGTTCCCACCAGTATGATACCGTTTTCCTTTTTTTCCTTGTTCCTTCACTCTTCCATTGGACGATTCATTCATTCATTTTCATTCTTAGTCTTACCGTATCATATCATGCTACTTATAAAATCATAATCGCATTTGATTTCAGTTCTTGGACTATTCTACTGGTTTCAATAATAGTCCTACTGTGGATTTTATATATATTCCATTCTTTTCTTAATTTTTGTAGCCCCTCATGAAAATGATCAAAAAGATGAGAATGGCAAAGGTTTTGATGATCAATGGTCGATTCCCCTTTTTGATGCTGTACAATTTGGCAATTTCGTCTTGTCCGGCCATGACATCCGCATGGGCCGCCTCGACGTCGTCTTCAATCTTTTCCAAGGTTTCTCCTTGTTGGACAATGAGATTGGACATTTTGCTAAAGAGTGTGCCTAATTCGCCCAGTGCCGTTTCGGCTTGTCTCGCTTCGTCCAATCGTTGTTGGGTTTGTCGTTGTTGTTGTCGTTGTTGAATTTGGTATTGGACCTTTTGTTCCTCTTCTTCTACTTCTTGTTGTTGTTGTTGTTGATTTCCGTAATGGGAGGAGGCTGCTGCACTTTTGCGTTGTCGCATTCCGGTGCTTCCATATCCGCCACTGGCAGCACTGAAACCACCGCCATAACCGCCACCACCATAGCCCGCACGACTTCCATTGGTATTATTACTATTGATGTAACCACCACCACCACCACCACCACCATTCGAGGCACCATATCCACTACCACTTTGTATGGGTGGTGATGGAACCCCTTTTCCTCGCAATGTAGCATTATTGTTCAATGATTTCTTGTTGTTTTGAAACAAGGGACTGTCAAACAAGGGAGTCGCATTGGCCCGTCTATTCGAAGCACCCGTTGCTAGACTTGTATTCTTCTTTTTCTTCTTCTTGTTTGTATTAGTATTGTTGTTGCCATTGGCATTGTTGGAGGATGACGAATCTACCAACTTTCGTCGTTGCTGGGCCTGTTCGGCCAAGACTTCCCCTCGCAACTTCAAACATTCCTGTAGCTGCTTGGAATATTTGGCAGCGACTTGTTGAAACCACTGGACGACAAATTCCCAATGTTTTCGTTCCTGCTTGCGTTTTCTCCCATATTTGACCAATAGCTGTTTGCAGAAATCGGTCAATTCTTCGGTGTCTTGTTCCAATTGTCGGACCAACTGGGAGATTTCCACCGTCGGATCGTTGGTGTGTCCACGACGTCGGACCAACTTTTGAAGCTGTTGGGTCCCATAATCCATGGCTCGTAGCAACGTCAAACCTTCTTCCAATATGACCAACGAAAAGGGAGGTTCCTCCAAAGAAGCCAATTGCAAATTGGGAACCATCAACGGCGGAGTAGATGGATCGTTTTGTTGTTGTTGTTGTTGTTGTTGTTGAATTTTCCAGGCCGTCTTGGCACACGACAAGAGTTCCTTGGAACGGGAGACGGAGTTTCGAACGGGAGGTTCTGTTGCAATAGCATTCTTGTTGTTTGCCTTGCTAGTAGTGGCGGCAGTGGGGGCTGTCGTGGAGATGCTCATACTATCGTATAGCTCGTATTGTTGATATCACCGCAATGGGTGCGTGATTCAAAAACTGTGTGTTGTCATCGTCATTCCAAACGGTTGGATTGACTCATCTGACTCAACATCTATTTTTCAAAAAAATCCATATCGACACGCATGAAAAAATGCTGCAGGCTGTTTCTGTTTCATGTACGAGTAGTGAAAACGTTCACCCATCAATAATACACCAGCCGTCAGCTCCATTATTCTTAAACCTTACAGTAGAGAAAGCTTCAATATGGTAGTATTTCGACGAAAACAACCCAAATCAACCAAAATCAAACTCTCCATGCAGAGTGCCGTTCGTTGTGTCATTCTTCTTCTGACGCTCTTGTGGCTGTTGCAAATGGCTGGAATAATATTGACCGTGTCTTCTGACAATGAAGCAACAACTGGTACTAATGCATCATCATCGTCTTCATCGTCATCATCATCATCATCCCTACTGGACCGGATAGATCCTCATCAAATTGTTAAAAATACAGTCAACACGAATGACAATAATAACAACAATAACAACAATAACAACAATAACAACATGGCCAAAGCAGCCCAAACAGAAGATGACGCATCCATAAGTGCTAGACAAAAAGCCGAAGAGGAGGCACGTCGAAAAGCCTTCGAGGCACTACAAGCCAAACCCAAAAAGGAAAAACCAAAACGAATGAGGCCCAACTGGAGGCCGGAACCCTACGGACATCGAGTCAAACCCCAAGTCCTGTTGGAACACAATAAACCATCAGAAGAAGAAGGAAATCGACAAGTCCCAGACGATCAAATATTGACCGCCTATCTCGAACCAATCGATCAGACCCAATGGAAAATCAAACCTTTGCCAAGACGAACCACCACGGCTGCCGATTTGACCAAGGTGACCTATCCTCAATTGAATTCCTGTTCGAAACTCATGGAACAATGGCCCGTCGATGAATATTCCGATGCGGATCCCTACTTGCCATGGATTCATGACGTCTTCCCCACATATGATGGACAATTTGTCCAATTTGTGGCCCAAAACAAGAATCGGTGTCATACGGGAACGACCGACGAGGAGGAAGCCATTCTTGAACAAATGAGACCTCAAACGACACTGTTGGAACACGTGCCCATTAAAAAGTTGGAACATGGCAAATATCGACTTGCCTCGCACGAAGAGGCGGATCCCGAAACCATGGCCACTCGATTCATTTGCAAATTCAAACCATCCGGTCATGTCACCTTTTCAGAATTCAATTTTGATTACGAATGGGTCAGTTTCCGAAAGACCCAACGGGTCATGTTTGATCCGGATGGGCGGGACATCAAGCAACTTCATACATCCCAATTATTGTTCAAATGTCCGATTCCACCCGAACTCCAAGAAACTATCAAGTCGGGAGACTCGGTAGTCGACGATTGGGCTACAATCTTTGTGGATGTCATTCCCATTCGGACCGAACCACGTTATGGTCATCCTGGTGAATTTCTAGTACCAAAATATTCCAAGGAAGCCACGGCCCATACCCACCTTAATTTCTACAATACTACCTACCATTGGGGAGACAATCACATCCTTCCAGAACTGCAAGACTCGGGACGATGGGCCAACATTCCAATCTGCAAACCATCGCTCATGGAATACGAACCACAAGGACACGAACAATTAGAGGCACCCAAGTATCGTGGTGAGGATGGTACCCCCAAGAATCATCATTTGGTATCCTGTTTGTGGGCCAGTGCGGGATACACGACACGGGGACATCGGTTTGCCATTAACGATGGACAGCGACGTTTATTGGAATGGATTACCTTTAACAAAATGTTGGGATGGGATCACTTTTATATCTATGACAATACTGCCGCTTTTACCAACGAAACTTCCTTGCAACCCATTGCCGACATGTTTCCAAACGATGTGACGATACTCAAATGGCCCAGCCGAGTTTGCAACAACAATCCCAACAATGTAGATTCGCCAGGAGAACGATCCTCCCAATACGCGGCAGAAGCCTCGTGTCGATTGCGATTTGGTCCCCATGTCAATTGGATTGGGCAATTTGATATCGATGAATACATGGTGCCCATGGGAGAATACAATAGCATGCTGCCTCTCTTGGAAAAGCTCGATTCCGAAAATAAAAAGATCATTTCCATGGCCAGTTGGAGAGCCTGGCCTCGGGCGACTCACATCAAGTAAGTGCCTGCACATTCATTATATCATACTACATATTGAAAGGTGGTGGCAGTAAAGGTGGAATTTTTGTTACTATGGTCACAAAGACTGGTAGACTCACTTACCTCCTCTTGCTGCTTCATTTCTCTCTCTCTCTCTCTCATTTTACCATTTCATTTCATAGCCCGATTGTACCAATCAAGGACAACAAGTATTGTGGAACGGGCCATCAATGTTTTGATTTGAGTATTCAATCCAACACGAGCATGCTAGAAGCCTACAATTGCGATCGCAACAAGCCCGGTCAAAAGACGACAGTCATGCCAGCGGAGAAACAAATATACCGAGCCGACTATGTGAAACAGCACTTTGTCCATTACAGTACAGTGACAGAGTCAACCTTATTGCCCACTGAAGAATTCAAAGAAAAGTTTGGTCATAGGCGGCAGGCTCCGGATCCGCTTTCTAGATTTGGGGATGAAGTCACAGAAGGACTCATGATTCATAGGTACGTTGGTAGTTCTGATGGTGGTGGTGGTGGTGGTGGTGGTGGTGGTGGAGACTAGTATAGTGCAGCCCGATGGAAGCTTGAAGTACAATATCGATATGGATCATTTCTCACTCATCTCTATCTCTCTCTCTCTCTCTTTTGTTGTTTGGTCCTACAGCAAAGCGGTGGCTCATCAAGACACGGCTGGATGGCTACGAAATTGTCACAAGGACGCCCACCCGTTCAGTCTGTGCCGTTTGGGGTACCCATATCCAAAGGGAGGAGACCAAGATACGGGACCGCAATGGAACGAGGACGGATGGAAATACAATTGTTTTGTGAATGAAAAGGTTGATAACTACTGGGCCCCACTCCTGAAGGAGAACTTGATAAAGCAAGGATTCTTTGGGCAATAAGAATAGTTGCACATTGAGCATTCGAGATACGGTTGTACCTGGTACTTTCTTACTTAGGCCTTTGTGCTTCTGTCGACTTATTCGACCAATATCATCTTCAAATTGTTGTCATTTCGAGGTTTTCATTCTTGTCGATGTCGTTGGTGATGCCTGTCTTGCTTTCCATACAGTGCAGCATCTCTTCTCTATCGTTCAACTCCCATTGGTTGCCTTATCAATTACATTGAACATCATTAAAGTCACAAATCATGAAGGTTCGAATACCAAGCAACAAAATGGGAGGCAAACCAAAGGGGTCGACGTCTGGTGCTCCTTGGAAGCTTTCCGCTCGAATGCTCGTCACAGTCTCCTTTACATTCTTGTCAATATATTTATTTGCAATCTTGATGGCTCTGAAAAGTGCTGATGAATCTGCTCAGCCGTGTCCCGAAGCGAAGACACCTTTTCAGCAAGAGATTGTGGCCAATAATGCACATCCATCCAGCAATTCCAAACCCATAATGATATCAAAACCACGGGTGTCAAAGGAAGAAGCCCCTCGTCAAGATACGCAATCTTATGCAAACCAACAAAAGCAGCAAATTGCCAAACCGCAGCCAAGACAAGACTCGTACGTACGCAAGGTGATTGCTCCTGGTACCCGAGAGTTTGGCAAGGGTGTCCAACCCGAACAATTGCCGTTGGCAGCATCAAATCAACAGAAAGAATCCGATATTGGTGACAGCACTGGTGGTCCTCCTCCTCACAGAAGATTGTCGGCCTATCTGGAACCAATTGACGAGGATTTTCTGAGTCGCAACGATTTGAATACTGCAGCTAGTGCCCCCCTGCCATTGAGGCCTTGGACCAGTGAGGATTTGATTCAACAAGAATTCTCAGCAGTCAAATCGTGTAGTCGATTAGTCGAACAATGGCCAGTGGACGACTATCCCGATGGAGATCCATTCTTACCATGGATTCATGATGTCTTTCCTTCGCATGACGGCAAGATGATTCAAATTGTGGCACAAAACAAACGACGGTGTCGGACGGGGCATTCAAAAGACGATGTAGAAGCCCTCAAGCATTTTGAACCGCACATTGCACTCTTTGAACACGTTCCTATACAACGGATTTCCAGCACCGACAAGGGCGAGCAACGGTATCGATTGGCGAATCACGAAAATGCAGATCTGGATGGGGTAGCCACACGATTCTTGTGTCGGTTTACTTCCGACAAATTGAATGTGGATGAAACTACTCTTAGTGTCTTCAATTTTGATTACGAATGGGCCTCGTTGCGAAAACACCAAAAGGTGTTGTTTCATGACCATGGACGAGACAATAAGCAAGTGCATACATCCCAACTCTTGTTTCAGTGTCCAGTCCCCGAGTCACTTCAAGAAATTGTGCAAAAAGGATCCTCTGTGATCGATGACTATGCCACACTGTTTTTGGACATTGTTCCCATAAGGACGCCGCCAAGATATGGCCATCCAGCATCCTTTTTGAAACCTTACTATTCCAATAGCAAAGCAACTTCGGGCTTTTCGACGCCAAGGTTTGATTTGGAAAAGCAATGGGGATCCAACCACATTATACCCAAGATCAAGGATTCGGGACGGTGGACTAATATTCCCATTTGCAAGCCATCTCTAATGACCTACCAGGGGGAAGAGGAGCCTCCCAATGTGATAGAAGACCCCCCCGAAGACAAACTCGATTTGGGTCAACCGACAACAGTCATTGAAAAGAAGCATAGGCTAGTTTCTTGCCTATGGGCAAGTGCAGGGTATACTACAAGAGGAGAACGATTTGCCATAAACGATGGCCAACGACGATTGTTCGAATGGATCACTTACAATCGCATGTTGGGAGTCGAGCACTTTTACCTTTATGACAACTCGGGCGTCCACGGTCCAGAAGTCTCGCTGCAACCGGTGGCGGACATGTTTCCACCAGATTTGGTTACAGTCATTAATTGGCCGAGTACTGTCTGCAACAACAATCCAGTAAGTACTACTATATGACTTTGAAGATATCATGATGATGCACTTCTGAATGCATCATCTCACTCATCCATCGTCTCTCTCTCTGTGTCATTGCTTTTCAGAACAATGTGGATTGTCCTGGAGAGCGATCGTCCCAATATGCAGCCGAGGCTAGTTGTCGATTACGTTTTGGACCGCATGTGGATTGGATCGCCCAATTCGATATTGACGAATATTTGGTACCCATGGGCAATTTGACGACTGCTACTCAACTCATTGACAGACTGGAAGAGGAAGGAAACAAGGTGATATCCTTTGGCTCCTGGAGAGCTTGGCCTAGAAGGCGGTTCATTGAGTAAGTCAATATACGATGTTTTGAAATGGTGAAGGAAGTCATAATGATTCAAGTCGTCTAATTCGCCATTTTCCTTACTGCTTCGCTTCAGAACCCCCAATGTCATGTTTGGCAAGAACGATTGCGGACGAGAACAACGCTGCTTCAATTTGCGTATCCCCATGAACTACACCATGCTTCAGGCCTACAACTGTGATCGCCAAAAGCCTGGTGAAAAGGTCCAGCAAATGCCAGCCGAGAAACAAATCTATCGGCCCGACTATGTTATGCATCACTTTATTCACTACAGTACTGTCACCAAGACGTCCAACCGGAACATGGAAGATATTGAAAACTCGGGGCTCAAATACAAGAAATGGACTGCTTTTCCTGACCAGCTACAACGATTTGGCAATGAGGTTACCGAAGGTCTCATGCTTCACACCAAGGCGGTGGCCACACAAGATACTGTCCATTGGGAAGAAACTTGCAAGGCAGGATACGAAGGATACGGCACCTGTCGATTGGGGAGTCCGTATCCGGAAGACATGAGTGAGGTTGACGAATCCAAGGGTGATGACGGGTGGAAGTACAATTGTTACGTCCACAAGAAGGTAGACCACTACTTTGTGCCCCATTTGGAGGAGCAGTTAAAGGAACACATTCCCGAGCTGGCTGCGAAAATGGATCAGAACAACAAGAAGAGTTCTTGGAACGTGTGGTCACTCTGATGAAACAGTTCACGCAGACAGCAATGCTATCATTTCACTAGGTACAGCAAAAAAGAGTGCGTTTCCTGCTTAACAAATTTATTGATGTTTCAAAAAGTGATCGTCAAGTAGTTATGCAATATGCAGTCGTGTGACAATTCGTTTGATTTACTGTTTTTCTCATGCGAAGATGGAAGAGCCTTTTTGGTCTGCTGGGAGAGATCACCAGGAAGAGCCTTGTTGGTGAGCTGGGAGAGATCATCGATTTCGTCGCCTTGGATTGAGTTGGCTGCCTCGGAAAAAATCTGCAAGAGATTTGTTTTTTGGCTGCTGTGGCTGTCAGAAGAAGAAGAGAAAGGGAACGATATGGGACAGATGCTGCACCAATCAAGAATGAGATGAGAGAGTCTTGATTGACATCTTCTTCTGGCATTCGACTTGTTGAATTGGAGGATACTGCGTTGTTTGGCATTTTGTTTCTTGAAATGTATCGAAGGGATGATGGGAACTACCACTTTTTGTCGAGTTTGAATAATGAATGAATACTTAATTTCTGAAGCGAAACAAATTTTCATAAATCGCGGGTGCTCCTCAGTGTTGCTAGTACAGTAAAGCCGGGAATCACAGTTTCGAAGGTCTACCGGGTATACCCGCGATCCGCAACCACCAAACTTTTCGCATTTGCAGGTCTTCTTGAAGTTCCCTGCTTTTCGAAGATAGCTGCAGATCGGAGATACTGTGGTTCCATTCTTCATTTGTTCTCTCAAAGGCTTTGTTGTCGCCAAGTGATTTGCGGTATTGAAACGAAGTCCGAGTATATAAATTCCGTCCGGAACCTGTAGGTATATGATAGGTACCTGGTACAGTTTCGAAGTTATTTGGACTATTGGCTTTGCCGTCCACAAAAGCGACCATCGATAAAATGGCCGGGCATTCCACTACAGTACGATCCGTACCAGACTCCAGGTATTGTCGGTACTGTGCGCAGAAGTTTGCCGCCGAACGGAATCTCGCAGGGCTCTTGTTAAAACACGCTTCATCGCCGTTGAGCAGTCATTCAAAGGTAGAATTGTTGCCAGTGTTGGTGGTGCCGTGCACAGAAGTTTGTTGCAAATCGGAGTCGCCGTGTTCTTACCAAAATTGTACATATACACTTTGTAGTCGCTATTTTGAACCCTCATGGTCTCTAGATCGGATAGAACCTATAACCGCTTATTCGTATTTGGGCGGTCAGTGGCTTCTGCAACCAAGGGCTCCGACTTCTGTTGTGGTACTCGTACACGTACCTAGTTAGGCTCATCAAGTTCAACAACGACTTCGGACATTGCTGTGTTCCGCACTCGTACTCAGCCGACGCTGCTCTTGCTCGATGGGCGCAGAGACAGCGTCACCAGAACAAGAAACTTCTATAACTGGCGTTCTTTTAGAATCTCGTACGTTTGTTATAACAGAAGCTCGAACCAGTCGATAGAGAGCCAGCACATACGAGACCCCGCACACACCACCCAGATCAACAAGAGCTGTTTGCAAGGACAATCAGACAATCAATAGTGTATAAATACTTGGATCATAGAGTATGATTTCAAATCGGTTCACTTCATGTTCACAGATTCATTGATGTTAGAAAAAGTCATGGATTTATTATATTGATGTTTTAAATAGAAAAACCTGTCACGGTCCCTATAGTATGGATTCTTCGTCTTGTTTACTGTTCTTGTTTTCCGTGGGAAGAAGAAAGAGCCTCATTGGTGACGAGTTGGAAGGGGCCATCGATCCCACGAGAGTCTCCTTCTTCAATTAGATTGGCGACCTCCGAAAGAAGCTCCAAGACACTTGTTGTTTGGTTGCCTTGGCTGCCAGAAGGAAAAGAAAAAGAAGAGAAAGGCAATGAAACCGCTTGCGGTGGACTTGCGGAAGATTGGACAGATGCTGCAATGAATAATGAGACGAGAGAGTCCTCATTGTGATCTTCTGGTATGCGGCTTCGTGAATAACATGTGAGGGAGGCTTCGTTGCTTGGCATTTTGTTGCTTGAATTGTATGTATCCAAGGGATGGTGTACACTTCCAATAGGTCACAACAAAGATTGTGAGCGGATACTGTAGCAAAATATTCGGGAAAGGCCGAGGGATACTGTGATTACCTTCTGGCTCGTGAGAGGAGGAAGTTTGCTCCGTTCTTCATTTGTTCTCTAACTTCGTTTTGATACCGCAGGTCATTGTCGACAAAGCCTTTGTCTGATTGCGACAAATATTAAATATGATCTATAGACGAAGGCTTTGATGTGTCCAGCAATAAATTGGCCAGAGATTTTCAACAGGTTTTGAGATACCAGGTGGAACTCCAGGTATTCTACCGTGGGCAGAAGTTCGTCGCAAATGGGAATCAATCGTCGTATTCTACTAAAGGCTATGTGTCGTCGCCGTCACGAACAGTCATTCCAAAGTACCAGGGGTACGAGTACTGTTCGCAGTTTGTCGAAAATCGGAGTCGCTGTGCATCCTCGCAAAGATTGTATACACTTTTCGGGTTTGGGTTCATGTTCTCTACCGGTAGTGTACGATTACTTTCAACAATTCGCATTTTGGTGGCGGTCAATGTTACAATGTGGGAGAGCCTTGTGAGACGTTGAAGAGGAGTGAAATCTGCTTTGTCTGAAGCAAGTTTTAGTTTTGGCCAAAACTCACAAAATCAAAACACAACTGAAAAGAAAAGAATGGCTGATACCCCAAAAACTTGCAAAAACGATTGCGGCTTCCACCACTGTCACGGAGACTCGCAATGCTCGAGGAATGTCTCCTGGCACTCCTGAGACAGCCTCTTCCGTCTCCGTTACTAGATCTTCCTGTTCAATCGTTTGAGGATCCTTTGGGAGATCCCAAAATGGAGCCTCTCCCCTTCCGAGTTTCAAGCTCGGATCAATCAGAGACTGATCCTGAGCAGAACATGACCTTCAAGGACGAACCCATCGTCGTTGCATCTTTCTATCACGACCAATGCGACGATGTTTCTTTGACCTCCTCCTCAGGCTGGAGTCGCACAAATGTGGCAGAGAGGATTCCTCGATTCAGACCGTACCAAGACAAGAAGTGGAAATCGTCTTTCCAAAGGCTCATCAATTTCAAGAACGAGTTCGGACATTGCTGTGTTCCACACTCGTACTCAGCCGACGCTGCTCTTGCTCGATGGGTGAAGAGACAGCGCCACCAATACAATAAATTCATTGGCAACAATGGCTCTTCTACTTTGACCACCAGTCGTCTCGAACAGCTCGAGTCGGTTGGCTTTGTATTTCACTCACACGCGGCTGCGTGGTTCGAAAGGATCGACGAACTCAAGGATTTCCAGCAATCCAGTGGTCATTGCAATGTCCCATCGACTTACCCTGAGAATCCCGCTTTGGCCACATGGGTAAAGTCGCAACGACGCCAATACAAGTTGCGTGTATCCGGATTGCAATCGACAATGACCATGGATCGATTTGGTGTACTGCATTCGATGGGCTTTTTGTTTGAGCCACGACTGGCAGCGTTTGAGAATGCACAGCTGGAAATGAAAACACGCAAAAAGAACGTCAAATCTTTTGGTCCTAGCCGAAAGGTACTACGACCACTCTAGTAATTCAGCCTACATAATTTCTTGTATAGTCATTCCAAGCCAGCCAGTTTATTCACACCACCTTTTTTCGCAGAGATGATTCACCCATCATTACGGTAAAGAAGTAACAGAAGAAGAAGAGGAAGAAAATAAGTTTCATTAGCTAGACCAGTAGCTACGACCAAGCCAAATTCAGCAACGAGAACAACGGAACAACAGCAACAAACCCAGCAGCGATTGGGCGAAACCCGATTCACCCGAAGCGGCACTATGTGAATACTATACTATGATTCCAAACCCAATCGTCTAGTATCGATTGGAGTGTGTCAAAGTGAACAATAGGTACAGCAGGTACCTGGTACTGGTAGGTAAGATCCTAGGTAAGATCCTTGGTAAGATCCATAACATTCCTAGATTACTTGACTCGAACCAGTCGATTATCGAGCCAGACAGGCCAACGCCAAGCCAATCCGACGCTGCGACGACAAGCATTGGCTCGTGTGGTCGCACAAAACAAGAGACAAACAACAACACCAACAAGGTGCGCCAAATCAAGGGTTTATACTGACACTGACCTATCCTCTCCTTTTATTATATTTTAGTGTTACCTACTTTTGCACAAACGCCACAAACAGCAACACTAAAGATGGAATCCAATTCCATTGCAGAATCGAAAGAGTCGAAAGAATCCCTACAAGCTTCCGTAATCAGCAACGCTCACAGCTACACCAACAACAGCAATGCGTCTGTTTCCTCTCCCACCAACGACTTGAGTAATGCCGTCGAACAGCTATCGAAGGACATTGCCAGCACCTTCAACAATATAGGTGCCACCTTTATGTCTAGCAATCCAGCGCCTTCGTCACAAGAAGAACGCCAGCTTACTACCAAAGGACAATCCAAGGGATTCATTGATGCTTGTTGGCTTGTCCCAGACGAACCTGCGATTGCCATGACAACCGCCCAGGATCCTACCAGTTTCAGCAGCAACAATAACAATGCTGCTGCTGCTACCGCTGTCCCAGGAATCAAGGAGAAATTGCAACTAGATGACAATAGTTCTCTATTAGAAGAAGCTGTATCGCCCATGCAACGGATTCGAAAACAAAAGCAATTAGACACGAATGATTTGGACGCAATCGATGATGATAATGACGGCTCAGCAACCAATCCTTCTTCACCATCGAGAAGGAGTCAAGGGGAAGTGGTAGAATCGTGGAAGCGAAAAATGAAACTGGCACAAAAGAAGCGAGAACAAGAAGCCAATGAGCTCCATGGTGGCGGCGACAAGGGCAACCAAATTACAACAGACAATCATGACGAAACCGACCATGATGACACCACCACCAACAAAACAGATGAAGAACATTCATTCATCAAACGGGAAGATGATACTTTTTTCAGAGAAGAAGATGACGATAACAGTAATGTCATGGACGGAGCTTGTCAACCCAAACGAGAAAAGGATGGAACTTTGTTGGATCCCATCTTTTCGGCAGCTATGACTTTGGAAGGAATTCCCAGTTCGCGCAAGGAATTCATGGACATGGTGACGGGCAAGTGTCGGGTCATGATTGGGGCCGACGAGCAATCGGCCACGTCTTCGGAAGAAACAGACGAGTGGAGCGACTCGTACATGACGCCAGATCAACAAGGGAGTCCACGAAGGCGACGCAAGCAGCAGCAGGATCGTCGTGGACGAAGTGGCAGAAGTGACCGCAAGAGTCGAAGAGGACGGTCTCGAGAGGATCAGCGACGAGGCACGAGTTCCAAATCCCCCAAACGTCAATCACGAGCCAAACAAATGAATCACAATCATACTCCACCAGATGATTTGGCTTCGGCGGTGCAGTCCGAGATTACCATGACACCGGAACACAACCGGGAGTACAGGCAACGACCAGCCTCACCACCAAGACGACAACATCAACGAACCCCACCTTCCAATGAAAAAATGACGCAAGACTTTGACATTAATACTCCTACTCCGATAACTCCCGACAAGAAACGATCCGCTATGAAAACACCTCCCAGCTTTCCAACGGCACCCAAAAGCCCTGCTGCTGCTACTAGTCCAAAAGACAAGAATTTTATCAAGTACTTTATTCAGGAAATCAGCAACAGGGGATATCGCATGATGTGGTACAAGGAGCCATCCTCCAAACATCCGACTACAGTGGTACTATTCTTGCAACATGGGCACAAGTCACCTGTCAATGCAAATCATTCGGGTCCAGCCATGGTGTGGGTGGACGAGAGCGAACGAGATCAATTCTACGGAGTGAATTTATTTGACATTCGGACCTTGGATCGAGCTTCCCATAATGCCTTGGGAGCCCAATCCTATGCCATGCCCAGCCGGAGCATCGTCTTGAGGTTGGCCAAAGGAAATGAATTCATTTTTGAAGCACCCACCGAACAAGAAGCCTTTCGATTTGTACATGGAATGAAATGGGTCATTGCACGATTGGCCTTCAATCTAGTCATTGGAAACATGGATGTGGTATGTGAGCTGGTGGACGTCGACAAGAAAAAGGGGGAAGCTACCATTGCGCGGGCCATGGACGATGTGACATTGCAAATGGTAGACAAGTCCATTCTGAAAATTGTCCAATAAAAAAGCAGACACTTGAATGTCAGAATGAGATGGACGATCCAAAATTGTTGGTTGTCCGAATTATCCAATTATGGCCAGTCTCATTTTGTACTATGGGCCAACAGCATTATTAGCGCTGTGTGGTTGGCATATTTGGGTCAGATAATGCATGGGTTGGAATCATCAGTGGCAGGAAGACTGATTGAAGACTGATAGAAGACTGATATTGGTGGCAGCCGCAGTCACGACACAGTAGGGGGTGTATGGAATGGATCTGAATCGGAATGCATGGATCATCTTCTCTGAAAATGAGAGTTTTCAATAAGAGAGCCAGTCAATACTATTTCATTGCCAACTGCGGTCTTCCCACTGACTAGCAAATTGCGGCGATGACAATTCAACTGTTCTAAGGGAGCTTGCAGCACCAAAACATAGCAACCAAACTAGATAAATACCTGGATTATAGAGTACGAGACAACGGACTGCATTATTTACAGTATTGATGCTATAAAGTCACATTCTGATTCGTTATTCACCATGGTTATATATGTATGGGGCTCAGTTCGGTTTACTGCTTTGGTCCATGCGAAGGAAGGTCCACTCCGGTAAGCTTGAACAAGTCATCGATCTCATAAGAGTCTTCTCGCTTCAACTCTTTTCCCTTCAACTCCACCGCGTCAAGAATCTCCAAGACACTTTGGCAGCTGTGGCTGCGAGAAGCAGTGGAAGCGGAAAACGGGAAGGATAGCGCTGGAGGTGGACTTGCGGAAGATTGGATGGACGATCCAATTAGTGAGAGTAGAGAGTCTCTATTGTGATATTGCGGCATGGGCCTTGATGAATTGCACGGGATCGTTGCTTCGTTGCTTGCCATTGCGTTGTTTGGCTGTATCGAACGAAAAAAGATAGAAACTTTCCGACGACTGAAGGTGATCACAAGTCAAAAAAAGTGTGGGCGTACGGCAGTAGCAGGTAAAAAGGCCGGCTATGGACCCGTATTACACGTGTACGCATATATACCAGAACAGTACCGATACCAGTTCTTAATCGGAAGTTTGGCGTTTGGTGTATTCTTCGCAAATCGCACTTGGCTTGGTTGTTAAAAATAAATTCGGAACTTTGTTTCGTTCTTGTTGAAATTCTGTTCACGTAAGGAACTGACCCTATATATTTATGGAATATAAAAAGGCTTTGTTCTCCGCAAGTGAAACTGCTTGTATAATTTCGAGTCATTCTCAAAAAGACACGCGCTTTGCTCTCCCCAATGATAGATTGGTTCGGGGAAAAAAGGCCGGGCATTACTCGTACTTGTCTTATATTGTCCAGTACAATCCCCTTAATGCTCCAACCGTATTCCCTTAATTGACAGTTCCATTGACTAGGGCATTGTGTTTTTGATCACCACCCCATGTGAAGACCATGTGTTACATGAGATACCGCACGGGTACACTTATCAACGATGTCTTGTCACTCTCTTTTCCAACTCCGACAGCTTCAGTTTCTCACGCAGACAGCACTACGACTACCTGCTGGTACTTGGTCGTCGCGCTACGAAGGTTTTCGTCATTTGGAAACCCCCGCTCCGTATCACCACTCAGAGTAGGACAAGCCGAGACCGCTGTGGGTGAAATTGTTTAACTAACGAAATAACACGGAGGCGACTTCAGCACTATGCAATGGCAGATTGCGATCACTACTCCCGGCAAATACCCGGATTATACTAGAGTATGGGCTACCGTATGTTTCTCTTTGTGTTTCAAAAATACATACTTTAAAATATCGTTATGCAATATGCGATAGTTGTGTGATCCTTCAGGTTTACTGCTGTGGTCCACGGGAAGGAAGGGGTTCATGCGAAAGCTGAAAGGTATCATCGATATCATAAAGGTCTTCTTGAGTTAAATCCACGGCGGCGGTAAGAAGCTCCAAGAGACTTTGGCAGCTATGGCTCATGCGAGAAGACGATGAAGGAGAAATGAAGGATACCTTTCGAGGTGACCTTTCGGAAGATTGGATAGATGATCCAATTAATGAGAGCAGAGAGTCTCCGTCGTGACTTTCAAGTAGACTCCTTGGAGAATGGCAAGGGAAGGCAGCTCCAGTGTTTGGCATTTTGTTGATCGCTTTCTGTCAGATGGATGATGGAAATGAATGAAGCTTTTGCGAAAAGTGTGGATGTGTCGCAGTAGAAGATAAAAATCACGGCTGCGACATCATTGTACCTGGTACTGTAGGAAGCTACTAGCGGTATGTATCTTCTGGTTCGTCTGCGGAAGTTTGTTTCGTGGTTCGCATATTGCACTAGGTAGAAATCCGCTTGTTGTCCCCGTTGTGACCCGTGACAGTTGGGTGTAATGGCCGCGGATTACCTGCGGCAGGCTTTCCCACATTTTTTCGGAATTCCCAAACTATACGGAAACTATACATGTTGTTCTCTCATTTCGGTTTGGGAAATGGCGTTGCGTACCGGTAGAGACGCGTATACCGTTTCTTCCATATTGTTTATGAGTTGAAATCTGGTCGTACTCGTATATGGGCTTTGTTGCCCGGGAGTAGAAGATACAAATCATGGCTGTGATTATCGTACTGTAGGAAGCTACCGGTATGTATCTTCTGGTTCGTCTGCGGAAGTTTGTTTTGTGGTTTCGCAAATCGGACTGGGTAGAAATCCGCTTGTTGTCCCCGTTGTGACCTATGGGTAGATACGATCTGACTTCAAAATATGCAAGCAACAAGAATACACGCGTCTCTACCGGTACCAGGTACCTACAGTACGCAACGCCATTTCCCAAACCGAAATGAGAGTATAACATATTTTTGGAATTCCGAAAGAATGTGGCGAAGTATCGCAGGTAATCTGCGGCCATTCTACATTTCTTGTACGGGCTTTGTTCTCCGAGAGTGACCATAGGAAAATTCGCAACCTGAGCAGATAAAGAAACGCGACAGTTTGGGGTAAAAAGGCTGGGCGATACTGTACTGTGCCAGCGATTTCTTCTTATATTTGCGAATGAGCTTGGTGGTCACCAAGTTCTTTCAAATTCATTATACAATTCCTAAGGGTAGTTATTACAGACACGGTGCTACTGCAGGGGTTCCGTCATGTTCTCTCGATGGGATCATGGCTGCTTCTCTGTTTTATTTGGCATTTGGTATGGTCACAATGTGGAAGTTTGTTGCTGAATGATTATTTGTGAGAGGCCTCTTTGACTTCGCCTGAGATCGATTTTCATTCCATGCGGTCGTACGGTAGGATTTATTCACCGATCCACAAGAATTTATCACCACAGATAGAGTATACACACCGGTAAATGTTTTCGAGCGAAGTACGACGTACCAACCTTTCGAGTACCATGGTAACCGGCATACTCTTGGTGATTGGGTTCACTGTATAGGCACGCTTCGAATTCGTCGCCAATTCCTCTTCGTAAGAGCGATTTACTATAAAATGTGCTGCTGGCTGCTGCCTACTAATGGCTTCTTGCAATAAACAAAATACACCAATCGACATGGATTGCAGAGTAAAGCCAAAAAGCCAAGCTTTGCTAATGAAATAGGGGCTACATATTCATTGACTTTGCAGTCATATCAAAATTTTGTCATGCAATCCATCCGGTTTATTACTGCTTTGGTTCTTCATGCCAAGGAAGAGCCTCATCGGCGAGCTGGAAGAGATCATCGATCTCGTGCGAGTGTTCTCGGGTTAGATCAGTCGCGATGCTCAGAATCTCCGAGAGACCTTGGCCGCTTGGGCTGCGAGAAGAAGAACCAGCAGGAGCAGAGACGGAAGTTGGGAAGGAGCAGGAGGAGGGTAAATCCGTTCGATGTAGTCTTGCGGAAGATTGGATTGATGCGCCAATCAATGAGATGAGAGAGTCACCATTGTGATTGTTTGGAGTGCGTCTTGGTGATTCGCATGGGAAAGTTGCTTCGTTATTTGGCATTGTGTTGTTTGATTCGTATCGAAAATACTGGAAACTACTTGCTCTCGAGTATTGTGAGCGAATAATTCTGTTGGCAATACCACTTGTCCTGAACCAGGCAAAATGGCGAGGAGATAAAGTCCAAAGGAACAGTATTGTACTCTCCCGCCGAAAGAAGATTTTAATTCCTTTACAACTGTGGTTGCTTCAAAGTTGGAGTCGAACACGTATTTTCTATATTTTTAAAAAGACGAGGGGGTGCCATGGGAACGCCATGTCCTTGATAGTTTGGCTATTGACCAGCTATTGCGCTCTACTCACAACCCTCCGTATTCTACTGCATGAATTCCATGCTAATGTATAAGGAGATTTACTACACAAATGGCTGGCACCTTGCGGCAAGCAAATTGCAGTGATCATTATGAATAAATAACGTTGTCATATAGTACAAGCAAATAGGCATGCTACATATATTCATTCCATTTACATCTATTTTGATTCATTGACGCTTCGAAAGCCATATTCGATACTCGTTGTGCAATATGCATTCATGTAGTGATCAGTATAGTTACTGCTTCGGCCCATGTGAAGGAAGGGCCTCATGATGGTTGAGCTGGAAGAGATCATCCATCTCATATGGATCTTCTCCCGTTAGATCCCCTGCCATAGTAAGAACATCCAAGTCACTTTGGTAGCTGTGACTTGGAGGAATAGGAGAAGAAACAGGGAGAAAGGATGCCGACGTTCGAGGAGCTGCTGGACTTGAGGAAGATTGGAAGGATGACGCAAACAGTGATATTAAAGAGTCCTCATTGTCAACTTCTGGTATGCGCCCTCGTGATGAATGGCATGGTGAGGCTACTTCGTTGTTTGGCATTGTGGTGCTTTGTGGTGCTGATTCGTATTCGAAGGGGATGATGAAGGAAAGTATTTGTATGCTGGAGAAGATTATTGTGAGCGCGAACAATTCTGAAAGGAAACTGACGCTTTTGGGAAAAGTACGTGTACAGTTTTTGGAATTCGGGCATGTAGAATCTGGTAGTAGTACTTGTTCGTGCGCAGAAAACCGACTGTGGAAGCTGACGCGAGACAGCCCTGGTTCCTGAGCAGAAGCAATAGAATTACCCTACAAGCAAGTCAAGTCTTCTGGTTCGCGAAAGGAAGTTTGTTCTGGCCTTATACGGCAAACATGAAAAGCTTGTTCCAACGACGGTTCGCTTGTGAAGCCACCGTTTCTGGATATATAGGAATCGAATAGAATAATCGAACACGTGACATCGATATATTATGAAACAAGACGGTTAAAAGTCAAACGCTCACGTTTTTTCACATCGTCGATGGGGATTGTGTACCCGTACCATGACCGCAATGGCCCCTTGCAAAGAACAAACTACAGCACAATAGCTACCAACTACCAATCGACAGTGTTCAAAAAGGCATTTTCAATCTATTTTCTTCTTTATGTGTATTGACTCTGGAGTCGTTATATTCAAAACTTCGTCATATGTGGTATGCATTCATGTGCTGGTCATCCTTGGCATTGTTTACTGCCTTGGTCCATGCGAAGGAGGAGCCTCATGGATGAAGTGGAAGAGCTCACAAATCGCATAGGAGTCTTCTCGAGTTAGTCCCACCTCCTCGTCAAGAATCTTGTGATTCTTGGAATTGTTTACTGCTTTGATCCATACGAAGGAGGATCCTCATCGGTGAGCTGGAAAAGTTCATCAATCGCATAGGAGTCTTCTCGAGTTAGTTCTACCGCCTCGTCAAGAATCTCCAATATACTTTGGCTTCTGTGGCTGCGAGGAGCCGGAGTGGAAGTAGGAAGAACAAAGGATACCGGCATTCGAGAAGCTGGTCTTGTGGAAGATTGGAAGGAGGGCGCAAATAACAATGAGATGAGAGAGTCTCCATTGTGACCTGGTGAATGGCATGGGAATGTGGTTTCGTTGTCTGGCATTGTGTTGCTTTGTGATGATGATTCGTATCGAAGGGATGTTGACAGAAGCTTTTGGTTGTCGAGCAAAAATTATTGTGAGCGTGAACAAGAACATTCTGCTACTGATGACAGTCAGTCCAAGTTCAAAGTACCGGGACCTGGTACAAACGGCCAGTCAT